CAAACGTTAGTTATGCGTTTTGCATTGCAGCAGTTGAATCTGCATCCCTGCCGGGCGCGCAGGCCGCGCAGGCCGCTGGTCGCCCTCCGCCCACACAACATGACGGCCACTTTCACGTCGGCCAGGCCGTGCTGCAGTGTCGTGCACCGCGGCCACACGAGCCGTCCCCATCAGTCCTTATCGGCCTCGACGCGGCACGACGCGGCACGGCGCGCCATTGGGTCAGCCAGGAACGGCGTGGAACGGCCAAAAGGGAGATTACTCGCACGGCGTTCGTCACTTCGTCACTCACTCGGAGCCAAACGGCCAGGGCCACCGCGCAGGCCGGCGATGCAGAAGCACTGAAGCCGCACTGATTCCGCGAGAGTCGTTTTCGTCGCTCTGTCTCTCTCGCACTCATGGAGCCTCCCGGATGGAGACGGGGGCGTGAGAGACAGAGCGACGATAAAGACTCTCAGAATCATTCTGCAGGGCGGCGGCAGTGCCGGCAGGGCCTTCCCCCTCGCGCCCATTGCGCTCACATGCAGAGCGGGGCGGTCTGGTGGGGCGGGGCGGGGCGGGGCGGGGCGGGGCGGACACACTCGCGGCGCTTTTCCGTCGAGTCGAGTCGCAGCCAGTTCCGGCGATACTGCGACGGCTGCATTCCACCTGCGGCTTCAAGGGGCTGGCGGTGGTTCTCAACGGTGCTCTGACTCTCGCTCTCGCACTCACGGGGCGTTTCGAAGGGGTGCGGGAGAGACGGAACGACGAGAGCACTGTTCGAATGAGGCTGAGGCGAGGGGCTGCCGACCACATCGCGTCCCATCGCGCCGCATCGCGCGGTCTGGGACAATGGCAGACGCCTGCCGCGCCCCTGCAGGCCGCACCGCACCGCGCCGCACCGCGCCGCGCGCCGCGGAGACTTGGACGCCAGAGGGTGGGGCTCGTCGTCTCGTCTCGGTGCCACGGCTCGGCTTTGGCTCGGCTGCCTGCCACGGCCTGCATGCCCCACAACACTCTAAACCGGAGCCGGTAAAAAATTCCCGCCCGCAATCTTTCGTTCCGTTTGTACGGAGTACCTGGGAGTACCTCGTTGGCGTCACGGTAAAGGAACGCCGCCATAGTTTAAGACCGCGGGTAGATTACGTACTGACTTTCAATTTACAAGTGACCGAACGCATCATCTAGAAAACTATCTCGATCGTGAATACTATCCCATTCCGACCGACGGCGATTGTTATTAATTTTTTTATGGCGCCTTGCTCTTCTTTCATCTTCACCATCAGCGCGCCGACGAACTGGCGGCGTCAATCAACTGGCAGATCGTGAGGGACGAACTCGCCCCGCCCCGCCCCGCCCCGCCCCGCCCCGCCCCGCCCCGCCCCGCCTCGCCGCGCCCTGAGGGGCGGAACACATTCATAAGCGGAATGCGACCTTTGCAGGCGCTGGCCGCGCTGGCCGTGCCGCCAATGCGGGGCCCGCGGCCAGGGCGGCCAGGACGGCCAGGACGGCCAGCCTCGCGCCACGCCCAGGAAAAAGAAGAGACGCCGTCCAGGAACCACGTCACACCATCAGTGCAGGATCATTTCGAACAATGCTTTCGTCGCTCTGTCTCTCTCGCGCTCACGAGGCGTCGGTGCGAGACGGGCGGCGACGAAGCGCTGTGCGGAATCAGTCCCACGGGTGAGACGGCCAGCCAGGGCACTTCGGACGCCGCTGCCCACGGGCCGCCACGGACGCAGTCGTCCTGCCTCTGCCGGCCCAGCGGCCGCCCAGCGGCCGCCCAGCGGGCGTCTCACTTGCAAGCTCCGCCGCACTGAGACATGTTAATCTAACCCAGGTTCCAAGAGGTCGTTCTCTCTCTCTCTCTTTTCGCGAGGAATGCCTAAACGGCCCTGCCCTGCACCTCGCGGCTCGCGACGAGGTAGAAAACAGACATAAAAACTCGGCGTCATTGTGCAACGTGTCCTGACATTTGCCGCTTTAGCCGCGTTGGCCCCCACCACACAGCACCGCGGCACGCCGGCACGCCACGCCACGGCGAGGGCGTGCAGCGTGACGGCGCGGCGTTGCAGCCGGACTCGCGGACTCGGCACAGGTTGAGTGAGGCCGTCCCGCGGCCTGCTCGACGACGAGCTTCGTGGCGACGAGCTTCGCGGCGACGAGCTTCGTGGCGACGAGCTTCGTGGCGACGAGCTTCGTGGCGACGAGCTTCGTGGCGACGAGCTTCGTGGCGACGAGCTTCGTGGCGACGAGCTTCGTGGCGACGAGCTTCGTGGCGACGAGCTTCGTGGCGACGAGCTTCGTGGCGACGAGCTTCGTGGCGACGAGCTTCGTGGCGACGAGCTTCGCGGCGACGAGCTTCGTGGCGACGAGCTTCGCGGCGACGAGCTTCGTGGCGACGGCGGCGCGCTTGGCCAAGACCGCCGAGACCGCCGAGACCGCGCGCCCGGAGCCAACGCCAAAATCAAACACCTTGGCATCGAGGCTCAAAGTGGGTCGACGTGACGCGACTCCGCGGTTTCCCCGCTCAATCACTTTAGGCCCGCGTCGCCGCGGCCAGAATGCCGCGGCCAGAATGCGTGGGCGTGGGGGAGGGGAGGGGGTCCAATGGGAGTGCGCCTTGCGCGGCGTGCGCGGCGTCATCGGTACGGCGGTGCAGCTCGGCGAGACCATGGCGGCCTTGACATTTGTGCGGGCACGCCGCCCCGCCAGGCTTGCTGCATGCTCGGCGACTAGATCGCCGCCCTGGCCGTCCTGGCCGCCCTACGCTGGTCTGACGGGCGTCTGATACTTAGGTGCGGGGCGTAGACGTAAATACTTTGCACCAATAAGCTGAAAGGTACGTATGTCGTGAAGCCAACTGGACTGAAATTTCCCCCCGCGGTGCCCCGCGGCCGCCGAGGAGCCTGGAGCGTCATTTCCATAGTCGGAGGCCCTTTGTCATCGGGGATCGGAATGACAGGCTGGTCCCCCGCGCGATGTCAGCGGCTGCAGCGGCCACACTGGGACCGCTATGCCTGGCTATGCCGCCGAACCCACAATTAATTACAGGAGAGGCCCCACCACCGCGTGCCGCGCCGCCACGCCACGCCACGCCAAGCGGACGCAAAGCGGATGCGTCATACGGTGATGCACCGCGTACAGTGGTACAGTGCACGCACAGCCCGCCGCCAAACAGGTACTATACAGTGGTACAGTCGGCCCGCACCGCGCCACGGCATTGTTCGCCGAAATGGAAAGGCAAAGGCGCGCGGCTCGGCTCGGCCGGGTCAACGGGTTGCTGGATCATTACAAAATACGAAACGGGGGGGCTGCTGCTGAGAGTTTCCGGTGGAGTCTTTTCTTCATTTCGCCGAGGAAATGCATTGAATGACATCACGCTCCCAGCGAGCGCGGGCCTAGGGCGGGGGCAGGGGGCATGCGGCAGGGGCGTGGCGCGCAACATTATTTTGGGGTTACGTAGCCGCCGGCCTACTCACTGGCGAATGACAACTTGCCGGAGGAGGACCTCCGGGAAGGCGACGAGGCTCGGGACTCGCGGCTCGCGCCAAGGCTCACGCCCCGAGAGCGATTAGCAGTGAGGTGGGCAAAAAGTTGAGCACGGCGACGCGCCCCGTATGCTAAGTGCAGAGCCAAGCAGAGGCGGAGAGAAGTGGCGCACTGAAGCACTGCAGGCTGATTCCGAACACTGCTTTCATCGCTGTCTCTGTCACACCCATGGGCCGTCCCGTAAGTGTCCCGTGGGTGCGAGGGAGACAGAGCGACGAGGACGGTTCGGAATCAGACTGCTGGCAGTGTCGCTCAGCCAATCGAGGAGGTTTAGGATCGGAAATGATCCAATCAACGCGGGGCGGTGGCCTCGCAGCTCTCGGCCATGTCTCGGCGCGGCCGATCTCAACTGGCCTGGACATTTGAATGGCGCGGACGACTTACAGCACTATAATGGCGTGGTGTGCGTGAGGAGAGGAGACGGGGTCGCCGAGTGGGGACACTGTCGGGGCGAGGCGGCCCTTGAGGCGGCCCTCGGCATTGCAACGGCAGCGATAAATTGGACACGGGCGGACGTGATGCCCTGCGCAGGGCGGCGCAGAGGACCCACTGAGCAACGGGTTGCATCCATCGGCATCCGTCATCTCCGGGAGATTCCTCCCACTCGTCTGTCCCACGTGGAATGTTCCTTGTACCTAGGCTCGGATCTGGGGTTGCCATTCAATGCAGACTGTAAGGGCCGTCGTCGCGTCTTGTTGAATCTTAATGAAATCTTAATTGTTTCACGGAGTTTTCTGGTAGTATTTTTCCAGAGTTTCCAAAAAATGCCCTTGTCCTGCCACGTAGCGCGGTGGTCTTTGCATGGACCTCCGGCGTGTTCCTGCATCTCTACTCCCCACTGAGCCGGGCTCGGCACGGCACGGCAGGGCAGGGCGTCAGAGTCCCGTAGGTAGGAGTCCTACTCTCCCGCACAGCACCGCATCAGCCGGCATCGACGCTCCGCCGCTCCGCCGCTCTGCACCTGTGCCGTGAGGCGGGGCGAGCGAGCCGGTGCACACAGCCCCCTCCCCCCTCCTCCTCCTACCGACGCCCCTGCCTAAATCCCCCCTTCCCCTCTCCCCGGCGATCCGATGTTGCTCTGCTATGTGGAGCTCCTTAGCAGCTTTACAATCCAGACACGACGCTCTCGCCTCACCCTTGTGCCATTGACTTCCAGTGACTCGCGTTCATTCGTTCATGCCACATTCCGTTCATTTGGGTCATGCGGGCCTGCAGTGCTCCGCGTACCTGGTGGCGGTGCCGGCGGAGCTGGTGACACAACTTAGAAGCGGGCGACAGGGGGAAGGCCTCGACAGACAGGCGAACGGCGGTCTTTGACGGGAAATCACCACGCCGACGCCACTCCCAGTTGGCGGCTTCGCTGTCGGGGCGGCGACCTTACGCCGGGCGGCGCTGAAGGGCGAGACCTTGCGAGCCGTACGACGCCGTGCGAGTGCGTACGGGCAGCAGGCCTGCACCAATGCACTCACCGACTAAGAAGAGCAGCTGGTGAGGGAGAGAAATCCAATAAAAGTATCCAATTGGGCGAGGAAGCGAGGCAGCGTTGCCCTGCTCGAGCTCCGCGACGGTGCACTTTGGTAAACTCGACTTGCAACACACTCGCGGCACTTTGGTGCACTTTGGCCACCACACTGCCTCCCACGAAACGCACACGCGGCCCCGAGTGTCGCGCACTCGGTACTTTCTCACTGACGGGGACGAGGAGCCACTTGACACCTCGCGCGACACGCACCGCACGCACCAGCCGAACCGCACCGGTGGCCACGAAGGAAAGGGGAACACGGCGCGACGACCAAGACCTCTCCCGCCGGAGATCCGACTTGAACTGAGCGTGAGCGCGGCGGCGCGGCGGCCACCTAGAGCGGCCACAAGCAGCGCGCGCCGGTGAGCGAGCGCGGCGCGCGGTGTGAGGAGAAGCAGGGGGCGGGGGCGGAGGGGGCCCGGGGGCGACCGGCCGGAGCGCACTGCCACTGCCCCGGCGCCGCCGCCACCACCACCGGCCACCGCGCTGTTTCAAAGGGAACGGGGCGTAAAATAATGCAGAAGTTTTGCATCGCATGCGATCCACTGCCAAATTAGTGGCCGTCGTGCCTGACACACTCCGCACACTTTCTCGTAGTTCCTTGTCGCGACGAGGGCACATGGACTCGGCGCTAGCGGCCACGGCGAGGCCGAGGTAGGCCGAGGGCAACACGGGGTTGCAAGCAACGCGGATTGACGACAGGAAAAGGGGAAAAGTTCTCAATGTCGGCGACGGGTGGCATGGCCTGGACCTGACTGGATAAGCACCTGTCGTAGACAGTCTGGAGTGGAGACCCGTTATCTCCCTCACCCTTTTCCCAGCCCGCTTCCCCGCCGAATGTTTCTTGGTGCTTGCCTACCAAGCGCATTGCAGTTGCAACACCCAACTGTAATTGATTGTGCAGACCCTGTGCCTTGTGGCCTTATGGTACTTCCCCACAGGCCAGCCTAGAGGCATCATTCATTGGGACTACTTTGAAGCGATAAAAACGCGTCGATCAACTTCGTACAGAATAACGCGCTATTCAGAGGCCAAAGTGCAGCTGCACTTTTGCTAGCACTCTTGAACTTGTACAGCACTTGTGAACTTTTAAAAGCTGGCGCTGTAAAAGATGAAAACCCGCGAAAACAAAAGAAAACAATGCGTTAATCCCTGTTTAGTGTTATCAAAGGGATTGGAACCGCTTGAGTATAGGCATAAGACTTTGTAGAATTCATTCACTCTTTTCCCATAGCAAAAATACTTTTTCGCTGATCTGTTTGAATTCATTTGTTTGGGTCCAGTGTGATTTGACTAGTGGCATGACTGTATACTACGCTAATGTATGCACTTTGTTTACTTCCCCCATTGTTAAAGTTTGTGACAATTTAGCACTACTCACACCTGTATTTTATTAAATATTTTATTTTAAAAATGTATTTGCTTTAAATCAAAAACTTCGTTTAATCATACTGTTGTTTATTCTGCAGAAACTGACATGATCAGCAATGTAGCTGCCTAGCAGAAGCAAGCAGGACCTCCCACCCCGTCCCTATTTAATAACCTTCAATAATACAAATTCCTATTATGTCGACCGCCGCGGGGACGCAAATTGGGTCGATTGGAAGGCATTGACGTCAGCTGGAGACCGTTGTCATGTCCTGAAGCATTCAGCGTTGCGGTCGTGGCGCTGGGGAGTGAGAGGCACGGGCTCGCAGTACCATTCTAACCTTAGTCTGCTCGGTGTCAAGTCTGTCTGTGATGTGAGCGAACTGTTACTGTTTGTCACAGTGCTGCAGAGTCGTGCCTAGCTGATGGCCGATGTACCAAAACCTTCGTTTATTCGCGTAAGTAGTTTTTCGTTTCGACGCAACCAAATTTAAACTGTTTATCATTTCATTCTTTGACAATTCTGATTTTCTGTGTGATAAAATTATATTCCCTCTGTGGCTTCCCCTCTACTACCAACTCTGAATTATTTCAGCTGGAGCCGTTCATTCATCAAGTTGGTGGTCACTCATCTATGTTATGCCTTGACGAAGCAACTGTTTGTAAGCCTTTAGTGAAAAGAGAGCTGCAGTTTTATGAGACACTCCCAGAAGCTGTCAGCAAATTTACACCTCACTTCTATGGTGTTATCCAAGTTAATGTCCAGCCAGAAGAGGAAGGATATGTTACTCTGACAGCAAACGCTCCGAAATTCTATCAGCCTGTCTCAACATCTCCAACTCGCCGGTGCGTTGTAGGGACATTTTACGTGCCCTTGCCAAAAATGTTAGAAGTCCTCATTCATGGTTTGTTTTTGGCTCACAGCAGAGTTCGATTACGAAGAACAGGCAGTATCGAGGTTAGCCAGGATGATCACACATTGTTTGAAGAAGATTCACTGGATGGAGAAACTCAACCAAATAATACTAGTCTGGCACTCAACCCATGGGTGCTGAAATGCCATCGAGATCATCTCAGTACCATTATCAATACCTGCACCACACAAAGTATCCTTTGCTCTGTGCGAATCCCTTTATTCACACTTAAATGGATTTTCCCCTCTATAACTGCATGTTTTTCTTAACTGCACCATCAGATTTTATTTTATTAGAAAATGTGGCTTCCCAGTTCACTTATCCTTGCATCTTGGATCTGAAAATGGGCACCCGCCAGTATGGAGATGCTGACACTTTGGCCAAAAAACAAAGCAAGATGGTGAAAGTTGTCAGTACTACCTCTGCCAAGCTTGGTGTGCGTGTTGGAGGAATGCAGGTAAATCATTATCCCTTGGTGCAAATTTAGAAAGCACATGGCAAGGTAAATTGATTAAATTGAGCAACATTTTGTTTTAGGTTTATCAAACTACCACTGGAAGGTTTTTATGCAGAAATAAATTATATGGACGAAGCCTTTCTGTTAGTGGATTCACTCAAGCTCTATGTAAATTTCTACATAACGGAAAACGATTACGAATAGATGTACTTGCTCCATTAATCAAAAGGCTGGAAGAATTGCTCAGTGTTTTGCACAGACAAGAAGCCGTTCGTTTCTACACTGCATCTCTTTTGCTCTTGTATGAAGGATTAGATTTGTCTGACAATTTGGAGAGGACAGAAACTTTAGAAGGTAATCTATTTGTATTTTTTTATTCTAACAACAGTTTTTAAATTGCTCTAGATCACTGACGCTTAGCTCTCTCTCTACTTTTAGATAAAGATAATCAGAGGAAAAATAGTACAGGCCATTTTAAGTTTGAAGAAGCCATAGAAACAAAACAAAGCGATAACACAGCTAAAATATCACCGGGAAGCTCTGGAAATACCACTGTCTCACCAGCAGCTCAAGATATGGAAAGCATTGTCAATGCATTTGAAGAAGAGCGTCAAAGATCTGAACGTTTGCGGCACCGACGTAGCAGCAGCTGTGTAGCCCTTAATGATTTATTGGCAGGCAGCTCCAACCTCTCTGTGCCTTCCTCCCCAAGTCCTTTGCAAAGCACTGCCCCTAGAACACCCACTGTGGATGTACGAATCATAGACTTTGCACATTCAACTCACCAGGGCTTGGCTGATCCTGTGTCTTACACTGGACCTGATTCAGGATTTATTTTTGGTTTAGAAAATATGATATCTATTCTTAAAAATATTGAAAGAGATAACGGCTAAGCAAATTAGACTTTGTTGGATTGCTACTTTTTGGGAGGTTTCTGATTCTTAGATTTTGGGAATTGTTTAGCATTCAAATAACACCTGCCTTCCTGGATTTTATTGGGTTTTCCATGAGGATAGGCCACCCTTCTCTGAAGGTTTCTCTTCGCACAGTATTGGTTTTCTCACTGTAATGTTATCTTCTTTGTTTTTCTCTGCACTATTTGTTGTCTATAAGTTGTCTTTCCTTTACGTTTGTATATGTGCTCATGGTATTGCTATTGGAATGCAGGTCTGTTAACAAATTTTGCTCATGTATTTTTGTTCTCTAAAACCTTTTTGATAGGATGATTATCAACTTTGATGTTCTGCAAACTTTCTCCTGAGAACCTGATCAGGTCAGGATATGAGACATGAGCCCTAGTTTGTCTTTTTCACTATATGTGTAGAAATATGTTGTCATATCCTATTCCCACTTAAAAAATTTTGATGAGGAAACATTGCGTGTCAAGTGTTTACTTCCGTTGTCAAAAAAATATTTTAATAAATAAAATAATTAGGAAATCTAAACATGACAGAGAGGTGAATCAATAAGTTAAAATCAATACATTATGATTTGACTGTATATTGTTGATAGTGCCTTATGTTTGATATACATTATATATACTCATTTAGCTCTCCTAGTTAAAATGAGCTGAGAAAGAAACAACTTTGTCAGTTAGGTGTAGATAGTCAATTAACAGCATAATCTGCCTTAATAATGACTTCATTTTTTAATACACAATTTTAAAGCACTTTTGCATTTTGCTTTTACTACGTATCGTTAGTTGCTAAATCGAAAGAAGACTTGTCACTTGCTCAAACTAGCCAATTTCGACAGTGCTCATATTTTAATCTTGTGGAAAAGATAAAGAAGCATTCTTTAAGTATTTAAGAGTTGTTTGGGTATCTGTTGATTGAGACAATCAATAAAAAACATATCTCATCAAAGCATTCCACCAAGTTTGCAGTGTACTATTCTTGTTGTAATTGTGTTGCTACTTCTCAATACATCTGTATGAATTGAAATAATGCAAATTTTCATGTGTTGGTATTTTAAATGAGAAGTGTTTCAATCAACTGGATCAGCATGATCCAAGCAGTAAATGCACTGGTTTTGTCCTGGTGGTGGATGTTGCCTCCTATGCGTGTTTAATTTAACTATTACCACAGTCTACAGAGCAATGACAATGTCCATGCCCCATGCCCATGCACAGAGTTTGTCCTTCAGATGACCATTGAGAGCCCCTCGCATAACAGGTGACTGATGCTACTGCCTAACCAAATGTTGATGGAATGTTTCATTACTTTGTATATTGAACTGTCCTTTAATTAAGGTCACAAGAATGAAGTGGAATTCCTCTTCTCTATTTTATTAATGTGAGTGCTCTCTGTCAGCACATACCAAAGGAATTAGCTGATGGATTCTCTAACATGTCTTTGAATGTGACACTGTAAATGAAGCCAAAGAATCTTATTTGTTTAGTATGCTTCTAGAAACTTTGTTACTATATTATTGTACCCATAGTTTATAAGAAGAAAAAAAAGGTGAATTCGTATCATCAATTTGTAAGTTTGATGACTCAAAAAAATCACAAATGACAAATTTTTGATAAAAATTGCCATTTGTTCAACCTGTACTATAGGTGAATAATGAGTACCCTGTACTTTAAAATAGGAAAGTTACTATTTCATTTTTCAGTTGCCTTTACCGTATTCTTTTGGACCGCTTCCAATTTTTTAAGAAACTTATTTATGTACCTGGGCTACTCTACCATAACATCATTCTGTATTGAAAGGCTAATACAAAATCACAAGTGAATTTGTGAATTCCCTACTCTTCTTTCTAGTTTTTAATAACAATATTTAAGTAACAATAACTTTAAGTCATAACTTTCCATTTTTTTTATTTCATCAGGTGAAGAGGAGAGGATTAAAAAGTGAAACAAAATACATCGCAGAAACATTTATTTATATCTAGCCGCCTACACAACATCACTGATTAATAGATATAATAGGGACAAAGTCTCCACGCCTCCCAAACATCACCAATAGAAAAAAAAAGCATGATTTCTGTCAAAAAGCAGGTGCTAGAATTCTAGAGGTGTGATACAAAATGCTTGATGATAAGGAGGAGCTTCAATTGTCCACACATGCTTACACTCCCAAAAGCTTCAGACCTGTGCTAAGATAAAATGGAACTTACATTGCTGCACTTATAACAGTAACTATGCAGCCATGTCACAGCAAAAGAAAGAAAACCCCCTTCAGGAAAAGTTTTGGGAAAATAAATATAAAGTTGTATATTGCCTGACCACACCTCTCATAATGACAATAATCAGTCCATGTGCAGTAACATCAGCGCATTTACTAGAGTCCAGCTCCTAATCACACTTACACTGCAGGACAAATATTCCTGCTTGTTTAGATGAAGGTGGGGGCTGCCACTATAAATACCTTACATTAAATTAAGTCGAACTACAAAAATAATCAATTCTGAAGGCGACAACAAGATTTTAGTGACTCTGACACATTTTTGAGTCCACAGATTGAGGCAGCACCATAGAGGAATTGAAGTGACTACACAGATACCTCTTCTACATTTAATCTCATTTTTAATGGCAGCCCTATGCCACCAAAATAGTTTGTTTTGTTTTATTGCTGGATTTCTGGGATTCACTGTTTCATACTGCAGCTGCTACACTTCAGTGGTAACAATTCAGTTCCAACAAAGAGAACCTTAAAAGCTGGTACCCACAGCCATGAAACAAAAATCCAGTTTTCCATGTGGCTATCACTTGAGGTGGTAGCTAACTCAAATTGGCATATAGTTGTTTAAATGCTTAAATGCGAGATTTCTTTACAGCCTACCAATTTGTAAAGGAAACAGCATTGCTCGGCATGACACTGGCACTGAAAGGGTGCTGCAGTCTTTGGTTCTCTCCGAGCAAAGCCTTGTAAAAACCACATCTCCAGTATCATAACATTCAAAACTCTTTTCTTTAATGACCACAAAACTAAAACTAGTCCACTTACTAATATAAAGCATCATACATTCACAATTACACACATTATAAACAATTCAATTCTTTTGAAAAATTAAATATCAACCGATTTGAGGAATGCTTGAGAAACATTCTATGACTGCTTTGTGCGTCCCCCCAACAAAATTTAGAATTGATAGCAGATCTGAAGCACAGTGGAAACAAAGTGTTTAAAAAACTAGACTGTTTCACTCAGTGCTTCTAAAAAATAGAATACCGCCCAAACTAAAAGAAAAGAACAGAAAAAAGACGAAAGAACACAGCTTCAAAAATAATTTAATCCATTAACAAGCTGGGACACAAAGCAACACAGCAGCACTGACTAAAAAACAGAATCCCTAAAATAAGAATTACAGGCCACAAAATCAACAACTAAATGGTTGCACAGCGGAGGGGAAAAGGAGAATCTATCATTTTAAAAATAAGCAGGCCTCAGTTGCACTTTTAATAAGCTAAATCACATCTGAAAAATATTAAGTTAGGAGGAAAATTGAGGATAATGCAATGAGGATACTGAAATGAGTAACATTGAGTTTATGAGAATTACTAGATAGATGATTGTTGGAGTCTAGATCATTCAAAGACTGAACTTCAACATCTCCTGGATTACTTAAATGATCACTGGTAGAATAAATGTCTTTATCATTGCCATCTCCAGAAAGGAGGATATTTGGACCTTTTTCTTGTTCAGTAATGTTATTCTGAGGCGTTGTTGATAAATCATTGGATAGACTATGGTCAAAATCAACCCCATGATGAGCTTCTCCCAAACCATAGGGCTCTTGAGCATTGGTTTTAAGAAAGTAGAGACCCCTGGCAGTTCTGAAATTTTTACAAAAAGGGAAAAAAATAGTTAAGCAAGTCCTGAAGCTGGACAACTATTGCACAATTGAGGTGTCTATGCTTACTTGTTGGGTGTGTAATATCCCATGGGAACCACATCATTTGCATCACATGAGCCAGCTTCAAAGTCAGCCCAGGATGAACAAAGCCTGGCTGGGAATGCAGCTGCATTGTAGATGGATTCTGCATAATATGTATATGCCATGAAGTGATTACAGACAACTGGAAACATTAAAGGAAATATTTAATTAAATCATTGAAAGGCAGTCTGCAGTAAAATTGATGTACGCATCAAGCTTGTATAATACTTACGTGGGATATCCTCTGTCTGACAATGGGGCTGCTTACTGCCACCATTAGGATAAAAGTCTACATGTCCCACTGCTTCAGACATTGCCACAAATCCCGCACCAGTGTGCACACCAACAACAAATCGGGCATCACTGGCATCTAAACGCCCTGTACTGTTTCGTGTATCAAAACCTGGCCGAGCTGGATCCAATCCTGAGCAGACAAAATTAAAAATTATGAAAAGAGAGCCTTAGCACAGTACTAACTACATAGCAGTAAACTCAAACTACACCTGATATTCTTCCAACACGACCCTCCAGCATTGCTCCTGCCAAGCCAGCAGCATGGGCACCCAAACTAAATCCAATGATGTGAGCACGATCTAAGTATAGTCCACTTTCTTCAACACTTAGCAGGAATTGGAACAAATGCTCAGCAACAATATCAATGTTTCCTGCTGCCTCATCATACCATGGACCCCTTGCCAACTGTTCCCATTGAACAGCGACGACAGTTACGTTTCGGACAAATAGCAATGCTGCAAAGAAAGATGACCGATCATAATATTTTCATTGGACTATTATTTTTATGAAAAATAAGGATTAGAAGCTCATTGAAAGACACTTACCATCTCGTATGAGGGTGACCGATTTGCTAGAAACGGAGCCAGTAAAGCCATGTAAGATAACCACGATGTCAAGGGATGGATCCACTGGGGTTGAGGTTGAGGTAGAGTTTATGGCCACCACAATGGGATTCACCGGGTTCGACCTCAAAGTAACAAGGTAAACTTAATAAGGACCTAATCTAACAGTGCATAGAGACATTTGACAACCAGGAAATTCTAAACCAAACACATATTTTACAGTTGAAGTTAAATAAACAAGATGAAATAGTACAATAAGGGATTCTGCAATCTACTCGATAACAAGCAATGTCAGTCTGCTACTTAAATTGAAAGATAATATTAACAAGTTCGATCGAAACATTACTTTTAAATCACAAGTTTGCTTGTTCCAAAGTACCATTAACATAGTTGTTTAAAACTATCAATGAGCGATGAGAAATGTCGATCCGCCCAAATACAAGGATACATATGACTCAGCTTAACAGTAATATAAATGAAACTAACACTCACACATTCACACACTCATTCAATCACACAAACACACGCAAGCCTCCTCCAAAGAAAATAAAGAAAAATAAAACAACAGTTTATGCTTGAAGTAACAGAGTAGAGGCTAACGTAGAATTGGACGTATTAGTCTTCCATGGCATATTTCCTCGTCCACTCCTTGGCATTGCGTATGGCTTCTGCTTCGTTAACGCGCCACAGCTCGGCTACATCGTTTGCAAGAGGATCATCAGGATTTGGAGCACTGAGCAGAGCTTGTATAGAGAGCAGTACTGTGCGAATTTGGAGGGCCGGGCTCCACTTGTCCTTTAGGATATCCAGGCAAATTCTTCCCAAACGGTCGATATTAGGGTGGTAAATCTTGGTAATAAAACGCACTTTAGGGGCAGACATAGGATAATCTTCCGGTAAAAAAAGCTCCAATTTGAATAAACCACCTTCAAACGGGGAACCTTCGGGCCCAGTCACGATTACGTGGAAATATCTCGCGTTGTTTTCATCGGGAACAGCCGAAATGCCCGGAACGGGCTCCTGGAGAAGACGTTGAGTTTCCTTGATAATTCTTCGAGGAAGGGATGCCATCTCTAGCACTTCTTCTGACGTAATATTATGAATTAAATTGAAAGTTGTTTATGTCGGCAAACTTGCGGTTGTCTCAGGCAGCTTATTGAAAGGAAATGGCTGCCTCCCGGAGATAAGGAAAACGAGAAGGAAGCCAGTGCGAGAGAGATGAAACGACACTCGCAATCATGTTGGCAAACTTTCTAAAGCCAGACTTGACAAGTGAAAGAGGACTTCTTATCATTAATTTGAACACTTATGGTGAAACAAAACTTTCTTGACATTATATTTGCTTGAGCTACAGTCTGTAGGTATGAAAGTAAAGATTGTTAGTCGAATAAACTGAAGAATCCTCATATTTTTTCATGTTTTGCGTTGGTGCACTCGGAAAGAGCACAAACAACAACATTACAAATAATATTTTTTAAAGGAAACAATCTATTCCAAAATTAGACATATCGTCGAAACACATTTCACAACAATTCTCCTTAAACCAAGTTATATCTTATTTCAATTTCTATCATGATTGAGCTGGGGCGTCTTGTAACTGGAGAAATAACCTCATCGTGCGTTCCTACTACCATGTTGGTAGCAGTGGACAGATGATTTCCGCGCAGTTCAAATGGTAAACGCTGAGTTCAATGCCACGGTGTGCAGCGTGTGCCAGCGTTACAATATTTACCTGGTGTAGATGTGGAATTCCACTTGGCCCCCGCCGTTTTTCTTTGCGTCCCCCGTGTCGGGGCCGTCGGGGCCGGTCGAAGCCAGACTGCCCAGGAGGGCGATGGGTATGGCGGGAAGCGGCTCGGGCGTCGTCGCGTCCACAGGATATGCTGCAGAACAAAAGGGTAAAAGTGTAAAATAAAAACGCAAAATTATGTTCATTATTTATTTTTTTTAAGAAAAATCTGTACAGAATGAAGTCTTTACGTTGTCAGTTGGGTCAATTTGAGCAAATTGCCAAAGTTGTCTCACACCGCCTACAGTGCCGAGCTAGCTCCGGCCTCGGCAAACCGGCAAAGCGATGGACTGCGCGCGATCGGGCAATCGGCCCATCGGCCCATTGGACGGACGCGGGACGCGGAGGCTGGGCAAGGCAGGCAAGGCCGCCCTGGTCGTGCGTACGGAGGAAAGGGCAGGGCATGCGGTCGCCATCCCTGCGGCGGCCCGCGCTGTCTCTCTCGCACCCGTGCGACGAGTCTCGGAATCAATCTCCAGGCCACCTTCGCGGTCTTCCCCCTCATTTGCGTGGCGAGGCCGCGCGTCCCGGACCGCTGCCGTATGCCGTATCGCCCGAACGCCGGACAAGGGGACTTCCCTTGAAGCGAGTCACTTCACACACAGCTTCACTTCCATCGGTCAGCCGTGTCTGGACTGGCACTGGGACCCCTTTGAGTCCTGAGGCAAAGGTAGAGTGCCTCTCGGTGCCTTGGCTTTGCAGACTGACTCAGAGTGTCTCCCTCGCACTGATGCGAGATGCCCCATGTGTTGCGAGAAGACAGCGTGGCGCAAACGGATCTCGGAATCAGTGGGCTGTGAGCAAGGTTCCCGTGTTCCGGCTTGAGGCACTTGAGGCACTGGCCAGTCGTCCTGACGCAGAGCCAAGTTTACTGGCCGGCAAGTCATGAGATGAGGCAACGTCTGCCGGCAACCTGCCGGCATGGATCAAAGGTTACCTCGGCTGTCTGTAGACCCATTCCGACAGTCCCTCTGTCTCTCTCGCTCTGAAGGGCGGCCTGTATGCGCGCGAGAAAGACAGAGAGGCGAAAAGGACTCTCGGAATGAGTCTTGCAGACGTGGGGAGCGTCATCGCCTGCCATTCATTAGCGTGCCCCAAGCTGCTTATCGCACATACTCGCTGCAACAACGCCCCTCTCACCTCAGCTGGCTTCAAGACCTTCAAGACCAAGCTCGGCTATCGCCGTAGTCTTGCGCTGCCCACGAGTGCAGATGAGTGCCATTCAGGATGCGCGCCCAAGTCCGCCCAAGGAAAGCGAAATGTCAATTCTCGTCAAAATGACGTCACGGGTGACGTGGTCCCGAGACTAGACACGTTTTTGACTTTTCGAGTCTTGTTGCCGGCCAGTGCCGGCACAGTGATGCTCTTGGGGTGGGTCCTCCTGGTCCTCCGTCCCTCTCACACCTGTACGGGGCGAGAGAGACAGAGCGACAAGAACGACTCCACTACGATATTTTTTTTCGCCCTGGCGCCCTGGTTAGAGAGCCTCAGAGCCCTGGTGAGGCCGCGCACCCTGTGCAGGCTTAGTCCCGCGTCGGCCTCCACCCCGTGCCCGTGCCGTGCCGTGCCGTGCCGTGCCGTGCCGTGCATGGCCGTGCAGTGCCCGGCGGCCGCGTCGTCCTCTCGGCTCTATCGGCCATCGCCGGAAACGCGCGGAAACGCGCTGCCAGTGGCCAAGTGGCATGCGGCACGCCATGTGGCACGCCATCCAGGCCGAGCGGGGCCGCGACAATGAATCTCTAAACCGTGCGGTTACCCGCCCCCTTGGCCCTTCAATTGGCCTGGACTCTGGACACGAGTCCCGAAACACGTGCCGCCGAGTGCGAGGCTGCACACTAAATTCTTATGGAATTTTTTATGCATAGTTATGCATGCACAGATACGTCCATATGTTATGTACAATATTATGCATCACTGTGTACATTTTAGGCAGGAAGATGCATAAAATGTACACAGTGATGCATAATTTTATACATACCTTATGGACGTTTCTGCGCATGCATAACTATGCATAAAAAATGCGTTCTTATGCATTTAAAAAGTCCATAAGAATTTAGTGTGTGCGCCTAGGCTGCAGTGGCATGCGCAGAGAGGGAGGGGGGGGGGGGTCAGGGGGGGATCATGACTCCCCCCTTTTGGGCACTAGGCAGCCGCCTAGAAGGTAGGCAAATTGCGTCACTTTCCCCCTGTAAGTAGGCAACAAGCATGGCCTGACCCCCCCCCTTTCAAAATTTCTGCGCACGCCACTGCTAGGCTGCGAGAGGCCGCGGCGCCTTCACGGCCGCGCGCGATCCACGCCGCTAGCGCGCTCAGCGAGCGTGCCCCGGCGTGCCCCCTGCCAGGCTAGGCTGCCCCGAAGGTAGAGATGCAAATTTTCCGGAAATTTTCAAAGGGTCGGAAAAAAACAGGAAAAGTTGGAAAAAAACCCAGAAAATTTGGAAAAAAAGGAAAAATAGGAAAAATTAGTTTCTAAGCACTATGAACATGAAATCTACAACTTTTGTGCTTTGTTACAACTTCACTTACAATGACAACCCGAGATTCACAACACCAAGCTCAAAAAAACGCTCGAGAAGGAATCATAACAGGGTATAATTAGTATGAGTGCACTAAGAATCGTGTTCACATAGGGATAAAGGTATGCTTTTAGCCTACTTTCAGGCGAAATGCCCGACATTTTGCCTACTTTTCAGGCTGAATCTTTCCAATTTTTCCGAAGCCTGGGAAAAAAACAGAAAAAAACAGTGTTTTTTTCCAATGTTTCCGGAAACTTTCCGGGCATTTTCATCCCTACCCGAAGGCGCCCCGAAAAGTGTCCCGCGATGGGTTAAAAATTCGCAGTCCCATCATACGAGACAGAGAGAAAAGGAGGCGGGGTTTGGTAGGGTGGAGGGGCAGCACAGTTCAATCTATCCTTCGTTTCGGGGGCCTGCTGCACCTGGTGTTCTCGTAGGGCGGGACCAGCGGCCTTGAAGCACGCGACTCGTTGTCCTGACGTCCTGACACGGTGACCCGGTGGGGGGCGGTCATCGTGACCGCAGTGAAAGACATGGCTCCGGACACGTTTCGAGCTCTGCGGCCCAAAAATGATGAGACCCGAATCGAACGCATCATTCCGAGATCGAAGGACGAAGGCCAACCTCGAGGGAGGCCAACGCTTTTGTTTGATTAGGCCCGTCTCGAGAATATCATTTCAGATCGTTCGGCCGGTAATGTCCATATGAACTGTACTTCTGGCCCACTATGCGTCGTAGACTCCATTATTCCATTCGTGTGTGTGTGTGGGGGGGGGGGGGGGCAGTATGTGTGAACCTGCACCATGGCTCTTTTGGTAGTCCGCGCGGAGAGGCGGTGCTCCAAACTTGGCCCTTGGCCCTGGGTGAGCTGCCCATCCAGCACACCACCTCGCTCGGGCCGGGCCACTGCCGGGCCACTGCCGGGGCCTGCATGTCTGCATCTGTGCGAGAAGTGGGACGTCTCACGTCAATCGCGCACACTGCGCACAATTTGCCGCGAGCCGCGTCGGCTCGGCCGCGCCATGGCTGCGCCGGACTGGACTCGCTCACCCAAAAGCGACACGATGCGGCACAAAAAGCGTGCCTCTGCCTCTGCCTCGCCTCCCCGCCAAACGCTGAACGACGCCGAACGCCAAATGTCGCGGTCAGCGTTTGGAGTCTGCGGACTGCGGGTCCCTGCGGGCCTGTGGAGCGCGCGTGCGGCGACCTCTGGGCCCCTAGCTCTGCGCCGCTCCGCCGCTCTCCGCCGCTCTGCGCGCTGCCACTGCCGAGGCTGCTGCATCTGGGACTTCCCTTCACGCGTCCCTACCGGAGGAACCGGAGGACGGCCCGCGCCGTACTGCCTGCGCCTGGTTCCGAAAGTCGCTTTCGTCGCTGCTGTCTCTCTCGCTCTCATGGGGCGTCCCGTATTGGTGCGAGAGAGACAGAGCGACGAAGACCACTCTCGGCATCAGCCTGCTGGTGTGTGTGTGTGTGTGCCGTGTGTGCGCACAGAGCATCACAGAGAGAAGCTATTCGCCACGATAAAAGGTCCAGCGTGGGGAATGGAGGGTGGAGACTGTTCCCGCCGGATGCGTTCCCTCGGTTCCCGCCTCGCAATCAAACTGTCACCGCGTGCCTCGCGGTTCGCGCCTCTCGCAGGCTCGGGCACCAACGCGTCAAAGCAAAAGCGTCCAGGCGCCGGCAGGCTGGGCGCCGCTAGTTTCGCCGCCCCAACGTGAACATGTGTCGCCGCGTAGCCGTGTAGCCGCGTAGCCGGTCGAGGACGCGTCTCCTCGCTTCCCTATGTTTGCGTTCGACCAGCCAGGCCAGCCCGCGATGCCGTGTCCGCGTCCGCGCAGCACCGCCACCGACAATCATCGCCACGGCGGCATTCCAGCACTGCAGCTCTCCAGCGGCCACCGCCCGGCCCAGAGAGGTGCAGAGGTGCATCGCATCGCGCCTCCACGACTGCGGCAAGTGCAAGGTCGGAGGCGCGTGGACTGCGCGGACCGAGGTGCGGACCGTGCGGACTGGGACTGGTTCTCGCCGTTCCTGATTACTTCTGGTCTATCTATAATGCGGCGCCGTTGTGGCGTTGTGGCTGTGAGTCCTCCAGGACGACGGACGCGGAAAGGTCGGGAAGGACTCGGCGGGGCCGCCCTTGGGGCCGCCGGCGGCCAAGCGGCCGCCGCTGCAGGGAAGGAGACCACACCCGCCGCGCGTCGCAGCGATCCCCGGCAGGCCGCCCGATCCACGTCGAGATCGAGTGGATCGAGGGACGAGCGCTCGAATTCTGTAATTAACGGACCACTTCTGCGACAGCGCGGCATCCACAGCGTTTGATGGCTGTTTGTGAGCGTCTCGTTGGGAATTCCCCCTCCCCTCCCCTCCGCTCGGACCCCTCGGACGGTCTTGGCTGGTCTTGGCGCAGCCGGAGCGAGCCGGAGCGGCGCGTGTAGTTTTGGTGCGCATTAGCCTGATGGGTATGACGGCAGGAATCTTCCGTGGGGCCCAGCAACGCCCCAGAACGCCCCACCCGGCCCCGCCCGCGCCCCGCGCTCCCCCGCCGGCCTTCCCCGCCTTCCCCGTGCTGGCTCACCTGCTGCGCCCGACAAGAGCGTCACCGTGGAAACGACGACAACCACGAGGACCGGCCGGCCCCAGCGGCCGAGGATGGCAGCCATGGCAGCGAGCATGACAGCGATCGCCACCGCCGTGTCGGTGTTGTCCCGCTTGCCGCTACGCCCCGCCCGGCTTCGACTTCGGCTCCACGCTGTTTGACAGTGCGCTAGCCGCGCCGCCGCCGCGCCGACTGTTGACACTCGAATCTTGGCGCACGGCGCTCCGCTTCCCTGTTTGCCGTGGTTTGCCGTGTCTTTGCTGCCCGCGTGCCCTGCTTGGCGGCCTGCTTGGCGACGAGGGGATCGAAGGCTCCACTGCGAGGAGGACCCAGCCTGGGGGCCCGGCGCGGCAGCAGGGAACAGGGAATGACCGAGCGCGCACGGCAGGCGCGGCGGCACGGCACGAGCGCGTGATGCGCACGGTACGGCACGGCCAGGGCACGGCCGGACTTGACGAGGCTACCGAGCGGCGCGCACCGCGCACAGCACGTGTAGCACAGGGAAGGTCCAGCCGATTGGACCCGGGACACTATTGGCAAGGCAGATCTGGCTGACTTGGCAGACCGCGGCAACCGCGGCGAGCGCACTGCCTGGCTGGGCGCGTAGCGCCTCGCGTAGCCGCGGTACTCGTTGGGGCCTGGGGCTGCCTGGGGCTGCCTGGGGCTGGAGGTGGCGGTGCAGCGCGAGGCGTAGCCATTGCGTTGCCGTGGCGCAGCCCGCGAGGCTCGAGGCGGCGAGGCGAGGCCTCGACCCTCCTCGAGAAGGGAGAAGGGAGCGGCGGTGCGGAGCCCTCCCTCCAGGCCTGGTGGGTGCGCGGCGCGCGAAGCTCACCGCCAAGAAATAATTTGGACTCGTTGCGGGGAAGGACACACCACTCGACACTCGACCCCGAGCGCAGCGCGCGCAGCGCTGGCGCCAAGCCCGTGCCACCTTGGTGCCACACCGAGCACCGACACGACAGGTCCAGACCAACCTTCAAGGGAAAAGCGCAAGCTCCGTTCGAGCAGGATATGGAAATAAAAGCAATTTACGATTCTGTTAGGGTGATGCCTACTCTCGAGTGTCGTGTATTCCTCAGGCTGAGTCCCTCTGTTAACCACCGACATTGATTGCTATACACGACTATTACAAAACTTGGCATCTTTTATAAAATCAGGGACTAGGATGACGAGTGCAGTCCAGTCCAGGCCTTGTTGTCCTTTTTACAATCCTCGTATTTTGTTCCCAGTTTTCATTTTACTTTACCTCCCTCAGACTCATCCGCAAGCGAGCACCACCCTAGTAATATTCCTCTCATTAAGCCAAAAATAAAATTCAGCAAGTTGGATTAAAACAATTAGTAGTGTAGTGTTTTTCTGTTTGGTATGATTAAATTCCAACATACTTAACACGGCACTCGTTTCCCCTCACATTGTATTTTGTTTATTTATTACTTTAGAATTAATACACTAAAAGTAATAAAGAGTGTCAGATGAGGAAAAAAAAGTGAGAGTGAACTTTTGAGCAAACAGTGATTTATTATGACAAACTATCTTCAGTACACGGTTTGTCCTTTGATAACAGTAGGTGGAACAGAACTTGTTAGTTACGCTCCATTCAAGCACAAAAATTATGCGACGACTCCAAATGTGAACTAACACAAGTAAAGTGCAAAACCATTCACGCAAAGTTAGATGGATATTAGGTACAACCTAGTTACAGTCTCGCACAAAATGCCAAATTTAACAGTTTTCTTCCTTTCTAAAACTTAGGAATCATTAATATTAGGCTTGCTGTCAACAAATCCTGAGAGAACAAGGGTAACACTCAGCTAACATATCACATTCGTTAGGCTTGAATCAAAGCCATTAACAATATCTCAATGTTTCGTGCCAAAGCACAATAAGATCAACAACCGTGAGGTTGAATTAATAATAAACGTTTACTAAAACACTACTGATACTCCTCAAGCACAGAAGTTTCCCAGGGATGAGAAGGGAAGGGAAAATGATGGGGAATACAACAAAACAGACACTTACAATCATCTTAAAACAAAATTTGATAAAGGAAAACTTGAAATTTACCACTTTATTACCCCACAAACTGTCATTTATAAAATACTATAACCGTAGTAATTTACTACACATTGTACAAGAAATACTGCCATAATGCTGAGATGGGCACGGATTTGAACCACCTTCACAGAGACACCCAGAATTTCCCCATTTGAGATGTAAGTCTGGGTACTGAGAAAACATGGTCGTAAGAACCTCAGCGTAGGCGCAATTTATTACCCTAACTATGCTCAAAAGAAATATTGTACAGGTAAACAACTCCAATAATGCTAAAAGCAGGTTATGACTTAAAACGGCAACAATATTTACATGTATGGGCTTTGGCACAAAAATATACAATAAATTTACAAGAGTTTTTACATTGCAGAACTGCTTAACAAAACGTCCATAGAGAAATGACAAAGGCGTAGATATTCCAATTAAAACAGTGATTAAAAGTTGTATATTTTAAAAAGAAGAAACAACATTATATGTAGTCAATTTGGTCACTTCCAGATATTTTAATTTAAAATATGCTAAGTATCCTAATTCTGGTTTCACAACTTTCAACTACATTGAAAAAATAAAATTTACTCATCATTAGACCTCCTCCACCAATATTGCAGATGCCTAATAGCAATAACCAAAATATGTTCTTTCACATGACAAAACTAAGGCATTTCCCATCGCTATTGAAAAATAAAATTGAATCATAATACAAGGAGCCTATATACATCAAAGCAATCTCACATCTTCAGTACAAAAATGGTTTGTTGTAGAAAAATAATATGGATGGGAAGTGGATAAGGCACGGCGCATCATCAGTTGCAGCACACCTAAAGCACAAAATCACATCAATTTTCTAGTTATGAAGTAACGAACAACAACCGAAGTTGATGCATTCGGAATTTGCTTGTCACAATATTGCCTATGATAACAATTGAAGGCCAACAGTTCATATTATTCACTTTAATCTGGGCGAGATCCCACAACAGACATATCAATAAGTACATGTGAATGAGGTTGATTTAGCAAAAACAATCACAGATTTTAAAAAGTTCAGTCGAAATCAGCTAGCAGTGAGAAATAATTTGAAAGGATAACAAAGACCAGAAAACCAATCAAAATTGTATGATAAAGTTTTAGAAGAATAATAAATCTAGCTGAACTACAAACTAGACAAAGGAAAGGGAGAACTTGTTTAGGCGTTACACAAACACCACTAAAGTAGGAAAGTACTGACTCTCAGATGGGCTACAGTGTGTTATTGAAACAAAGAATGTTGCTTAAAATAAAGGCTATGGCAGTCACATGACAAGGGTAAAGAGAGGGAAAAAGAAAATATATTGATGAACTCTATACCATCTAACAGAATGGTAAGATAAGATCACTTTAAACATTATTAAAATATTGACTATGCTCAATCTGTACCAAGAAAGAGCGAGTTGAAGTCATGATAGCTATGAACAAATAATTAGTTACAGGTCACTCTTAGGACCAAAATGCAATCAGTCAGTAGCATTGGAAAGAAAGGACTTGAAATGCCAGATGCAAAAGAAAAAAAAAGCCTCACCTGAAAACGAGATGACTCTTTCCAATCATTTTTAGCTGATGTAGTCTAAGAACCAACAAACAAAAACTCCAACAAAGGTTTTCCTAGCTTAAACATACTAGAAAACAACCCTGTTAAATTGGTTGCTAAGTCTATAACAGTGACAGAGCATATGCTTCACTTAATAATTAACATACAGATATTTGACAAAATTTGACAATTTCAAATGTTACAATTTATAAAAGCTTTGTGACGATGCCAAACTCAAATTACCTGAGGTACCCAGTTTATCAACTAAGCCAAATGATTCAAATACATGATTCAGTTGGAAGTATATTCAATAGTCACTATCACATTACACGTAGGTCCAAACCTTGCATATTAACGACAGTCTGTAGCAAAAGGCACAATATTCAACTTTCAATATTTGGAACAAAATAATTTTAATGTTAACCACTTCAAAAAGTTTGTACCTACATGTTTGGATTCATAAACAGGGGAAAAAAATTATCAGATAAAGATTTCTCATAACTCGAGAAGGGCAGAAAAACCTGGCAAATACAGCAACCAAAACCTTCACCCTGAGCAAAGAATTAAATATTATTCCTTCACTACTTTAAACAAACATACAACAAAATGACAAATGATGAATATAATGACTATAATACAAATGATTGTCATAAAACTACAGGAAAGAGAGATTCAAAATGGAAAATCCATCTCTCTAAAGTTAGGAGCCACTTGGAGCACGAAGTTTCAGTGTTTGTCCATAGGATCACAACGGCGGTAATACAAGAGGTAGGGCATACGAGGCGAGCGGGGGTGCAGTACATGGTGCTCTGATAGCACTTTAACAGAGCTATCATCATATCTAATCCAACAATTGTATCCCACATGGAACGCATCAGTAACATAGTGGCCTTTAGTGGCTTCTTTCCCATCATGGTAGACAACTGAAAAACGAGATTGCAATTAGAGTTGAAAAAATGAGCGCACCTGCATAACAGACATATTTAAAAAGAACATACCTGCAAAAAGCTTGTATAGCTGTTGAATTTTCTTTGATGACAGTTCTGAAAGCACAAGTGAAAATTGTTAATCATGATAAAATCTCAAGTAAGATAAGATTTGAACAAAAAAGAAAACCCTTACTAGCATCAATCTTGAGGTTAATTTCATATTCTATAGATTTGATTATCTTAGAACAGCTCTCATGCCTGTAGTCGAAACACTTTAAGTGCAAAAGCAACACTGGTGGAAGTTCCTCAAGCTGCACTTCCTGCCACGCCATGACTTCCTGATTTGACCGAGAGCATGTTAGACCTTCTAATTGATCTCTCTTGACATATGCTTCTAGGGCTTCTTTTACAGAGTTGCTATTCTGTAAACCCAGAGAAAAGGTCAACTCAAGTGAAATTGATTGAATTAATAACAGGATTAGAACACACATGCCAAGAGGCTCCTTATCCATACCTCTATGTCAAGTTGCAAAGTGAAGAAAGGTTGAACATTATCAGTTATATTGTTATCATGTGTGTTCCTAAACACTCTTGATCTGAGCTGGCCTCTGAAGATGTCAGACAAAGGTGTTCTACCAAAGTCTGCTTTCCTGGTTATGGACCCCTTATTCTTGGGTCCCATGACCTGAAATAATGAATTCATTGAAAGAGGATTCCTGTAATTCAAAACTTGCTACACTAACGTTTAAAACTGAATATACCTTCCACTCGTCAGCCTCATCAGGGCTCAACGATTCCAACTCTCCATTGGAAGTCGAAAGAACAGAAGGGTTCACACCAGAGGCATCACCATTAGAGAGTTCAGTCAATTTCATGAGATCAAGCATTTCATCATTTAATCCATTAAGAAGACAAGACAAGAACTCCTCTGCATCTTCTTGTCTTCCTTCAACCATTGTATCTGTTTGAATGACTGACAACATGCGATATACACAGGTTGGCTCAAATGCAGGGCCCGTAGGTATGTCATTATGAACCGCACCAACTTCACCATCTTTGCTTCTTGCAGCACGATCTGCTCGTTTAAGGCGTGCTGATGCAGCAAGTGGAGTAAATTCCTTAACAAATGTCTTCCTGAGGACAGAGAAAGGTTTATGTTAGAAGAGAGAAAATCAGTGGGACCACATTCCAGTAAGTAAGTATCTGTACTGACATGCTCTCAATAATGGCGGTTCGAGAATCAGACGATCGACCGCTAGGAGTATCAGGCATCTTGTAGAAAAGATTATAAAACGGCGGACAGGCTAGTAAAGCTTGCAGTGTGGCATTAATATAACACCAATTGTTGCGATTAGTAAGACCTCGAGGCTGAAGACTAGCAGGCTTGTTGTTAAGTTTGCATTGATGTAAAAATTCTGCAAGTAAAATGACGTAGATATATAAGCAAAACTTACAATAAAAGATAAATACAAGCATAAAGAAAAATAAAGGCAAACAGGATAACAAACTAACCAGATAACCGGTACAAGTTAGGATCATGAGCAGGGTTTGGTGGAGGTAAGGATGGAGCAACTCCAGTTGGAATAGCAGAAGATGCTGGAAGACGACGAGACTGGCCAGAGATAAGATTGCCTTTTGAGGGAGGTTGCATTGGTCCCCAGCCTGACTGTGTTGGAGGAGAAACCGCTTGCGGACCATCGCTGGAAAGAAAAAAAAACATCATCTACTTAACGAATGATACAAAAACAATAATAAAGAAAACTTCAATCAAATTGGGCGGCCATATGAAATAACGGATTACACTAATAATATAATTGGAATGGTAGTGGTTAACAGGATCATTACAGATAAACTAAACTCACTAGAACCATTTTCTGCAAAACGATTTGAGCGGTCGAGCACCATATTAATCGCACAGCTTAATCTCAAGATAAGGTTCCAAAGAGTATTTGAAAATTACTAAAAACATTCAATGTTTGAGAGAATGACTTCCAACATCCCATACAAGGAAATGCAGGCAAATGTTGCAAACAATTAATTTAGCAAAGTTAATCCGTACAACACTGCTATTATCTCAACAAGTTGCTGGCTTTGGACTTTGCAAAACATTCATCACTTAAAAATAAATGTTTGAAAGCTTGACTTCCGACGTTCCATTTTTTGAAGGATATGTCGGGAGTTTGAGCAAACACCATTGATCTGGCATCAAACATCCATGCAGCAATGCTATTAAAAGAACACTGCCACCTTGGACTGTGCCTTGATCCAATTTATCTAGAACATTTGAAGACCAATGTTTGAGAGAATGACTTCCAACATCCCATACAAGGAAATGCAGGCAAATGTTGCAAACAATTAATTTAGCAAGGTTAATCCGTACAACACTGCTATTATCTCAACAAGTTGCTGGCTTTGGACTTTGCATAACATCAAAGCAACATTCATCAAGCAAAAATAAATGTTTGAAAGCTTGACTTCCGACATTCCATTTTTTAAAGGAAATGTCGGGAGTTTGAGCAAACACCATTGATCTGGCATCAAACATCCATGCAGCAATGCTATCAAGAGAACACTGCCACCTTGGACTGTGCCTTGATCCAATTTATCTAGAACATTTGAAGACCAATGTTTGAGAGAATGACTTCCAACATCCCATACAAGGAAATGCAGGCAAATGTTGCAAACAATTAATTTAGCAAGGTTAATCCGTACAACACTGCTATTATCTCAACAAGTTGCTGGCTTTGGACTTTGCATAACATCAAAGCAACATTCATCAAGCAAAAATAAATGTTTGAAAGCTTGACTTCCGACATTCCATTTTTTAAAGGAAATGTCGGGAGTTTGAGCAAACACCATTGATCTGGCATCAAACATCCATGCAGCAATGCTATCAAGAGAACACTGCCACCTTGGACTGTGCCTTGATCCAATTAATCCAGAACTTTTGAAAACCTATGTTTGAGAGACTGACTTCCAACATCCCATACAAGGAAATGCAGGCAAATGTTGCAAACACTTAGTTTAGCAAAGTTAATCCATACAACACTGCTATTATCTCAACAAGTTGCTGGCTTTGGACTTTGCACAACATTCATCACTTAAAAATAAATGTTTGAAAGCTTGACTTCCGACATTCCATTTTTTTAAAGGAAATGTCGGGAGTTTGAGCAAACACCATTAATCTGGCATCAAACATCCATGCAGCAATGCTATCAAAAGAAGACTGCCACCTTGGACTGTGCCTTGATCCAATTTATCTAGAACATTTGAAGACCAATGTTTGAGAGAATGACTTCCAACATCCCATACAAGGAAATGCAGGCAAATGTTGCAAACACTTGGTTTAGCAAAGTTATCCGTACAACGCTGCTATTATCTGAACAAGTTGCTGGCTTTGGGCTTTGCAGGATTACAGAATAATGTATGCCATTCAAAAATTCATGAGAATGCAGGACCAAAAACAACTTTGCAACTGGTTTTTGAAAATTTGTTTACGTAGTGTAAACACGGGTGAGTCTTTTGCTTTGGATTTCATTTGATTATGGATCCATGTTACTTAAAGCAGACATACCTTCGTTGATTGTTGAATGAGGAGTATGTAGGGGCTGCATTGTGACTAGACGAATAATCGCCAGAAGTTCCTTGCATTGATGACTTATTGTTGAAGAGAGAGGCAAAAGATGCTTTTCCCCACTGAAACGTTAAAGCAACTGTAATATTTTGATCTTTCAACGCTTACATGTTAAGCGACACAAACAGAACATACCTGTGGGGGCGCAGAGGCTTGAACTTCTTCAGATTTGGCAGCAACATTGTTCTCAGCTGGTGAAGGAGCTGGAGCAGTTGATGGTGTTGATGCAGGTGGCTCAGGCGTCGGAGACTTCGCAGGCTGTGCGGTGACAGGGGGCGGCACAGGTGTGGCAGCAGGTTTGGGAACAGGTGCCGGGGCAACAGATGGGGGAGCGGGAGTAGGGGTGGGGGTGGGTGCTGGGGTGGGTGCTAGAGCGGGGGCGGGGGCGGGTGCAGGGTCGGCGGCAAGTGCAGGGGCGGCGGTAGGTGCAGGGACGGCAGCGGCCGCGACAGGAGGATCTGGTGCCACAGGAAGACTCGGCTCCACAGGAACAGGCTGCGGAGTTGGCATAGAAGTAGGGCTCACTCTCGACGGTTGGCTGACACTGACTGAAAGCTTTACTTCGTGCTGGACCGGCATCGACGAGGCTGCCGGATCCGCAGAGGTCGTCGAGACAGGCTTCTTCACTTCCACAGAGCGCCTTCCCGTCTGCACCGCGCCTGCGGGGGTGTGTTGCCCGGGTCGAGGGTGTTGGGGACTGGGGGCGAGGGCGGGCGGTGCAGGCTTGGGGGCACTGACTACGTGCTGGGGGGCTGCAACAGGGGCGGCAGCTGGAACAGGCTCAGCCACTGTAACCTGCGGCGGCGGAGCGGCCATAGGCATCATCGGAGGAGCTGAGATGAGTGCGGGGGCCGCAGGCACCGCAGCCACCGCAGGCTGGGGGTAGGGCACCTTGGGCGGGGGTACGCTCGGCACACTCACGGTCGGCATGCCCATCTGCGGTACGGTGGGGTGGTACTCGTACACTGGGTGGTACACGTAGATGGGCGAGCCTGCCTGGTGGGGCATCTGTGGCGGGTACTGGTACTGGGGGTACTGTTGCGGGTACTGCTGGTGGTACTGTGTGTACCCGTCGTAGTGAGTCACGTGGTGCATCATGTCGCGGTTCTTGTTCATCGACTTCCGCCCTCGGCCTCTGGGCTGGTCGCGCGGAGGCGGCGGCGGCTGCTGTCAGAACAAACCAAGTTGCATGAGTGAGCATAAAGGTAAGGGCTTGAACAACATCAAACAAGGGAGTGCTCTTACCGAGGGCTCCATCATCGGGTATGGGGCCACGGGAGGGTGGCCGTAGGACTGCATGGGATGCTGGTACATGGGGTTAGACATGTAGGGCAATGGAGAGTACACTGTGTGATCTTCTGGCTGTGGAGATGCATATGCGGGAACAGGTGGGCCATGCATCATAGAAGTGTCCGGTAGAGAGGCGAGCGGGGGAGCTGATGTAGTCACCACACTTCCCAAGGTGGCGGACGTGTGCATGGGTGGAGCGGCAAGAGGCTGGACAACATCTTGGGGGGCAGACAGGGAGGATTCATCCCCACCGATCAAATCCACATCCGATGTGAACTCCAAATGACTTCCATTCACAGGCTCACCTGAGAAAAATGCAGAAACCATAAATAAAGGAGGTGAAACAAAATTTGGAAAAGCAGTAAAACACTACACTATAAAATGGTTTTTAAAAAAAGGGCCAGCAAAATTGAAGATAAGAAGGTAGTAGAGAATGCCCATCTTGCTAGATTAGAAGTGTAGAATAGCACCCCATGCAGTAAAAAAAAATGAAAAGACAATGAGGATGAATCAGAATGGTTGGTCTGCCTAAAAACAACACATGCGTGAGTTCCTGACAGCAATTATTCCTAGAGAAAAGTAGTGACCAGAAAAAGGAAAATGGGTTTAGAACTTTTCACACAAAAAAGCAGTAGCCTGCCAAAACCTGTTGCATCCTATTTAAAGGTAGTTGTCAGCAAAGTGCACAAAAATTCAACCTTGGAGGAGGGAGAGGGGGAGGGGAAACATTGCCTGGTGTAGGGCTTGGTTCAGTAAATTATTTTCATCAAATAAGATTTAAAACTGAAATTAAATAATAGTTGTTGCATCCTATGTTGAATTTACAAGTGAGACGCTAATCTCTTGGGCTGCAGTGGTGCTCTAACGATGTAGAAAATACTATGAAGGAAGACTACTTTAAGTGTCATAAAAAAAACCTCATTGAATGCATAAAATGGTCCAGTCTCTAAAATATAGATGAGCTTCAATGATTGATAAATAAACATTGGACCCATGAACACCCACCAAAATGTGGTTGGTACAGCAGTGAGCAAAGTGAATGCATAAACTATTACTACAGTTTGAAAATACAGGTGTTTGCTAATTGAATCAAAAGACTTCAAAAGCAAAATGATTGTGTGCCATCAGTTTCACAAGACAGCATAAATGTCTAGTGAACCAATTTTCCTGATAAGATCAAAATGTTAATTTACTGAAAAATGCATCAAACAGTAGCACAGCCAGGGCACACAACACACATTTACCTGAGGGTATTGGTTGTAACCATTGACATGTGGGGGACCCGCCGCTGAAGAATTGGGGGGGAAGGAAGGCATGAGGGGGAGGGAGGGCGGTCACCGCTGCAGTAAACCCATCATAATTCAATCACAATACAGTTTCAAAAGAGTCATTACTTCAAGAGAAAGAAAGGTTCAGTGATATCTAGACATAGTTAACACTGTTAAACTGTCAAATTTCCTAGGCTTGGTACAGCCCCAAATGAAAGTTGTTCAGAAACTATCAACACTAACCAAACTCAGTAAATTGACTAACGCCTTAGAATACATAATGCAATAACAACAGATCAGGCTATGGCAGTTCTACACAGACATATGAGGATGAGTGGAAGTCCAATTGACAAAGTCTAGTACATCCCTAAAAAGTATCTCAGATGAGAATAGAATTGAGGTTCCCGTAACTTTAAAACTGATAATCTCATAAAACTTACCAAACTGAATGTGTGATGCTGGGTCTGGTGAGCCTATCCATCCACATGGTATATCATTGACCTGAAGAGTTTCAGGCTCATCTGGAATGCCATCATCTTCTTCCGACCATGGCAAGGACAGACCCTGCTGCTCAGGATTAACCCCGAGCACAGAGCGCAGGTGGCTCAAATCCTCCTCCCCCAGACCAGACAGATCCAGGAATTCATAGTCCTGCATCAACAAAGAGAATATCATTGTTTATCAGTAAAGTAAAGATTAGGCCTAGAAATAGGCTTTTCAAGGCAACACAGCCAGAATTTCAACTGATGTATGGTTTAAGATACGATAAAAATTTCCCCATAAAGTTTGCGGCTGGCTCAAAGCTGACACTGATCAGACAGCGGCTAAAAGGGCGCAACGTCCGAGACACGAAACACCAGAACCCAGTGCAGGTCCGGCAGTGACCAACTGATTGAAGGGCGGAACGACCAAGCAGGGGAGTGTACCATTGAAGCGGAGGGTGTGCGCGTTTGAAGCCCAGTGCGGCGAAGCGTCAACGGCAGAAAATGAGCTGCTTTATTGATGACATTGGCCCATCGGCGCCAACGGAGATCGGCATAACCTCGGCGGCAGGGGTACAAGGTAAGGTTAACCTAACCGCGCTCGGTGAGAGTGGTCGCGAAGGACGGCCGCCACCCTGCCGGACCAAACATCGACCCGCGGGGATGTCTGGCGAACTCCACGCCAGCATCACTTGAGCCGATTCAATAACGCAGGCCCACGTGCGGCAGCGCGGCATGTTTGCTAGCAAAATGGAGGCCTGAGCACCGAGTGAACCAGGCGCTGTCGGCTCGCAATGGCACCTTGCCCTGAGCGTCTCGTGAGCACGGGACTGGCTTCAGACCTCAGGACTGCATCTTCGGCGCAACTATCACTTTCGCGCGATAAATCTCACCTGAACTGGATTATCCATTGGCCTATATTTTGGAGTCAAGTCATTTCTCATGAGAATTAAGCCATGTTCTTCGTTTTGGAGATAAAGTGTTTCCGGTACCGCTAGAGTGCGCTGTTGTCTCTTTCCGGGAGGTGTGTTCTAGTTTCACATGTGACCAGTAGTATTAATTTAATACTTATTTCTTTATTTATTCAACAAATGCAAACAAATCGGAAATAATTTTCATGATTTTATTGGAAATAACTGAACATCGCTCAATTAACTTCATGAAGATTTCTTGATGGCAGTTTGGAATTTCCGTGATAATAGCAGTATTTTTCATACACAATCCGAGCGTCGAATACGAATGTGTAAATTACCTTTGTGATATAGATTGCTATTCTCTGTGCAGACAGCAGACACACGCCAAGCTAGATCAGTTTTATTATGGTTTTTAAGTTAGCAATTCAATTTTTTGTTCACTGAGTATGATTGGGAGTTGGCTTAACTCCGAGTCAAACATTTACACTTTGAAATACAGCAAAGTGTCATTCATATGTTGACAGGAAATTTTCTGCCTTAATGGTGTAGCACCCACCACTTTCCACAATGAGTGATTCAGTGTTTGAACCTTTGGCTGAGGTTTACCTTGGGTTGGATGGACACACAGACGATCAAGAAGTTTTTCTTCTTTGTAGTAGAGTCATTATAAGGTATGAACAACAGGAATTCTATCTCTTTTCTCTCAAGATCGATTGTATTAGATTCTATGTGTCAGAGCTGTCAACTGTGGGTGTGTTGTGTTTTATTTTATAACAATGCTGTTGTATGGTATTAATACCGTTTCTTCATAAAAGTTGGAATATGAAAATAGTTGTTATTTAAACTCCTTTTTCTCTCTAGGAAAATTGACATTAAATTCCCACAATTACGTTTCTATTTATTTGTTATTTACTTCTAGGGGGCAGTCATTCAAGGAAAGCTCCATAAATTCCAATCAAAATGCCTCTAGTAAAGATGAGAGCATGCAGGATGAACTTCAGGGAGAGATCACAGAATCTATCGGAAGCCTATATGAAATTCCTGAACCTGCTGAGATTTTGACTGTTCGGAAGAAACAGGTATGTGTATTTGACATTTGTTTTTTCAACATGCATCTGAAAGTGTCATACTTATTTGAGCTTGTTGTGAGCTGAATTCCTCTTGTTTTGCAGAAACCTCAAGAACCTGTCAGTTGCTATTGTAGTGCATCTCATACTGATAACAATTACTCAACAGATGAGCATGAAAGCATGCGGGGACATGTGCCCGCAGTTCTACATGGAAGTGACAGTGGTGCTGATTTATCAGAGTGTGGAGGTCACTCTTCCATCACTACAGATGTAGATTGGGAACGTTATTGGACTGTTAACGGCGAAAGACTCATTTGGGAGAGCTGGATTTCAAAGTATGGAAATTACATCAATCCTGATTACCTGGCTACAATTGAGGGCCAACAGGCACCTGTAGTTTCAGAAGATACAAACGCTAATGATGGTTGTAGTACAGAAGACCAAGGTGTTGACCCATCTACATGTCATTCATTCCAAGGGTTATTTCCATCAGCCAAGAAGAGTGACACTGAACCAAGCTACAGCCTCCAGTCCAGTACCTTCCAGCCTACAGATCCATCTCTTCTCCCAAGACGTCATCATTCCTTCGGCCAGGACACACCCAGGCCAAAATGTGGCTCTCGAAACAGTATGGCAATGAGTGAGGGCCATCAAGCACTAAATGATGAACCATTCCCTGTAGATGCGGGTGCCCTTGGTGCAGTGTCTGCTAATATGGGAGAAGGCTGGTGCCCTCTTTCTCCTGATTTGACTGATATGAACCATTCAAACAGCAGAAATAGTGAAGATGAACTCCTGTTATATAGTGGTCACAATTCAAATGGTGCAGATTCGTTGAATGGAAGTCTTGCAAAGTCAACCGTTACCACTGACTCAATGACTAATGTTACTCGCATTACAATGTCCTCTCTTGACTTCAGTTGTGACATGGAAGAATCTGTGAAAAGTAGCTCCTTGACATCCTCTGAGAACACATCGAGTCACAGTTCATACAATAGTTCTGAATGTGATGCTGATCTGTATTGGCAGCAACTGTGGAAACAGCACTTTAATGAGCAATACTATGCACACTACAATGCATTTGTTGCCTCTCACAAAGATGACTATGATGAAATTATGGAAGATCAATCTTCCACTGTCAACAATCCTTCGCTTGAAGTACCCACTACCTCTGCCCAATCCAACATACTGCCGCAGCCCATAGAAGAGGAAGATAGCAGCCATGATGAGAGCAATGGGGACCTTGATAATGGTCTATGCAGACCTGACAGACCAGAGTATTTGTTGAGTGGTGATGACGATAATGCCAAGGATGGCTCAGACTTCAGCAAAGGAAGTTGTATGAAGAACTCAGGAAATTCATTGAAGCAGAAGAGGAAGAGAGCTTCAAAAGGAAAAGGAAAACCACTGAGCAGAAACAGCAGGTAATGTAAACAACAATAAACATTGTTTATTTCTCCAGGCAGAGCCGTCCCAAAGTCAGCCAAAGCACATTTAAAATTGCTGTTGAGAGACAGGTCTCTTGACTCAAATTTCTGGTACTGATATGCATCTGTCCGACTTCTTTACTGTCATGTAACAAGTGGGATCTAGCCAAATCTGGCCGTGATGCAGGGTACAGCAACAGTCTTCAATGGCTCTAGCTGAGGGAGCACAGGGTGTTGCACGGACAGTACCTGTCTTTGGTACCGCCTCCCGCCTGTGCTCTCTAGCAAGATTTAGGGCTCGGCTCGGCCACTGTGTATGTTACAATAGGGTTATAAACATTGCGGGTGGCTAACTGTTTTCTTTTTGGTTCAGAATTATACACTCAGTTGGACTTCTTCTACAAAGCCTCAAAGTCTCTGAGCCTTCTCCAGCCACTAATCAAACTATGGATTCCATAAATCCAAATCAATGTGAACCCATAATGTCTCCTTCTAGAAGTGAAACAAATACAGAATCCACTAAAGGTTCAGTTTCTGATAAAAATGGAGCTTCTACTTCTGAGGCTAATGAATGTGCGTCTACTGCCACACCTTCAGTTCAGGAATCGCACAATGGTGGGACAGGGGGTCATGGTGGTGATGGTGAAGAACCTCATGAACACCGATCTGTTAACTTGAAAAGGAGGTAAGGATTTCAAATATGCTTAAAAATAAACCGTAACATTTCAATGAAGTACAAAATAATTTGTGTCTGTTTTAGCCATGAGCGAGATCCTGATGAGGCAGGCCTTGACAAAGCTCGAGCTGCTTTCAACCTCATGGGCTATGTTTTTTCTGTAAAGCGAAGAGCGTCTGAAGACAATGGATCATCCAAGCCAATTATTAAGTCAGCATCAGTCAACTATATGAAACGAAATATTCGTAACCAGAATCGTCACCTTCAAATATTTATGACCTCTAATCCTGTCAACTCACACATTTATTTTGATGATGATGGTGTTGCATTACCTAGCACTGTAAGTCCTCTTACCAGTTACTTTGATTCTAAGATTTGATTGCTTCTTTACTCTCTCTGTATAAATTGAAATATCTTTAACTTGACGATAAGTGATGATTTAATACTTTACAATCATCATTTTCCACCCTCCCCATGTACTTCAACCATTGTTCAGAAGAATGAGTCACCATTGCCATATTAATGTAAAGCCTTTTCTGACTTGATTGTGTTTGTGATCTCTAGGTAAGTTTAGAAGAAAACAAGGAACAATTAGATTCTGCTGAAGATGGAAGTTCTTGCTTACATGGTTATCATTCAAGTTCGGATGAAGAAGTTACAATGAAACAAGTTTTGCCTCGACCAAAACGCCTCAGCTGCTCTGATGTTAAAAGGGTTTCATCCTGTTGTTGTGAGGAAGAGACCTTAAGTCAAAATGAAGGCTTGAGCAAGTCACCTCTGAAACAACATAACCAACCCTCAATTCCTGAGGATATCAACAAGCACAAGAATGCTGATCAATCCAAGGTGATATCTTGGCAAAGTTTGATTATTGTGGTGTTTGTAGTATGGATAATTAATATTGTTTGTAATAATATTGAAAATAATGATTTCCGATTCAGGGTACTGATGGAGAACACATAGATAGCTCTGACGAGTTCTGTGAGGATGACTTGATGTCAGACATTCCATCGCTAAATGTGGTACAGGAGCAATTGAAGGATGGATGTGAAAAAGGAAACATTCCCAGTCCTTCAGGTGATGAGAAACTTCAGGGATTATCATGTGTCTTGAGTGTGGACAAAGTGGATGATGGAAGCAAAAGCAAGTCTAAAAAGAAGAAAAAGAAACAGAAGCGTACCCTCATGAAGGCAAATCTCCCAAATGAAATCAAAACCAATCCTCAACTTCTGAAGTACTGGTATCGCCGCTTCCAACTGTTTCACAAATTTGATGAAGGTGTTAAACTTGATGCTGGTAAGTATTTGGTGAAGATTTAACTTGCTTATTTCCCTCTCTTTTATCTTATCTTACAATTTCTCCTCGTTGTACAGAGAGCTGGTTTTCTGTCACACCTGAAGAACTAGCAAAGCATACTGCTGAGAGATTACGTTGTGACCTTATTATTGATGCTTTTTGTGGTGCTGGAGGAAATGCTATTCAGTTTGCATTTACATGTGAAAGAGGTAAAGAAACTTTACATAGCTTTGAGAAGTTATTGAATCCATATAATTTTAACTTTTTACCTTGAACCTTGTCATTTTTCAGTTATTGCAATTGACATAGATCCCATAAAGCTGGAAATGGCAAGGCACAATGCGGAAGTGTATGGGGTAGCAGATCGCATTGAGTTTATCTGTGGGGATTTTGTAAAGCTCAGTCCTTCTTTACATGCTGATGTTGTTTTTCTGAGTCCACCATGGGGAGGACCAGAATACTTGCGTGCTGGTGTTTTTGATCTGGAGTCATGCATGGCTCCTCTTGGAGGGTCTAATCTATATAATATAGCAAAGGGCATAACTGAAAATGTTGCTATGTACTTGCCAAGAAACATCAACACAGATCAAGTATGTGCATTGTTCCCTGTTTCTGGTTGGATAATGTCTGTTTTTTTGTTGTTTTTTTAATTCCTAATGGTTATTACTTTTCTTTTTCTCCTCAGCTTGCCATTCTTGCAGGGCCTGGAGGCCAGGTTGAAATAGAGCAAAATTTCCTCGATAAAAAGCTAGTTGCTGTCACAGCGTACTACGGTGAAGTTATTTATGAATCTGAATATTAACTTATCTTCTCACTTCCAATGCGTTTGTGTTCTCTGTGTTTGATGTATTTTATTTTTACTACACTTTTTAGTTACATATTGCACATGTTTCAAAATGTGTGAAATCCCTTTTGTTAGAGAATATTTCTCTCCACATTATATCACTTTCTGTGTCAGTCAGTAGGCTATTTTAAGGAACTCAATTTAGAATTAGAATATGTTAATGATGACATGCATGCTTTCAGCATGTTCAGAATCAAATAAGCCTCCTTTTTCCTCAATTGAGCAGCATTTGAGGGAGTTTTTGTTTTACAATCATGGGAATATAATTGTTTCATTCCTTGTTTAAGCAATGTGACCTTACATTTAATTATTCAAGCCGAGCTTTTTTAAAAAAAATGAATAGGTCCTTTTCTGTTGTTTGATTTTAAATTTTATTTTATGTTTTTCCATTTTTTACACATGGAGTTGATATGCCGCTGTGTGTTTGCTCATCAAAATGAAAAAAAAAATGATGCTTTCAGTATGTTTTGTCTTTCAATGGTTGATATGAGACAGGTTAAATAATAATTCCATGGAGGATGTAATATAAATTTGCAGAACTAGTTTTAAAAGTAGTGGTTTCCTTTCCTTTTCTTGCATTCTGCCCTAAAACTGTAATGGTGAGATCTAACTTTTGCAAATTGCATGCAAAATCCTTCCTCCAATCTAGCAGCCCAGTTGCTGATAGTGTTTCCCATGATATACAAGAGAGTGAAAGGCTGAAGGATTGTGACCATATGCATGCTTCATTTTTGCTATATATTGAACACTCTGACCATTCCTTTTGAAATGTTTGTTTGTTCAAGTCCCTAATTGCATTTTTATCACTGTCGTAATATATTAAATGAAAATTCCCTGATTTTTCTCCTTGCAAAACAAAACTGAACTTCTTTTCCCCTACTATTTCCATAATCGCACTGTTGTGATATCCTATTATAACTGCCATTTTACAATGAAACAATGACTCACTATTGTGAGTCTCTGAAATGATTATATCTTGATTATAGCAAATCAACAAGCTAGACTCACTGTAATGAGGTATAATCGGGTATAATGAATTGTCAAACCCAAGATTATCCCACTACCCTTAATAATATTCATTAGTCAGTTTCTAGGCTGTGTGAAGACTGTCCTGGGTGTACTGAGAGAGGATTGGTGTGGGCACAGGGCACCACTACCACCTCCAATTCTAGCAAATTGCTCTTTTCCAGGTAGGGCTGGCTAAAAATCTCTGCATATTACTTAAATTGTTTGAAACTTCTTTTTTTTTTAATACATGTAAAGTTTGGATGTATGATTGAAATGATTTGCTAAAATGGTATGAAGTAGTGCTTCAGGAACATGGAAAACGCGTGCATGGAATTTAAAGAGTGGAGTACTGGTTTAATCCATTCCCGTGGACCTAAGTCTAGATAAAAATGGATGTAGGCTTGGTACTGTAAAGACTGCCTTGTATGCAGTTTTTTTTGTTATTGTTTTTCTTTTTCTAATTAGTGAATTACTTCAAAAACCCTGAATTTGTTAGCTCTAATAGCAAACTGCAGAAATAAACTTAATAACATAGTTCCTGAGTCATACTTACTCTCTACACTACAAAGAAGACACCACATATGGTTGAAAATGTCAAATGAGACAACATGAATAAATGAAGAATATTTATGCACAAGGAGAATAAACACAACATGGTATGATCCTTAACATGTATATTGTAAATGCTATGGCAGCTATGTACAGGATTGAAATAAAACTAAGAACATGGTCTGATTTTAAAGTGCTGATGTATGGAATAGACACAGAATAATTCGAAAATAGAATTCTGCCTGACCATAGCTGGAAAGAAACATGAGGGAATTCAAAATACAAACAGATTTTGATCACATCAGAAACAAACGGAAATGTAAAAGAAGAGTTTCCTAACTTCTTTGAAATGTAAAGCAAGAAAAATTAACACTAAAGATTCATTTTAGGGTACACAGATGAAATCGAAAAACACCTCTGATGACAGCACAATAAGTCAAACGCACCACCAGCTTCACATAGAACTAGTCCTTCATTTCGCCGTCTTCCTCTTCCTCTTCAACTCCTCTGATATATAGCACATTGTTACATCTCACTAGCACTTCTCCGAGAGTTCCGGTGCAGTTTCCTTCAACAAATTCTTCAGTGTTAGCTAATTGAAGGTTCATGTAGCCATCCACAGACACGAGATAACCTCTATATTCCTGGCCCCACTTCAATTTCACCATAACTGGCTTCCCAGTCAAACTGTTGAGGAACGGTTTAGGATTTATGGGCATAGACGCCATGGCTGGTTTGTAGAGGAACACAAATAACCAGAAGTATTTGAGAAAGATGCAAATAGTGACGGGGTGAACCGGCAAAACGCTTCAGCGCCGTTTGATGTTGTTGTTGATATTATCGATGTTGTTGTTGTCATTTGTTTGTGGACTGAAAAGGAGTTTCTCAAGATTCATAACGGGCGCAGGAGCAGTTTCGATCACAGTTCTCCCAGAAAACCCTCTAGAATTCCAAATAAAGCAACTTTAACATAACATAAAAATCCAACATCAAATAACAAAATGCATTTAAGTTTATTTGAGGCACAAGAAAAGAAGATGATGGGAAAATGTTATGGAGTTCTGGTCGTTTGTCCAAAGACATTTCTAGGCCAAAGTGTGTTTCCGGTGTCAACCTCAACAGTCAGCCGCTGACCGACATCCGGTGTTTCTGTCTTTCGTGCATGGCCTGACTTATCGGTAGCACACGTGTGGTTAAATTGTTGGTTTGAACGCACTAGAAATCTTTCACCATGGACAAGCCCGTTGTCTTAGCTCGCGTGATGAAAGTGTTGGGCCGCACTGGCTCCCAGGGACAGTGTACCCAGGTGAAAGTTGAATTCATCGGTGAACAGAACCGACAGATCATCAGAAACGTGAAAGGACCCGTCCGGGAAGGCGACATTTTAACCCTCCTGGAATCTGAACGTGAAGCGAGGAGGTTAAGATAGACGTGAGGTAATGTTTCTCTTCTGCAATCTATTTTTTACTAGTAGGCCGGAAAATTTTCTCAGTGATGTGTTGATGTTTGACCTACCATAACCTGAGCGAACGGATAGCTTTTACCCCGGTATTCCACGAGCCTCTTCCGCCCATTCACTCCCTGTAATGCTCCAAGTAGTGCCTGATGCCCTTATGGCCGGTATGGTAATTGGCGGTGCCCTCCTTTCATTCCCCTCATACGCATTCAGTCGTTTATCTTATCAAAATGGCAGCATTTGTTGTTGAGCGCTCCCTAGTGAATTCCTTTAATTTTTCTGTGCATTCATTGTTTACACTGAACATAGATTTCAGTAAATCTAGTTACTGTTTCTTTAATCAGGGCTAGTTTCCTGACAATTTATGTTAAATTCCATTTTATGCAAGCGGCATTATTTCTTATCCGTAATACAGTCTGGACTGACTTGCGATAAATGCTTAAGTCGTTGCTCTGTTGTAATTGAACCTTTTACTGTTTCAGGAGAGGCTGTCAAGATGGACTATTGACTGAAACCTGCCCAATCTCCAAGTTAACCATGTGCTGTTCAACTCGTCCTACAGTTAATAAACTATCTTGACCATTTATCTTTCTATATCGTTCAAATTACTTCCTTACATGTCACTAGTAAATTGCTCAGGCTGTCATCACCTGTCTCTTACTTAACTTATTTGGAAGGGCTAAGCCTTAAATTTGGTTTCTCAGCACTTCCATTTTGCTGTTATTCTGTGACGAGTGTGAAACCTATGTGAGGTGGTTACCAGGCCCACCGCTAAAGTGCTTAAAATCTTATGAAATGACCACTGTAATGTCGTTTGAAGGGACTAGTAATTATAAAACTTAAAAACGGGTTTATCAAGGAAACATTATAATTCACTCTGACATCCATAGGTTACAGTAGATCATTATTTCTTGTAAATCAACATATATTTATGGTGCAACAAATTAGGTGAGATAGATTTACACTTCAAAATTCAACTTGAACTAGGTCTCTTTAAAAATTTGTTCTACTTCTGTCATCTTAAGTTTACTTACTTTGGCCTGAAACTTGCTTCCTTTTCCAAAGCCTTTCCCTCCCATCACATCGCACAACCTGAGAAGAGAAAGATATGCCACAATTAATTTAAATAGAATTGATGCTTCCTTTAACTTTCTTAACAGACAGTCTAGTTCAAACATACTTGGGCCCTACACAGGCTACTCTATTAGGGTTACCATGCAACACAAGTTGCAAATTTGGTTCTTCCCCCACAATCAGCAGCAGCACGACTGACTGTAAGAAAAAAAATGTTAATGATGTATTCTACATGTAAATTACACTTAACAAGTACCATAATGTTCATACCTCATCATTAAACTCTCTTAAAAATGAGTTAATGAAGTCCATATCAGCTTCACTTCTGCGAGAGTGGTAAAATTCAAACAATTTAAATTGTCTCAGTAGGTCAAAGCAAATGAAAAATTAAGTTGTTCTGCACATGATTCTTTTACCTGTATAGAATTAAGTGATGTGGTTTGGGGTTGGTATTCTTCAACTTCTCTGCCTCCATACAAGCAACTTCTCGCAAAACATTTTGAAGGTTCTGAAAGAAGACACGTTGATGCATAATTATTGTGGTAGATAAGTATGATTACCTTAAAAACACAATCTTAAAACCTCCGACCTTGACAGAAATTTTTAAAGAATTTTGAATTTTTTCAGTCAGTTGCACATGCATAGATCCTTTGTTCCTGAGAAGAGGTTGATATTTTAATCACATTTTAATAACTCATAAACTCCCGGCACATAATTATAGTATTGGAGATCAGTCATTGCACTCACTGTAGCAAATTAGAGAGAGCAGCTTCACGCTCCAGAAACTCTTCCATTTTGTTTCTCACTCTATTTCCAGCTAGGAAATTAAGTTTTATTTTGCCCTTCTTCCCCTTTTCTACATTTGTAAGCTTAATCATCTAGGTAGTTCAGAACATAAATTTATTACATTTTTGTACAGTAAAAATGTGTAACAAACAATTTTGTACCTGGCAAGGAAGACACATACTTGTAACTGACTGAGATTAGAGACATGGGTTCCACAGCACATATTATTTTCCAGGCCCTCTATATTTACAACCCTGACTAGTCCCACATGGTCATCAGGCAAGCCTCGAGTTCTGGCCTGAAAAATAATTAATAATAAAAATTGTTAGTGTTGAAAATAATATGGGTAGAAAAGATTTGGATGTTAATACTGCACCTTTTTGAGCTCAGGATTATTAGATTCATAAACATTTACTTTGACTGGTCTAGCTTCTCTAATATATTGGTTGACTAACTTTTCAGCATTTGCAACTTGATCAGTTGAGATAGATGGAGTATCTAAAAGTAATATTTTAAAAAGACATGCCATGTTTAAATTACGTCTTACAGAACAAAGATGTATGCTCGGATGTATGTAATAACATGAAATACGTGCCAAGTTCCAGATAGGATACTTCTTCTCCTAGCCACCATGATGAAGTGGCATACCCATACTCTTCAGCAATAACTGCAGTGATAAGATGCTGACCTGCATAAAGAGAAACAACAAAATAGGGTAATAGTTGGGTATCAGCAAATTGTTTTTTTAATTCGTTCTTAGCAAGTGACTTTAGTATGAAATTTTTTAAGTGCCATAGCAGAACAGGAAGTTGCTTGGACTCCATTTTCCAAATCCAAATTTTGGACCAAGAAATTTCTCTCAGAAGAAATACAAGGTGAATACCCGAATGTTGTTGCATATGATCCAACCTCCGATTCCAATCCAATAGCACAGATACAGACTGTCCAACTTCAAAGGGGTATTTAAGAAAATGAACAGCCTCAGCACCTCTCCTTGTCACTTTGATGACTTCCTTGCCATTAATAGTTCCAAGATCCCATGGCTGAAATAAAGAAATGAAGGGAACAGTAAGTTTACCAGAAAACAACACAGCAAAGGCAGAAAATGTCAAAGTTACACATGACAACATAGGATAAATTTGATGACAATCACCACGAAGTTGTGAGACGAGATTACATCGAATATTAGACATGTCATCCAACTTTAAGACGTCTACAAACCTGTCCACCTCCTTCAGGAAAGAGTATTGTGTCTGTCAATATTATTTCAAAACCATCAATGAGCTCCTTTTTGCCATCATTAACACAGGGTATTTTGGCCTCCTTAGATGAAACCACTGTTGTAGTGAGCTGAATAAATAAAATTATGGTAAAAGTAACTGTTACATTCATTTCTTTGTGGGCAAATATCTTAAATATTAGTTAATTAAGAAAACTTTGGTTAATGCCCCTCATACCTCCTTCAGGAAACTATCATTTTGACAGGCAAACACCATTGTTTGGGCAAGAGGTACAAAGATTTATTCTCCGTGTAGCCAGACAGAGCACCTGAAAGCAGAACTAGCTGAAGCTGAAAGACTAGACTAGACTGGAAGTACTGAGAAAAAGCAGAGAGCTTTTTTGTTGAAGAAACTCGACGATGTAGGATTTCTCATGCAGCCCGATTTCTCATACGAATGCCGGCAACAGTGTTTGTTTATGCTGCGAACGGTTGCGAACTGAGGGCTTTGTGTGTTCTCAGGTTTCTAGTATTTGTTCATCGCAAATAAATGGGAGGAACTTATCTTCCACGTGCCCTTTTATCTGCGAAACACTAGTTAATGATGATCTGCTTCACCATGTCGGCATGTCGCCAAAACTCGTATTTAATAGCTGGTTTATTCGTTGGAGTAACCCTTTCGTTATTCATTTCCTCTTTGGAAAACACCTGTGGAGGCCCTACGATCAATTTAAGTGCCGAGTTTGCCGAAGATTATGTCGATGAATATGAACCAAGAATCAATCTTGCTGGAAAACCACAAAAGGCGAAAAAAACACCTCAAGCTTTAGTGCGTCCAAGATACTATTCTACAGAACTTGGCATCAGAGAAAAGCTTTTTGTCGCAGTTCTCTCTTCCCAGGAAACCATCAATTCTAGAGGGGTGGCCTTGAACAAAACTGTTGCTCATTTGGTTGACAAAATCATGTACTTCATTGATGCTCCTGGGCCTCAGAAACTGAATTTGAGTATGTCTGGCATAGTGGGATTTACAGACACGAGAAAATTGTTAAAACCTTTCCATGTTCTCAAGTATGTGGCTGACAATTACCTAGACGAATATGACTTCTTTTTCATTGTGAAAGACTCAACTTATGTGAAAGCTCGAACCCTGTATGAAGTTGCTCAAGGAATCAGTGTTAGCCAGGAAGTACATTCAGGCAGTGAGAAAGAGGATGATCATACAGCATTTTGCACCCTAGGTAAGACTTTTCTTGCTCCTTCTCTTTAGGAAAGAATTTCTTTTTTGCTTTTTTTTTCCTTTGTATCTATTGCCGTAGAAACTCACGTAGTAGTTCTGGTTAATTCTTTTCATAGTTTCCCTTTTGGTGAAAATGGATGGTTCATTTTTATTGTGCATGATTTCGTGGGGTGTGTTGTAAAGTGAATTCTGAGTTGTTTTTTTTTTTGGTGTGTCATGGTCTTTTACTTACGGGCAACAACTTCTCTATTGTACCCTTTTTTCTGCTGTTATATTTAGATGCAGGTCTGTTGCTCAGTAACTCTGTGTTAAGAAAGGTGCATGCTAGTCTGGATTGGTGTGTTAAGAATGCATTTTCTGAGTCGGATACTGACAATGTTGGTCGATGCATTTTACATGCAACCGATATTCCCTGTCAAGATACTGTGCAAGTAAGTTTTCTTTTTCAAAACAGGCTACCACCAGTCACTCAAGGTTTAAGTTCGAGCATTTTGATTTCAGGGATTATCTTTGCTCACACACAAAACTAAAGAGCCATTCAATTTGGATGCAGAACTCAAAATACTTGCAAAACAACCTACTGTAGATAGAATTATATCTATGTATCCTGTTCCTGAACCTGCTGCTGTGTATTCTTTTCATGCTTACTTTAGCAAGGTGAGTTATATATTGATTTTTGAGAAATCTATAAAGTATAAATTTACATCATAACATTTTTTTTCAGGTGGCTCTCACTGGAATTCAGCTAGATGTCGCATCTCGTCGATCAGCTGTCATTAATATGTCATATATAGCACCAGGAGGACGTAGTGGTGTTGCGTGGCCTGTAGGAGCTCCTCCAGGGAACAAACCCATCTCTCGCTTTGACGTGTTACGTTGGGATTATTTTACATTATCCCACTTATACCCAGAGTCAGATTTTGGTAATCTGAAAGAGTTGGTTGGTGCCGACAAGCAGGATATTGAGGTATATTTGATTCTGATTTTATTTTGACCAGTGGAAATGTAATCCTTACCCTTCTTACTAAATTGTTATTATTTTCATTATTCGGCTGCAAAGTAAATTTCTTTTTTGAGAATAATATGAATATTGTTTTTTGTTTGTTTTTTTTTCAGTATGTTTTGAATGCAACTATAGCATGGGTGAATACAAGATATGAAGGATTACTTGAGTATAAGCATTTGGTTAATGGGTACCGTCGCTTTGATCCCTCCCGTGGCCTTGATTACAAGTTGGATTTGGCCTTCAGAGACACTACCAATGGACATGAAATTCACAAAAGGTAAAATACTATTTTCCATTGAAAGCTACTTATGAAATGAAAGTAAAAATATTGTGCTATCATATTCTTCAGGCTTGAAGTGAGTAAGCCTCTAGGAAGAATAGAGGTGGTTCCAGTTCCATATGTGACTGAGAACACCCGTGTTAGTCTGGTGCTTCCTGTTACACTCGAGACAAAATCAATGGTGGCTCAATTCATCCATCAATACAACTCTATATGCATGGAGAAAAAAGAGAAAACCTTTCTTATGTTGGTATGTATTTTGAAAGCTAGGAAAGCTTGTGCAAGTTGGAATTTGTAAAAACATTTCTTATTTTTATTTAATTCAGGTGCTGATGTATGACCCTCGTCATCCAGGGAAGGGTACTAAGGATGACACCTTCCTGGAGCTTAAGCAGACAGCTGTCAGTCTGAGTGATCGTCATAAGCGGGATGGTGGGAAAATTGCTTGGGTTTCAGTCAAACTACCAGAGTCTCAACAATCAGCCCATGTGACTAAAGGGCTACTAGATTTTGCAGCAGCAGACCTTGCAATGCGCAAACTACCTTCAGACTCCTTGGTGTTCTTTGTACGACCCAATGCTGAATTAAGACAAGATCTCATAAACAGAGTAAGACGAATATTAGTCTAGCATACCGGTTTTGCTAGTCTTGTAATATTGCCTTGGCTCTGATATTAACTCTTATTTGATAATGATCTAGGTGAGGATGAACACCATTCAACATGTCCAAGCTTTTAGCCCTATTCCATTCTCTGAATTTCACCCAGATATTGTATATAGTTCTGACTTTCCTCGGCCAGCAGAATTAGATATAAATAAAATTTATGGGCACTACGATTCATTGGATACAGCCTTTATTTCTTTCTATGCGAGTGATTACTTGAGGGGTAAGTAGTTTCACTGAAAGCTTACTTTCATGCATACTTATTGTTTTATAATGCCAGTTCATATCAATTTATCATAGAATTTTAAAAAAGTCAATCGTGTTTATTTGCAGCTCGTAAAGCAATTGAAAACCAGTTGCCAATGATACGCACAGATAAAGATCTCAATGCATTGGTAACTATAGCATCTATCAAGAAATCTGACAATGCAACTTTTGATCTACTGAAGAGCCTTGCCGAGAACACTCTCTATGGCCTGTTTGTGAGGGCAAGTGACGTTCATATGTTGAGAGCTGTTGAACCCGGCCTGCGACTAAGACATCTCTCTTTGGACTGTACAAGTAGTGGGAGTGCTTCAGAAATTAGTTTGCATATGTTAAATGCTTGTGCAAAGAAACGAGCAAATAATCTTGGATCCAGAAGTGCACTAGCAAGGCTCCTATTAGAATATCAGTTGACTCCTGCTGCTTAGTCCTGCGTCAGATATTTCTCACTTTGCTTAAGTTCTTGCATGATCATTTGAAGTTAGGCCTATCAAATTATGTAGCATATTAATTCAAAGTTAAATGAATATCATTTTATTTTATCCTGAGAATTTAGAATGTCAGTAATGATTCTGGTTTCACCTACCTCCTGTCACTTATATTTTCTTTTTTAGCCTTCTGATTGAAGTGAAGAACCATCCATCTTCATGAACTCGCTTCTTATTTATTATTTATACAGTATCAAGTACACATTGTAGGTACAAAGTAATAAAAATTACATTTCTTTCAATCACTGTCTGATCCAGATTCGGACAGTTGTAAGTCATCATTGAGCAGATGGTCAGGCACTGACAAGGCAGGTGAGGGTGTATGAGTATTTCCATGACCTGGAAATAAGGATAAGATTAAGCAATTTCATGAACCTCTACAGTAGACAGTGAATGAAGAATGAAAACAAAAATAAGTCTTGCCATTGACTGGTAAGGAAGTCTGGTTGCTTGATTGTTCATCAGTCTCACTATCAGACGACCCACTGCCTGAAGAGGAGTCACTCGACGAATCAGACAAACAGCCCACTGGCCGAACAGCCTCCTAAGCAGAGCAAAATTAAAAATTAAAAAGAAATATTTTGAAGGAAGTGGCAAAGCCAGAACAATTTTTATGTTACCTGGTCATAACTAGGTGATTCCTTAGGCGCTGAGGTGTCCATAGGGCTGGGCCCTTCATCCATTCCAAGCATTGGTAAGCTTGTAGATTGATCAGGTGGTGACCTTCATACAAGAGAAAAATGTTCTTTACCTTTGTATTTCAACCTGTAGTTTCATTTCATTTCTTGATTCGAATACATGAACTAACCATCTATTCTGGCTAGCCTGAGCTGAGGCAACAGAAGGACCAGTGGGACTTCTGTGGTGACCGGGAGAGGGATAGGAGGGTGAAGCACGCAAAGGTGAATGTCGAGGGACACAACCAGATAGAGAAGAAGCCATCTGCTGAGGTTTCAGCCGATGGTTGTTAGAGGTGCTGCTCCGGCTACTAGCTCCTGATGAGTTAGGTTTACTTGTTCCTCCAATGAAAGGTTTTTTAGAAGGTGCTAACTGGTCAGATGGTGAACTGTCAAGGAGAGCTGGCAAACCAGAACCAGGCTGACTAGGTCTTCCTGGTGCTCCTGGTACTGCTTTATTAGTTTCTTTCCTAGATAGAAAAAAAAATCATAATGAGTTATTTGATAACAAAAATTTTAGTCAAATTAAAGCCGTTAACCAAGACTTACCTAGTTTTCTTTACTTGCATATTGCTAGAGAGCTTCTCAAGCATTACTTCACCCGTACGTCTATCAATGATCAGGACACATTCCTTGTGGTAAGGTCGCTGTGAACCTTTGAATACTGTGTGCTCTGTGCCAGCGCCATCAAGGTGAGGGACTGTGACTGTGACCTGCTGATTCATCTCCACCGCAACTGATGCCATCTTACTGACATCCACACTAGCTGGCTTGAAGTCATCTACAGCAACCACACAAGAAAGTTAAGAACATGGTGACACACACACACCACTAATATAATTTTCCCTTGCTAATTAAGAATCTGAGGGCACTATTAAATGAGTAGTGCAATAAATTGCTTGAGAGAAGCTGAGAGTCAGATGGTAAATTTCTGGAGACTCATCTTAGAGACACATATTATAGAAACAAGAACGAGTGGCTCTGTAGACAGAAAACTGGACATGTCAGCTGTTGAGCACATCTCATCCAAATTGTGACATTACATAACCAATATGGTGCATCAAATCTAGCCTGAATTCCAAGGTAATTAATCATGTGTGCAAAAAAACAGCCCCAACTCAGCGTAAAATTGACGCTGACTGTTCTAAACGCGATCTGAGAGGAGTGAAACGAATTTTGAGAGCCCTACTTAAACCTGCTGCTCATAACCTCAAATAGAGGAGGTTGTAGACGTCAAACAATACTTACACTTTAAAGTGTGGAACGCAGTTCCTCTAGGGTTTGTGAAGCTCGGCCCAAGCTTCAGCGGTCTTTCCTCTGGCCCGAGGCCGAGGGCCAATTTAACTGCCGCGGCATCCCCTTTGGATCTATTTGGTGGACACCTCTGCATTTAAACAGTTTGTCGCAACACAACAAAACCTTTCCTAAAACTCTCTCTTCGGTTCCGAAACATCTATATCCATCTGATTACCCACGTCTGTGACGAAATTAGAGGTTTGAATTAGCGTCAAAAGAATCTCGACATACAATTTCAGAACCTGCTCAGTTGTAGGTTCATGACCTATATCTAGCATAAAGCATACTTGTGCCTGTACACAGGCGCAGACGTCTGTCCTGTCTGTGGCTTGACTGGAAATTGGGGAAGGGTAGGGGGAGTGAGTGTGAAGTGAGTGGCGGGCAAGGGAAAGGGGGAGGGGGCAAGTTAATGCGTGGAGGGGAGGAGTGGGTCAGGAGAGGGAAGTCTCAGGAGTAACACCAGAATTAAATTTTAAGTGTTTTATGAAAGATAAAAAATATGACAATGGGATAACATCTTAGTTCAAAAAGAAAAGGATGCCATTTCTTAAGACTCGGATGGTTCATTTTCATCGAACAAGATTTATTATATTATAGAACAATACAACAATCACATTTATCTTCACTTAAACTAAAAACAATTATGTTAAGTAGTAACAAAGTACCTGCACTGCACAAAAAACATTAGGCTAGAACAACTGGCATCAGTTGCTGATTAATGTCATATTATACTTGCAATACAGTAAATTGCACAAAAACAAATCTTAAACAATTATAAAACACAAAATATGTTTTTTGTTTGTTTCTAAATGTTAATATTTACAAGATCACAGTCTAAATTAAACCTTAAAATAAAAAAATTAACAGATAACTTTGTCATTAATCTCAGGAAATATTGTACTTAAATGGAAGTTTGTTAGAGTTGTTGCACTAGGAGATTGTATGGTGCTATTTTGGTGAGTGTTAGCAGCATGGATGGTAAGCCGGGGAGTTGTGTACAATGAATCTTGGGAGGGCATAGGATATGAGTGATGAGATAGGAAAGAAGGTGCAGGAGGGTGATTGGAAAAATTAATATCGTCTTGAGAAACAGGCGGCGGCATATTCATGTAACCAAAGTCAATGATATTTGATGGGACTGTTGAAGATGTGTTGTTTATGGGATTAATGGCATTTGATCGGTGATTGCGGCTAACAGAGGTATCTGTCATTCCTGTAGAGTTGTGATTCTTCTGTAGTAGGTTATCATCCATAGAAGATCTGTCAGAAATATTTTGTAGAGGATAAGATTGGTTCCGGTGGGTTCTTGATGGGTTGCCAAGCATAAATGAATGAACCCCATCACTGGGCAGGAATGTTCCTTGATAATCATTTTGTCTATGGGGAGGCAAATCTGTCAAAAACTGTGTTTGAGGTCCTTGAACTTGTAAAGAAATGGAAGAATTATTCTGATATGATACAGTGCCTCCAACAAAGTTATTGGAATAATGAGCACTATGGGACCGACGCTTCCGATGATTGTGTTGATTGGTTTGTTGAGCATTTGATGATGACAGCAAAGCTTCAGTTGAATAATTGCTAGAGACAGGTTTTGAGTTCTGTTTGAGTGACTGACAGCCCGTAGTATCTTGATGACTAAAGGATCCTGAGTATGGAATATTACTTTCTTTAGTTGAGGACGAAGTTCGAGTCTTACTTCCATTTCCAGAGTCAACAAGCTGACTAACAGACAAGAACGAACCCCCACACTCTTGTCCTGTAGCAACACTTTCTTCTACGGGTTTCTCTGAGCGCCTTGAAGTAATTATTGATCGTTTCACTGACTTTTTATGACATGATTGAGTGTCATTGCTATAAGATGGTAGGAAGGGTCGACTTATGTTGGTATCTCCCAGAGCTAAGTCACCGACAAGTGTTGGCAAAGTGGATGGAATCATCATATTTCCAAGCATTGAAGAACCTCCATTCTTGTTAGGTGACCATGCAGAGCTATCATGAAAGTTTTCCACAGTTTCATTTCCAAAGAGATGAAGTTCATTTCCTTTGAACAACGACTGACCAGAGTGAGGAATATCCAAACAGTGGAAGTTGGACGATTGGTCAAATAAGGTAGCAGTGCTGTCTGAATCTTTAGTGTGGTCTGGCAAATAGAGCAATCCCTGAGTACTGTTCAAATTCGAATTGTTACCAAAAGAAGGCCCGCTGTGATGCTGATGAGATCGTATGTCTGGGGCTGTCATCCAATTAACAGGGGGCCGATGCAAATTTGATACTGACTCTTTGTTAGTTGATCGTGCACACTGCTGTTGAGATTTCATCTGGCTCTCACGGTCAGCAGATTTATTGCTGTAAGATTCTTGATGATTTGTGAGCACATTCAAAGCACTGTTGCTGAATTGCATTACATTTGTTGAGCTTTCTAGGTTGAAATTTTGTCCAGATATATTGCTCTTTGCTGCATCCACTGATAAATCACTGTTTACATTAAAATCAATCACATTTTTCTTATTTGTTGAGGAAGGAGCCACTGGATATTCGTTGTTTTGGGCTACATGTAGCTTCGAAATATTACCTTGAAGGTGGTGGTTATTCACTTCATTTCCTTTCACATTCAGGGATTCATAACTAGGCCCCACCAATGACTGCTTTAGTTCCGAGACAACTGCATTTTGATTGTAATTCATTAAGTTGATTGATTCTTTCGAACCAACATTCTCCAAAGTAATGCTTGTTGAAGGTTTCAGGCTCTTGGATGATCTATCTTCAAAGTAAATATTGCTGGTCTTAGACTGTTTTGCTTCTGATAGGGTGTATCCAACAGTTGCAGAAGTGGATAGAGATGTTTGTTGCCTTAGATTTGGTCCTGATTCAGTTTCATTGAATCGTCCTCTGTCAGTTGTGTTAGAAGAAGGCACATTGGAGGAAGTGTTCATTACATTTAATGTACTGCACTCCTCTTGTTTTCTGTCTGAAATGGAGAATGACTTCTTCAAATCTGAACCACTAGCTGAGGATGCACTTGGCTTACTGCCATGACTGGGAAGATTCATCAAGTGATGGTTCTGCTCGAAGTTAGACACAACAGTATTCATTTTAGTAACAGCCAATGAAGTCGATGCCACTTGGCTCTGGCTGGAAGCAGATGAACCTATGCTAATGTCTGACACTTGAAATTCAGCTGATTTAATATTAGTTTTGGATGTTGTAAACATATCTTGAAAATGGCCAAGTCTTGAAACTTGTTTTGAACCTTGATTATTTTCAGGAGCTAATGTTGACCATGAAACCAGTCCTGCGGATGAAGATGGAGCTTGGCATTTGGTGGCAGAACTCGAGTCTTCAACACTGATACCTGAACTCATCAAAACAGGAGGGAGGACATAGTTAACAGCACAGTCTGATCGAGAAGCACTCAAAGTAGAAAAATCAGAGTAGGTTGAATGAGGTACGTCCATCCAATCTGTTTGTTTCTCACAAATCAAAAATGGTGTTGAATCATTTGGCTTCTGCGATGCTTTGTTGGAAATGCCATGGGCTCCACTATGCTTTGATTGCATTCTTGAAACATCATGTTGAACACCATTACCATTTGAAGTCACTGAGCTGGAAGCAGATTCATTCCTTGACTGACAAATCTGTTTACTGCTGTCGCAAGGAGGCTGATAAATGGATTTTGAAGAGAATGTATGGGAGCACTTGGAAGTTGGTTCCATATGCTTTTGAGCAAAGTTTGCAGTTTCCTTGAGAGAGAGAAGGGTTCCAGTATTTGCACATTTGTGAGATGATATTTGATCTACTCCTTTATGTGCAAAATTTCGATTATCAACAGAAGACTTGTTCTTTGAGATGGCAAGTGGCACAGTATCATGGCTAAATATGTTAGATGTACTGTAAACTACATTACTACCTTCTATTGGTGAAAATTCAGTGACACATTTTGTCACTGGTGTGTCACAGTCCATGTTTCCAATTTGCAAAATTGTTTTAATTCCTGGCTGGCTGTCAGTATTTTCACAAACTGTGTCATCTGCTAGCAGTTCTGTAGCTTTTGACGTAGACACAAGAGGAAATGATAAAAGAAAGGCAGCAGTTGGCGATATTGATTCTGGATGCTGCCCTGCAGTTGGAACTTGTAGGGAAGCAAATATATCATTGGAAATGTCAGAAGAATGCATGGGCAAACCAAATGAGGCGTCAGTCGAATCAAAAGACTCTGGCACTGCTTTAAAGTTCTCCATATCACTGATTGGGATAAAAGTATTTTTGTTATTGTGTAATGGCACACTTGAGAATATATTGCCACTGGAGCTTAATCTATCAGACTTATATTTAATTTTATCAGACCACTCACTGTAAGTGTTTGTAGTTGATGCCTGCCTGCTCTTTTCAGTGTTGGAACAAACATCATTAGGCTTTTCAATTGGCACTTGTTGATGAATTAATATTCCCATTCTGCCTCCATCAGTGACTTCCTTGTCTTGCTCAGAGCTTCTTCTGGTAGAAATTTCCTGAACAATTTGATCTGTGGCCTCCGATGTTAAGCCAGTTTCTGAGAAAAGGTGCTGCCCCTCGCAAAGAGCCAATATACTGTAACTTGATTTTGAAGTTTTCACCGGTGATACTTCAACAGTGCTGATATGAGAAAGATGACAATCAGTGGCACTGGTCTTATCTATCTTTGAACCATCCATGCTGGAGTCTTCCATTGCACATTTTTGCCGTTTAAAAATAGCCGAGTTTATATCCATCTCACAAAGACGCTTTTTAACAGGTGTTTTCTCGCAGTCCATCAATTTTTGAGCACTGCTATCATTCTTTTTTAATTGTTGGCCAATGTGCAAAGTGCTTATTTCTTCATTTTCTACAACAGGTGCTTCTTTGGGGTTTTCCAAGGTGCTCAAAAGTTCGGTGCCAGCAGCTTCATCTTTGTTTGATGATGTAAAATACACATTTAGTTTAGTCTCATCTGATGCACACTTACTATTCAAACTATTTTCAGCAACATTTTCTTTGTTGACATCAGATATTGGTTGAGAACATTTTCCCTCAGAGCCAAGCAAAATATTAGCAGGTTGTTTCTGGGCTGCACTCTTGGTCTCACTAACAGCACTTGTCATTGTTGATTTCAATCCATTTTCATCAGGTGCGGCAGCGCCTTGGACTGGTTCAGAGTCAACAGATTGGATATCTTGAGAAACATTCTTGATTTTAACTGTTTTCTGAGGACAAGGCTTTGAATCAACTTTAGAACTTTGTTTCAATAGCTTACTTTTACCATGAACAGAAATATTTCTATGGCCACCACATTGCTTCAATGAAGGAATAGGGAGTTTCCTCAGTTTCTTGGAGGTTTTGTTAGGTGGACCAGGCTGGATTGGTCGGTTGTTCATTCCACTGCTGACAACTTTCTGACCAGACAAAGGACTAGGAGTCACTACATTACTTTGAACAAGAATGAATGGATTGACGGTTTTAACACCAGTTACAGAAACAAGTAATGGGAGTGGTGTACTCGAGGAATTAGATGCAAACAATAATTGAGAGGACATTTGCAATGGCGACGATTGCATAAGCAACGGATTACTCTGAAGAATGGACGAGTTAGCACCTTGACCAGAGTTTGGGTCACCACTATCACTTTGAAATTGAGCTACTTTTACCAGACTAACAGGTTTCTCCACTTTAGTGTTGATGGTACTTGATGCCATGCTGTTACTTGAGGCTGATGTAGTGCTGAGAGAAGTGTTGCCTTTTCGTTTACCTGCAATTTTCTGCTTCTTGTTGGTAACATTGTTGTTGGCTCCAAATTTTTCTGTTGAACGTCCATACAAAATATGAAACACAATAAGATACTCTAATTGGATCACAATGAAGTTATCAGACTAACCTATTTTTGAGATTGATTTTGAAATCTCTGGACTTATCCAGGCTGGAGGTGTCAGCAGTTTGAGAAAATCAATTGGAACTTTGATATTGTCTTTATCGATGAGTGAGAGAAGCTGGCTGAATTTTTGAAGAACATGCAGGGTCCATTTTTGAAGGACTTCTAGTTTCATCTCTTGATTTCCTGATTGGTACGAGAAAATAAATTACATTTACATGATTATACAATTCATCTGTATGACGAACGGTAAAAAATATCTTTGAGGGTGTGACTGACAAAAGCGTATATCATTTACCTTCCTCTCCTCCATTTTTCTTTTCCTGTTGTAGTTGTTGAATGTATCCAAGTGCTTGAATAAGAATGTTCTTTTTGCTGATAATCTGTCCATCAATGTAACTTGGAAGAGCTTTTTGCAGTTCACAAAATGTTTGGTTGAGTACATCACGACGACCCTTCTCCCACTCTCTCCCTTTACTGCAAGTAAAAGTTGTGATGAGTAAAAGCTCTGTTGCACAGAAATAACTAGGTAACAAGCAACACAACAATCATAGGAGAAAAACCAAAAATTTGTCTTAACAAAGTGGTGTTCATAGAACCCAACAGTAGCCTACAGAGGTACTAGTATTATCACATTTATTTTTTTAATTTTAATTGAAGTTTACCTGGCTTCCTTCTTAACCATACTGTGACTCTTCTATTACTTTGCAGCGATGAATACTTATCAGTGTCATTGTGAGAATTGACATGAACGCGACCAAAGCGAATGCTGCTGTGCAATGTAAACAAATAGTTAGTCAGTTAGATAAGATTATGTTGGCATGGAGAACTTCGTACTGTTCCGGTCCAGGTTTCGGCTTCGAAAGAAGAAGAAGAACAACAACAACAACGCCGCCTGCTGCCTTGCTTGCGAGAAGGCGCTGGGAGTTTGACAACTGCAGACACAAATGTGGGGTAGTCGAGCTGCAGCTACGGTGACAGTCAGAAGTGTGGTCTGAGTTTCCATCCAGCAGGCGTGTGCGAGCTTGGCGTGGGCTGGTTAGTGAGTTTGACTGGGACGCGCAAGTTGATTCGCCATGGAAGACGTCAACGGGTGTGGCGGTGACGGTGCCGTGCTGCAGGAGACGTTCTACATCCTGTCGAAGAAGAACACCGTGTATCGAGTCAAGCTGTCAGAGAAGGGGCTCAGCCTGGTGAAGGAGTCCAACGGCAACACCAAGTCAGAGACGATCCAGCTCGACGACATCATCGGCTGTCGATGCATGCGCAGCAAATGCAAGCCCGGCCCGTCTTGTGCTTGTCGACCGAGCGGCAGGAAGGACCTGAAGGAGGCTGACAGGGAAGAGAAGCCAGGGTCTCAGGACAAGAGTGACATCAGTGCTTACCTGTACATTTACGCTTATGTCCTCAAGAAATACAAGATGACATCAGGTGTGAAGCGAGAAAGGATGACCATCACACTGCGCTTCCGCTCTTTTGACAAGTTTGAAGAGAATATGCGAGAAGCTCAGAAGTGGCGTTTGGCGATCAAGTGCCTGATGAAGGATGCTCCAATTCCTCGAGCGGTGCTGAACTCTGATGAGAATTCCATCACAATGTCGCCTGGTAAGTGGTCTGGTTTGTCACTGTGCTTGTAGGTGTTGGTGTAGAAATTCTCTGTCATCATATTGACTTTGAAGGAAGTAGGCTAAACAGTTTACCATTCCATCAGTTTTATTTCACCGTTCAGGAAAGTAACATTCCCTTCCCAAAAAAAACCTGAGTGGTATTCCAACACCTATTTCTTCTCGATATATTGGATGTAAACAATCTAAATGTCTCGTTTTGGTTTAAGAACATTTCAACTATGGCATTGTTACGGATGAATTTTTAACTTTGATTAGTACGCCCGCTTATATTAATGTGGAGACGGTTTCACCATGGTCTTCACATCTGTCTGTGAAGGTGTGGGTTTTCCCCCGTATCAGCTACTGCTGTCGTTAGGCAGAGTTTCAGTTGTCACCACCGTCATTAAGTGGGCGGCCAGCTGGCCTCCCGAGTCTGAGCGTCGCCTCGCGTTCTGGAGGTGCCTTGAGGTGCCCTGGGGCACCTGAGGCGGCCCTGCCCGGCGCGGGGGCCCCGGCTGGCTGTTGGCTGTTGTTGCGTGTCTCCGCGCTCCGCGCCGCTGTCAATGTCCCTAATGATCCGACGCCTTCGGGCGGTTCATGACCGATTGCCGTCGGCCCATTCCAGCCGCCTCAAGGATGGTTTCGTCGCTCTGTCTCTCTCCCACTCGAGGTGAGCCCCTCAGGGGCAAGCGGTGCGAGAGAGACAGAGTGACGTAATCGAACCACCCTTTGCAATATATTGGGATTCAGCCGGCGGACACCCCATCCCTAACGCTCTCGTGCAGACTCGTGAATTGTCGGAGGGACAAATGCTTGCTGGATGCCGTCAATGTGCACGGCCTCGGCCACGGCCTTGTCCATGGCCGCCGGGAAGAAGAGGCCGCCGCGCCGCTGCTAGAGTGTTAGAGGCCAGAGGGGCCCAAGCCGCTGCTCGCCGCGGGCGCCCGATGGACCGGCTGCCGAGTGATTCAGAAGATCGCTTTGTCGCTCTGTCTCTCTCGCACCCTTACGGAGTGCCCCATGAGTGCGAGAGAGACAGAGCGACGAAACGACTCTTCGGAATCGCTCAGCTGGGTTGCCTGGGCTGGCAAGGCTGCCTGGGCGCGTTTCGGCTTCGGCGCGATGCAACGATGCAACCCGTTGCAGCGAGCGTCGCCGCGTTGCATCGATGCGGCGGCAGCCGCGGCAGCTGGACTTCCCCGCGGCGGGGCGGGTGCCCCGGGTGCGCTCCGAACAACGAACAACCCTCACTCGGACAGCTCCACCGGCTGGCTCGGCCGGTTACATGAGCTGGACGGAAAAATTGAGTTACGGATCGAACTTGGCGAAATGGTTTCACAGAGACGTGGCGAGGAAATGCATTCAGGAGAAAACGTACGTGGGATGTAGAAAGGGGGGGGGGGTACCTCTCGACGCCGAGATCCTCACCTTTGGCCGACCTCTATTAGATCCAATCACAGCTGCTTGAGTGTGTGCGGGGGCAAAAACAGGAGGGGGAGGGTCGTGTGTCCTGTTGTGTCCGTTGCGCTGTATCGGAAAGGACGCTGCTCAGAGACTCGATAAGATAGCAGGTGTCAGGTGCAGATTCCACGGACCTACGGACCGAGTCCGCGGTTGTTACGGCCCGGACGGCCCGGAGGGACACGTCATACAACCTCTTGATTTTTCCCGGGGACCGGATGGTCCGAGTGGATGCATTGAGGGGAGGGGAGGGGATGCGTGCACCTTCGTGCGTGGCTGGGCTTGCTTGCAGCATTGCTCTGCAGGCGTGCCGCTGTGTGTTGCAGTCAAGTTTTTACTGTGCCCGCCAAGGTCGTGGCTCGACGTTGCTGCGCCGCGCGCTGCCCGCGCTGCCCGCCGACATGTGGGTCAGGTTCCTGTTGAAAGGACGACGGCGCGTCGCCGCGTTGTCGCATCGACCGAACGCTGTCCAAAGTACTGGGTCTTCCACCGCGTCGTTCTTACAGTGACGTGACGCTGGCCAAATGGTGCGTGTTGAATCGCCAACCTTTTGAAGGCGGCGCTCAGCGGGTCCGCCCCCACTCCCTCCTCTTTGGCTCCGCGCGCCCCAAATCCCCGATGGCGAAACGTCAAGTGTCTCTCCCTCCCTGCAATGGCTGCAACGCGACGCTTCCCACTGCGCACCTGTCCCCGCGGTGTGCAAGTGGTCCGTTCCGTTCCAATCCCGGTCGCGTTTGAGCGTTATCGCAGTGTGGTGTTTGCTTTCCTCGCGTGTGCACAGCGCACAGCAACGCCCTTATTGGGCATGTATCGTGTCCGGTTGACATTGGACTTGGCCACCCCGTTCCGTGGTTATGCCATTTTTAACGCCCCCCTCCTACCCTCGCTTCGCCCCTTTCCCTTTACACGGGCCACGGCCTTCTGGTCTAGTTCCGTGCTAGATCGATGGCATAGTGCATCGCCGAGCGTCGCCGAGCGGCGGATACCATTTTTATTGCTTGCCGTCCCGAGGGCCGGCCGCGCAGGTGGATCCAACATCCAAGTGGCCAAGGTCCCGCGTCCTCTACCTGCGTTGGGACGCCGCGGACGCCGCACAGTGGGCCAGAAGACCGGTGGAGGCGGCCAAAACTCTAGACGCGTTTTGAGCTCCAGAGTCGCTAAATAGGACTCGAACCGAACGTGTGACCCCACCAATGAATTGCTCTCCGAACGAGGAATCCATTGGTGGGGTCACACGTTCGGTTCGAGTCCCACTTAGCGACTCTGGAGCTAAAAACGCGTCTAGGGTTTTGGCCGCATCCACCGGCTTCTGGTCCACTGTGCGCCGCGGACGATTCTGCGAGATGGGGCGCCTCGGCAGCGCCTCGGCAGCGCCGAATCTCGCTGCGGTCTGAAGACGGTGTCGGACTACCCTGCCGAGCGATTCGGGAGATCGGCGTGTCGCTCTGTTTCTCTCGCACCCTTGGAGAGCCCCGTATTGGTTTGCGCCATGAGTGTGACGGAGACAGAGGGACGACAAAGACTCTTCAGAATTGCTCGGCTGTTTTGACGCGGGCTGGGGGCTGCATGAACTGATTCAGCGTCGCTCTGTCTCTCTCGCACCTCCGGAGTGGAGCGCTGTTTGGAATGGCCCTGCTGCACTGCGCCCCGAGCCCCCAATGCAATCAATGCAATTCGCTGTGCAAACCACATCGGCTGCAAACTTGGTGCGCCGCCCCGCCTGCCGTTACGGGGGGCGAAACTGCTGTCTGATGAAAAGGGCTTTTCGCTGAGTGGGTGGGACGGGCGAGACGGGCCGCCATCTGCCCTCTCTGTGATTGGCATGCGGTCAGACTTATCAGTGGACCTACTCCGAACTGTGCTTCGGCGCTCTTCCGTCCCTCTCGCACCCCCACGGGCCCGCAGGGTCGCCCTAGGAGTGCGACAGGGACAGAGCGACGAAAGCTTCGCTCGGTGGAACCAGCCGCTACAGAAGTCGTGGCGATACGGGCTCTGCTGTCGCGTGCCCAAAGCGCCGCGCGGCCCGCGCCGTCGCCATGTGCCATGTGCACTTCAGGCGCTGCCTGCGCTAGCCTGCGCTAGCCTGCGCCGGTGCCTGGTCTGGGTTGTCTGGGTGACCAGAAAGAGGGGGAGGGGGAAATCAAGTGGCGCAGTCCTGGACTGGAGAGGAAGGGCGAATCGAAAACTGAAGGGCCTGCTCATGAATAAAAGTAAATAAAAAGTAGATGTATGTGGCCGCGTGCCGCGGGTGCGGGACTCTCGGTGGTCTCCTCAGGACTTCCAGCAGCAGGCCCATCAGGCGGTCGTGCGGCTTGCACCGGGTTCGAGAGTCACTCGCTCGGATTGGACCGGAACTTTCGGTCCTCCAAGTTTGCACCCCTGTTTCTGGTAGTCAACCCGCCGCACTCAAGTTGATGCCCTCTTGTCCTGCGGGTCTTAGGTGGTTTGTGGGCGTGGAGAGGAGCAGAGGAGAGAGCTGCCGTCGGAGCGCGGGCTGGCCCAAGGGCTGGCCTGGAGCCCAGCGCCCAGCAAGCTCAGCGGAGGGGGTGGCGCCTCGCGCGCCTCGTGCGCCCCGGCGACTAGGGCCACTAGGGCCACGGCGGGGCAGTGGTCGGCCTTGGGCCTTGGGCGGCATGTCTGCAGGGCGCTGCTGCAGCAGCATGCGCTGCAGGGTCATGCAGTGCTGCATTACGGCAGCTGCTTTCTCCGGGCAGCGGCGGCGCCGCGGCCCCAACAGGCAGTGTATCGGCAGCGGTGGCGCCTTGAATCCGACCAGCCTCCGCGGCTTGGCTTGTCTCCCTGCCGCCGTCCGCCGTCTACGCCAGCAGCAATCAGCACCAACGGCACCTCCTTCCGCCCCGCCCCAGCGTCCCCGCGACGCTCGGCTGGAGCTTCTGAGTCAGACCTCGGCCGCGGCGCCGCGGAGGATCTTGGACTTCCCCAGGGGCCGCGCCGAGGGCCGCGCCACCGCGCGTCATTGGCGTCGTCACGGCACGGCACGTGCGCTGCAGCGGCGGAGGCTCCTCGATGCGTCAATTAGAAATTCTAATGGAATGAGGAAGGTGGGCGAAGCGGGCGATGTGAAATGAGACGCGGGTTGCGGCGTTGCGTCGTGTTTTGTCGGCGAGCGGAACGACACGCGTGTCGCGTTGCCTCCCAGTCGCCTCTCCGCGCCTCTCCGCCTTCCGTCGCGCTCCGTCTCCCTCGCGCGCATGCGGGCGCCGGTGCCACCCACGCGTGCGAGAGAGACAACGCGCTGTTCGGAGTGGGCCTGCGGCTCGGCCGGCTCGGCCTGCGGTGTAGTAATCGTACGCATTGGACGGTACTGAGTCCCCCTCAGGAGCCCCCCGCCCCGCGCCGGGGCCTGTCCAGGACGGGGCCAGGGACCGATACCTATATAGGCCGGTCGCTCGCTGCGTGCCAGGCGCAGCCAGGCGTCAGGCGTGCCACATACTGGCCGGTGCGCGTGCACCGACGCGACGCACGCCGCTCGGACGCAGCAGGCAGACAGACAGGCAAAGACACTGCTGCTCTTGTCCGCGTGGTCGCTGGTGCAGTTATGGGCGCGTGTCCCTGCCACCGATTCCCAAGGATCGTCTTTCTCTTTCGCACTCGTCGTGCAGCATGAGACCGACGACTCGTTCCAGACGGCAGTCACGCTCGGCCACGAGGGGGAAATCACTCGCGTAATAGTCGGGTCACCGATTCCTAGTATTACGCGTAATAGTAATAGCGTAATAGCCAAATTTTTAAAATTTTCCCTCTTAAGGGTCCGATTTTAGCCTAAATCTGGATATTTTGGAGCGTAATAAGCCTCCTGTAATAGCGTAATAGAACGTAATAGGGAGTAGTCGGGTCACAGTTTTTAAGAGTGATTTCCCCCTCGCTCGGCCACTGTTTACACCGGTGTTTGGCGCGGGACGCAACGCGCACGCACGCGGTGCGGACGCCGACGTGCCGGCAGAGGTCGCGCTGCTTAGCATCCGCTCGCGAAGTCTGGTGCGGTCCGGCGGCCCCCGGTCTGGCGGCCCGGCGGCCCCCATGGCATCGCGGTGCGCGGGCTGCGCGGCGTGCGGCGTGCGCGGTCCAGAGGTCGCGGGGGAGGGGAACCAACGAGGCTGACAGGAGACTCTGGCCCTCCGCGGCCCTACTCCACCACGCTGTCGGTCGGGTCAACTCGATTTCAGAGTGCGGCCTTGTTCGCTCGTGAAGCCCGAAGCGTGCTTTCATCGCCTCGTCTAGCACACTGCACTGCATGTGCTAGAGGTTGCCGCCGACGAACGCCATGCCCGCTTGATGGTATCAATTGACGTGTGCGGGGACATGGCGTCATCGATTGGCCGCCGGACCGGCGGACACGGACCTGGCGGGCACGGACCTGGCGGGCACGGACCTGGCGGGCACGGACCTGGCGGGCACGGACCTGGCGGGCACGGACCTGGCGGCGAGGCTCCGTGCTTCCAGTGCCGTGACGCCCGACTCGGCACGGCATGCTGCGGCCCGCTGCGGCATGTCGGTCTGTTGGGTGTGTGGTGTAGTCATTGTGTTACTGCCGTGAGGTTGTACTCGCGGTCGCGTGCCCGCCGTGCCTGCGCCGGGACGCCGGGGACGTCAGGAGGTCGCCGCGGGGACGCGCAGTTTACGGCACTCTGTTTATTAGCAATGCCGGTCTCCGTTTGACGAAGGAGCGACACGATGACGCTGGGTGTAAAAGCGCGGGGAAGTCCAGGAGTTTGGCCCTCGCGGAATGCGGTCGGGAGTGAGGAGACAGCTCTGCTGCACAATCCAGCTTTGCTGCATTTGCAATGGGAGCGCCAAGTATGCTCTCCCGGAAACAGACTGGACGCTGCGATTCTTCGACGGAATCTCCCCGAGACCCTCCAGCCGTGTCCTCCCACCGCGTTGTGGCTGTGGACTCCACAGTGTGCACTCGTAAAAGTGCCTCATTAGGGGTTCTCCCTCCGCCAAGCGCGAGCGTGGACGGCGTGGACCCTCGGGCATCTCGGCCAAGGTGGGAAGGGGGTGGGCTGGGGGTGGGGGTGGGGGGTCGAAGCCGGGTCAGAAGATTGGATTCGTACATGGATCGGCGAGCTGCCTGTGCAAGGAGAGACGTAGACTGGTTGGAAAAGAGACTGAATTTGGCTGATGCGTTTGCTGCAGGTGGTGTGGAGCGCATCCTGGACGAGCGCAAGATCCTGGTGCTGCTGAACCCCAAGAGCGGGCCGGGCCGGGCGCGCGACGTGTTCCAGCAGAAGGTGGTACCGCTGCTGCTGGAGGCCGAGGTGGGCTACGATCTGCACATCTCCAAGCACGCCAACTACGCGCGCGAGTTCGTGCGCTCGCGCGACGTGTACCAGTACCGCGCCATCGTCGTCATGGGCGGCGACGGCATCATCTTCGAGGTGAGTCGTCGAGGAAGCGCAGCGAGCGCAGCAGCCATTGTGGACTGATTCCGCACACCTCTCTCTTTCTCTCTCTCTCTCGCACTTACGGGGCGTTCCGCATGGGTGCGAGAGAGACAGACGAAACGCCCTGCGGAATCAGGGTGCTGGCGCGGAGGGCGAGGACGCCAGATGCGTGGGCGTATGTACCCGGTCTACCGAGAAAACCACTCCTCTCAGTAGGGACGCCCCGCCACGTGCTGGTGTATCACCGACATGGCAGGGCGGGCCTGAAAGCCAGACGATCATTGTGGTCGAGGCATCAATCGCAATCGCAATCGCCTGCCGGGTAGGCAAGCCCGTTGCACTCCGCTGACGTCGGGTTGCCTATCGCAACTTGGCAGGCGCTTTGAGACCAAGCTATTGACAAACTTGTTGCAGGTGGTGAACGGCCTGTTCGAGCGGCCCGACTGGCGATCGGCCGTCAAGGAAGTCCCCGTGGGAGTGATACCGTGTGGCTCGGGCAACGGCCTCGCCAAATCCGTGGCAGTGGAGTAAGTGTGGAGTGTGGCCGCCTCGTCTTGTTTTGTTTCCTCTCGTGCTGGGGGCAGACTCTGTTATTATTTTCATCATTTCCAGTGACTCCTACGACCACAATCCAGTTCTCTTTTCCACTCTCAACATCCTCAAGGGAACGTCCACTCCTCTAGACTTAGTGAGAGTTGAAACTAGATCTAAAGTAAGTTGACTTCAGTTTCTGATGTTTTTAATGTGCGTGTGTGCCTGATTCCCTGTTACTGTCTTAACAACTTTCAATCTAGTAACTTGATCTGGTTTCCTTGCAGATTATGTACTCATTTCTATCCATTGGGTGGGGTCTCTTATCAGATATTGATATAGAGAGTGAAAAGTTACGAGCGATTGGCGGACAGCGCTTTACTGTGTGGAGTGTGGCAAGATTAATCGGTAAAGTCTTTTTAGGATTCGCTTGACTTTGATGAAATTTGCTATGGCCCGCTAACAAAAAAATTTCTCTGTTAAGGACTGCGGACATATAAAGGGAGAATATCTTACTTGCTGCATCCTAACTCAAAAAGTCCGGTTTCTTCGAGTAATGCCAGTAGAACTGTGTTGACTCGAAGTGCTAGTCAAATGGTTGATGTTGACCTTGCCAATGATGCCAATGTGGGATTTATGACACCAATGCATACAAGTCAAAGCATGTTTAGTGATTTAGTGGAATCTGACAGTCCTCTGAGAGACTTGAGCCTAGAAACTGCTTATGCCAAGGTTTGTATTTTCTGTGGCTTAATGTTGTTTTTGTGGTATTGTTATTTAAAAAAAAAAAATCACTATCTCTCTCTTTAAAACTTTTCAGATTGCAGAAGATATGAGTTCAGATCCAGATCAGCGACCTCGCATGGACAGCTTTTATTCAATCAATTCTCGCCGCAGTACTTATTACTCCATTGGGGGATCCAGCTTCCAGTCAGTTTTTGACCCCAGCTCTGATCATAACAGTGGAAGTGTTAATGTACAAATGTATGGCCCCCCATCTCAGTTACCGTCCCTCACACAACCTGTTCCAGACACTTGGACCAAACTAGAAGGCAAGTTCAGAGATTTTTTAAATCTGGCCCTATCACCATTTAAAAAAATCGAATGAACAGATTTATTTGATTGCAATTTATTCCCCACAGGAGAATTTATTATGATGCACTCTACAAATGTTACTCATTTGGCAAAAGACTGCCTTTTTGCTCCTGAGGCAAAATTAAATGATGGTATCATATGGTTAGTTGTTATAGAAGCAGGCATCTCTAGACATCAACTTTTGCAAGTAAGTATTATACTAAAACATGCTAACAACAGTTTACTCATAGACATCTTACACTCTCTTTTGCTTTCTAGTTTTTACTGGGCCTTTCTCATGGGACTCACCTGAACTGTCCACATGTGAAGATGTTACCAGTTTCAGCATTCCGCCTTGAACCTGAGACAGAAGGGAGCTACATCACTGTTGATGGTGAGGTTGTGGAGTATGGACCAATTCAAGTTGAAATCATGCCTGCTCTTGGACGTATATTATCACGATAGAATTTTCAACAGTTTCAAATTAAAAACGTAAATGAAACTGTACTCCTCAATCTTTGATTTGTTTGCAACATCAATTTTTTTCTGCTCAGTTTTTTGTTTGTGTTTGTTGTAGTTTATCAATAGAGCAAGAGGAAATTTAAAGAAAATTTAGTTGCAGAATATGCTGTGAGTTTGTGAATGTTACCACTTCTAGGTCAGAAATTCCAACAACTGATACCCAATTTCAGATAAGCCTTTCACAAAGGTGCCTGAATATTTTAATCTAGTACACCTTTGTTCTGGTCTTTTAATAAGGAGAAACTACTGTACCTTTAGTGTTAATTTATTTTATTTTGGCCATGACAGTTGACGGATTTCATTTTTAGGTGTTCAAGATCTTTGACATGGTGAACTCGTAATTTTGTATGAATGGTATCTTACATGATTGTGAGCCATTCATAGTTTGTTTTTATCCCTTTTCAGGTATAGTGAAATGGCAAGTAATTGCTGTAATAGTACAAGATTGAGTGCCTTTAATGTCTTTCATTGTTACCTTTTTTTTTGCTTTGTCTCATCAGTATTTATCTCAATAGTGTCATGTGGCTAACATAAAATGACATCTGAAGAGCTTTGATGGAACAGATATATATATTTGAGTAACCATTTAACTTCACTCCTATTTCATTGATATCAGTGAATGAACCTACACACCTTGTCAATAATTCAGGTTGTGAAGGAATAACTTTTTATTGTGAAGAAGTAGACCAAATGTAAGTAAATTAGCATATTTCTTGAGTATATATATGCCATTGGGAGGGTATGGCAGCAGCCATGCATCTTACTCAATGATTTAAACTGCAAGCTTCGGTTTCCATACAAAGTTTTTATCCATTAATAATAAAATGTTTATATTGTTTGTTATTGTATGTTGAAGTTGTCTGTTAAAAATGTACAAATTTGTTGTCATTTTTGCTGTCTTACTTAATCTTAAAGAATTGTGATTCATTATGTATCATGTGCATGTGATAGTGTATTTGGAATAACATTTCATGATTTTCCATGTGTAAAGGCTCTTGACACATTTCAAATGGTTGTGGTTTCAAGCAATAAAAGTGTTACCTATTAAGTTTTTATCTTTTGAATGGGCCAAGTATGCATTTTATTGTTAAAAATGTATTATAGTTTTATTTTTGCACAAGCTGAGTTCGATGTATATTTAAAGGAAAAATGAACTCAATCCTGCTGTGATGGATTGCCCTGCGCCTTTTGTTCTTGGCTGTCTATTTGTTAGTTTATTTGTTTGCCATTTCTCTATAGTCTATCTAGTTATAACTGTTATTAAACAGGGTGGGGATCATTAATTTTCCAAAGAAAAAAGGGAGTGGCAAAACAGATCCATGCCTGTTTTAGCTTGAATCTTGGTTTACTGCCATCTCTGGAACCCGAGTACTGTGTAGCAATACATATTTCAATACACTGAGGTGAAGTTTTGCTCTTCCATACATTCCTACAACCTAGTTATTATTGTGTAATTAACAGTTTAATTTATTCAAAGCAATTTTCCTGAACTGGGGTATGTTCTAATCTCGGGTTTATGAACTCCTGATAGTTTGCCTTTTAAGTGTTGCTTTGAGCAGATTTGACTGTACTTACTTTATCCTTACCAGTCACTCAAATCATTCCTTGTGTCATAATTTCCAGATGCCGCCTCAATTTTAAGGTTCAAAAGAGGAATGTAGGGAAATTACAATGTACTAATTTTTATTGTCTGGAATAAAGGAACTTGATGCTTAAGCAAAGCCAGCCACCAACTTTAACTCATGTCGAATTTCACTTGCTCCACCTCACTCCTTATTTTATAAAAATACACAACCGTTCAGAACAAAGGATTATATTTACTTAATACAGTGAATGAACAAAGCACAGTGTATTCCAAAACATAGATCTCTACATCATCGCTAATTTATTTAATATATTACCAAGGGCGAATTTTCCCCTGTGTTGCATGTGTTGTAATTATAACAGTCTTTGGTTTAGGAATCATTTGCATTTGTTTGTGGCGGGGATGAGCGTCGCACCAGACATGGAGCCTCTCATCAATCATGATGAAAAAGCAATGCCTACATCTTTTCCTCAGTTTTCCCATTTGCTGAAAAAAAAAGAAGTTGCGAGTGCAAAATAAAACTACTGAACTACTGCATCAAACCATCACATCATTAGCTGAAGAGGCATTTTAGGGTAATAGCGACAGGATTACTTTCCAACTTGTAGAAGTAATCTTTGGCAAGTACCTTTATTCCGGCAGCTGGTATGAGATAAGTGGGTGACGGAGATAGAAAGGAAGTTCGCTGGGACAAGCCCAGAGTTGACGGACTATTCCAATAACATCCATGAGTAGCTATAGAATTACATACACTGAACAAGCGTACTGTTTTTTCCAAAGGTGATGTGAATAGAAATTTGGAGATACTTTGGCTGGCAGCTCGGACACTCAACATCGTTTCTGGAAAGAGAGTATAGTCTCAAACAAAGTGGAAAACAACAAGTCTTGATACGAGATGTTGTGCACATCTGATAGTACTGGTTACACCAGTTACGCAGTGTCAGAAAAGCAAAATAATTTTCAACAATCGTTTTAAGAAAACAAAATGAATTAATGATTTAATGAAAAATGACGTAAATTATCAAGGTTTTTGTTATTGTCAGGTATTCATACTAATATGTACTTACCAGTTCTGATTGAATTAAATACGAAGATGTGATAATTGTAAGCTGAGCAGTAATCTCAAATACAAACAACTAGATACTTAGTGAGTAAAAGATACATTGAAGTTGATTTGAAAACATGTACGGTGGTAAGGTTAGTAGTCCCTGCTTTGCTTTTGCTTCTGCTATTTAGCTGCGGCTAGGCAGCCGATGAACAGCCCGATCGCTATGTGCTACGACAGTGATAAATGTCGAAAGCTAGCATTTACTTAATGTCTCAGGTCTTGTTCCCATAAAATTAAAAGATTTACAAAACGGGTAGTGTCACGATCTAAACTTCTTCAAATTTTAAGTAGGCTCGGGTCGGTCGGTCAGGTCGGGACAGGTAGCGATCGGTGAATGATGAGTACCGCGGTGCCGGCGGTGTCCTGTTTTCTTAAATGTTAATCGTCAATATAGAGAGGTCCGAATAATAATAAAATTGAAATTATGAGCTATTTTCTAAAATTGCACTGTTTCATCGAAGGATTGAAAATAAAAACACAGCTTGGAGTGGTCAGAATCGAATCGAGTACTTTCGTAGCGGCCATTTTTCTCGCAGTTCTGGTGCTGCCGCTGCCGGAAACGGTGTCGGTGTCAGTGCAGTTGGGGTTCTCTTGCAAGGAGGGTCGTGATGGCTGAAGCCGAGCCAGCACGTGCTCCGAAGTTTTTCAGTTTTTCGAGCCGGTTTGCCGTCGATTTGGTGGTAAGTTTTGCCGTTTTTGTTCGTGGGCGAGCTTTGGGTGTCGCTTGAAGTATTAGTTGCTTCTCGCCTAGCCTGAATGTGTGAAACTTCGTTTTACCCGGGGCGTGTTTGCTAGGCCTAATGTACGCCGTCTCCCGTCTCTCTATGAATCAGCCTCTTGCGCTCTCCCGGGTCTCCTTTATCTTTGCGCGATAGATTATCTTCAGTGGTGTGCCCATTGTTCTCTTGGAGCGAGAATCCTGATTATCGCAGTTTTTGTGTCGGCTCAAGCGCTTGGGCCGGGGTCCCTCCTAACCAAGGAACCACCTCAGGTGGCTTGGTTACGTGCCGTCTTAATTTTCATTTATTGAGTGTTATTTTGTTCATTGCGCATTCCCAAATTGTTTAGCTGAATGAAGTTTCATTCAATGAAGAGGAATTTGACTTAAATCTGTCCCGAGTGACATTTTTTCCCGCCTCCGGCCCGTATCCGCGCAACTATCTTTCTGGTAATAATAATGGCGGCGCCTCGTGTTGGCGCCAAACGCCGCTGACGCTACTTCGTTAGTCCCCTCCCGTTCTCAAGTTTCTCTCATCTTGGACGGATTTTTCTCGTCTTTCTAAAATGACGTAGTTAAATATTCATTTAACTTCGGTCTTTATCCAGTTTATTAGTGTTCCTTTTTTTGCATTTTGAATATATATTTTTACTGCCTAGGCTGCCTTCACTTCAGCTGTCAATTCGACGGACTTTTGTGGTGCCAAAGAGACTGTGAAATGTTTCCTACGTTCATATCACAGTCTTCTTTGGTATCATGAAGGTTTGTCCCGTCATCTTGGTATTCATCTTGCACTGGCTTTTGGTGCATTGTGCCTGTATGCTCCTCACTTGTATTTGATGCTTGATTCCTGTGACTGTTTTTGCAACACATTTAGGGCTTTCATTTCCAGACGCTCCGATGTTCCAAGGGCCCTGTCACTATGTTCCTGAACCTTCTTTTGATTTAACTGTGATTTTGTGTATTTGGTTCACATCACAGCTGAATCAAGAGCAGTGTTAGGGATGCTGTCTACATTGGCGGACGGAAGTTGCTGGCCCCAGTTCCAACTGATCCATGGGCTTCCCGCAGGTTTCGCTGTGATGTGTTATATTTGTTCATATCACAGCTGAAATCTGTGAGAGTTTCATGTGGTTTCATATCATCGAGTCAACATCCCGAGCGCCTACCTTCTACAAATTTTTCATCATTCTCCAATTTTGAATCCTGTTACTCTCCTGCCCTGAATTTTTAAATAAAATTGCTATTTAATTATAAGAGTTGTTCTTTCACACCCTTCTCCAAAATAAAAAGGGACACAAACATTTCATTAAAGACAATTTAATACAAAACAAATTCATGAACATTTGCATTATCACTTCTTAAACCACTTGGGTATTTTGCCGCTAGCCGCATTATTGCTAGCCTTGGACACTTGAGCTGTGCCTGACGAGCAGGGAACATTAGGATCGAAAGATTCAGACTTTGGTGCAGGCTCTGGCCTCTTAGGTTGATTAGATCTGAAGTAGAAGAATGGTCAATGAAAGAAAATTCGATGCATGTAACACTACCGTCCATGTTATCACTCACCTTTCCCTACGGGTGGCAGCAGAAGCTGCTGACGCAGCTGCAGTGGCAGTGGAGACTTGAGCCATTATATCCTCACGAATGTAGGATCCATTCTCAGGGCAAGGTGCATTTGTCAAGAGATGGACTAATGCTCCTGGTACACAATTTGCATCATACAGAGTTTGATTAGCTTGGAGAATTGTCTTTGGTGGAGTAGTAACTGAAATAGATAAAACCGCAATCACACACAAATAAACTAAACCATCCTGAATTAAAGAGAAATTAAACCAAGAAACTTACATATGTGGAAGTCAATAGATGGGTCATGAAGATAGACCCTCACAAAATCCATAACATGCGATACTTTCTCTAAAGGGGTGAATGTTCCCTGAAGAACGAGTTGGTTGGGAAATTGAACCTTGATCACACAGCGTTTGTACTGATGGAGTGCATTGAGCATGTGTTTGGATTTTTCAAGTTCCCTATACTGCGAGGTAACAAGAGGCTGGTCCTGTAAATCTGCTCTGAAATAGAAAGTTAAAAATCCTAAAATAACTGCCTTTACCATAAGAATCAAAAGCTCTGACGAAAACTCACTGTCTTTTTTTCATGTCTCGGATCAATTGTTTTGCATCATCCAATGTCAAATCAAAGAAATCATCAGGAACATCCTCCGCCCTACAAGCTCTTGCTGTGGCTACATCAAAGAGAACAGCGTTGCGCTCGCCCAACTGGAGGAAAAACCCATAATTAGAGATGTCTGAATACTTGCTTTGACACAGTTTCCAAAATTTGAACTAAAATGGCATTTATTGTTCTTACAAATATTATTGTTTCTTCTGGTTCCATGATAGAATCAGCCTTTTCTGCTTCTTGATGTGTAGATTGTTGAGTAGATGAAGTTTTCACAGAAGAATTTGTTCCGGAAGTGTACTCAAGATCCATCTCTATATCTTCAGTTGGGGACATTGATGACTCTACTAATGAAGAAATTGTAGAAGATATGTTTCCAGTACTTCTTGGACTTTCCACACTGGGAGGAATCGTGTCTTGTGATTCAGATACTTTGGACTCTTCAACCACACTCGGAAAAGGTGGTTGCAATAATTTGGACTCTGGCACCGTTGGCTCTCCAATGCTCATACTAGTGCTACAGGCACTTGTAGAAGGCTTGACTAGTGATTCCGGAGTAGGTAGAACAGGTTTAGATAGAGGTGCTGAAACATTTGCTTGGTGGCGAAGTTCGTCCTCAGCTTTCTTAAAAAACCTAAGACAGGAAACATATAGCAACAGGAAAACAAAACAAATAAATGTTATGTTATTAATTACCTAAGAATCGCTCCTCCAGATGTTAAACCTAGGCTGCGCAATGTAGTACTTTTCAAATTTTCCACACCAGACTCCTCTCGACCAAGGTAAAAGATAACTGGCAGTTTATCAGATGACATATCATCTGCTTCATTGGGGCACAGAGTTTCAATAACATGCCAAAGAGAGTCTGAAATTAATAAATCCAATATTAGCACATTCATGACAAAAAAACGTGTTCCTGGTATAAAATGTTGATATTGCCATAGATGATGGTAGAGGGAAATTTTTACCAGCAGGTTCAAACTCTCCCATTACACGGCTGCCACTCTCCAACGCAAGGCCAACTTTGACTCGAGATTCTGCTCTTGTCTTCAAGGCTGCAATCATCTCTAACTGAGCATTGTTTGGTAGTCCAGTGTAACGTATAATGGATGTTGCATCTAAAACTTTATTGTGATGTCTAGAAAGTGCAATTACTGGTCAGTAGAATAATCGAAAATTCAGTACCAGGGAAAAGGTCAAGAAAAGGGACTTACGTGATGTCATATTCCTCTGCTTTAAAACCCTGCTTCTTGCAAACCTCCTCAATCACCTTGAAACACAGAAAAATGACAAATTGTCAGGAGATGAAAATCTACACAATGGTAAGCAGCTTTAGTTTGTTTCACTCAGTGACACTGGCGACACATGCCACATGTCTGTACTTTGAGCGTTTGCCATGGATTGTCAGTAATGAATAGCATCAGGTTATAGCCTGTGCCTGTGGTAAATGTACACGAATGTGTTTAAGACAAGACAGTTTCGAAATTAAACACAACAGATGAATGACTTAAGAACGACAAATCACTATAGGCATGAGAAAGAGGGTATACAGTATGCATCCATCCATCAACACTAAGAATGACATTTCACTTTTTGGCTCGAATCATACCTGTAATATGGTGGTATTAAGAGTGACTTTAACATTTTGTCTCCTTCCATTAGGAGCCAGCACAACTACGCATTTATTCGACATGATACGATGAAAATGACGTTTCTACCGAAGAGTGATTGGACGAGATTTATGCAGGAACGATCTGATCTAGCGAGCAGACAGCCTGCCATTCAGGACAAACAAGTTTTCGGCGTTTCTGAACAACAACATCGAAAACAACAAAAACAAGACCATTTTGCAGGGTTGAAATTCCTATCGTGAACATAACAGTTATGAAATTGGATTAATGTAATTTAAGGCAATGATACGTTCAATCTTTTTTAATTTTATCATTTTGGATGAAAATACGTTAAGAAAATACAAGTCAGAAGGTTATAACATGGTCGTGATTTCGTGAAGTAAACTACTTAAGGTTGGCACGACCGTGCCAAAGGGCCCGTCCTTAAATTTAAGGCGTCTGTGACTACGCCATTTTCTTCGTATTATTTGTGTCAAGAGAACGTAGGCGTTCGTTTGATTTTTGCCATTTCTTCTACTTTACTGTTGTTCCTGACCTATTGTTCAAGATGCATTGAGTGCCATTCTATAGAAATCGCTCAAGGGTAAGTTTAACAGATATAGCTTGTGTATAATCAGTTCTTGCTGCTATCTAGGCTTGCCGCCCTACGTGAGGTTATACTGCCGACTTGTATTTACCAGGCTCTAAATTGACGCATTCACCTTGTGGAATCATGACGTACCTTCCTATTTTATTTAAAACTCATTTAATCATTTTGTACCGAAAACTTTGATTGTATTGTTAGAACCAATGAATGAGCCCGGGTCTTATGACTGAGGAGGGCGGTTCAGCCCTATTCTTGTTGTGACATTTTGTTACTCATCATCGCCATTGCGAGACCATTTGTATTTTCTCACGAGGCCAGTTGTTCGGATTTGCAGATCGGTCATAAAAATACTACTTTCCTCCATTTCACTTTCTGATAAATTTTTGTCACAACCTCCAAATGGTCATAGACTTCATTTTGTCAGCAATATTTCCTGTGTCAGTGAAGATAAATCTCAATTATTGTTGACCGAAATTTTCTCTTTAGTTTATTTTGTGAATTCTGTGTAATAATTTTTTTTTAAATGAATATTATCGTCCGTATCCTAGTTAAAAATTTAATTGAGCAGATGTCGGTGACTATCTTTGCCGTGTACAGCAGTGGCTTATCCTCCCCTGCATGCCCCAGCTCTAGCAGTATCATTTGCTCATTGACATTCCCCTCTATTTCCCCTCCCTTTTTTTCCTCATTCCCCCTCCTTTCTATTTGGATCCCTGAATGTATGAGATATGGAGTGTCTGCCATTCAATAGTCGCTCTGGCTCTGATGTTAAAATAAATTAGAATTTAATATCCTCTCCAATTTTCTTTTTCTTAATTTCATCTCAGTTTTGTATGTAACAGTGTTTTTTATTACCTTGCAGGTCATAATGCCGCTTCCAAAGCGTATGGTGGAGCCAGTCTTGGTATCCAGGAACACTATTCCTGATGGCCTGACTCTCCCTTCGGAACTGGAAGCTGCAACCAATGGTACTCTAGCTAACATAATTCGCCAATTATCAAGTTTGAGCAGACATGCCGAAGACCTCTTTGGAGAATTGGAAAGGGAAGCTCACAACTTGCAGGACAGGTCAAACTCATTGCAAGCTCGCATTGACAAACTTGCCATTAAAGTGACCCAATTGGACAGCAATGTGGAAGAGGGTGAGTGTGAATTTTTCGATCTTTGATTTCGTATCAAGTTAGGTTGTTTCTTAACTTACAAATTTTCCTTTTCTTTCAGTTTCGTTGCAAGACATTCATATGCGCAAGGCCTTCAAGAGTACTGTTGTATTTGATCAGCAAGTTGTCTCAAGAGACACAATGCCAACAGCCATGTTAGAAACTTACCAACAGTGTGATAAGCCACCTCCTCTTCGAAAGCTTAACCCATACCGGTATAACTCTTTCATGTGCAGACGGTTTCTCAGATTAAAAAAGATCATTGGTTCATTGCTGTTCATTAATTATCTCTTGAATTTCAGTGATGATGGTAAGGATGGATTGAAGTTCTACACTGATCCTAACTACTTCTTCGATCTCTGGAGACAAGAAATGCTTAAGGATACTGAGCGAATGATGCATGATCGTGGGAAGAAGGTAAGTTTTGTTCCAAGTTCTTTTGTGTTGCACAACCTTCATGTGACTTAGTAGGAACTGAGCCAACTGCCCTTGAACAGTTGCCAAATGATCGAATGGCCCTTCCATCTGCTGTGGAGGACAGATGTGCTTTAATCTTGCAGAGTTGTTAGTTGCATCAGGTGGTGTGAAGACATAATGGAGTATAGGCTAGAACAACTCGAATGTGATGTGTACAACCATATTCACCAGTGTGCCCATACTAGTGAGGAACTCTTAAAGTTGATGCAGCTTATTTCTGTAAGAAGTCTTGAATTTAGATCATTTCAAAATTACATTTTGAGTAGTGTCAAAAATTGCATTCATGATTTATCCTTGCTCAAACAGTCAAGTGCTGCATTTCAAATTCAGTCTCTTAATCTTGCCAGTAAGTTGAGTATGTTAGAAGATCAAATGGGTTTAAGTGCATCCTTTTCTACTGAATTTTCTCGTAAAAACTTGATAATTGCTGTAGCCAAATCCATCGGTGCAGTTTGCTCTAAAATTAAAGTGAGTCCTGTAAATTGTGATTTCCCCTTAGTTGTATCTTGCAGGGCCTTTAAATAGACTGGTTGTTGTTTCTATCCTACAAGCATTCTGTTTCCACTTTTCATCTGTTCTGTTTTTATTCACAGCCCCACCGTCCACGAAATGAAGGGGGTGGTGGCAGACACAAGAAACGAGTCCGCCAGCCTCACAATACAAGAGAGCGGCAGAAGCAGCTGGCTGTTGGTCATGGGGAGTACATCATGCCACAGAACGTCCACTATCGCACACCTCAGGTATGTCTTCAGTCACCCAAGTCCATTTCAATGGTTCGTTGCCATAGAAGTTAGTTGATGCATTTTGCTTTTCTAGCCTGTACAACACCCTGATGAGGCCTTGTTGGTGATGGACTCTAGGCCACCCCGGCCCAACAGTATCGAAGTAAGAAGCAATTACCCTGATCATGCAGACGGCCATTATAGTCCCCAACCATCAATACATTCTCAACAATCACAATATGGCCAAACGTCGCAGTATGGTCAGCCTGTTGGACAGCATTACTCTCAGACACAGCAGTATGCTTCACAGCACATGCAGCAGCAGCTAGCGCAACAAGGTCAGATAGGCCAGATGAACGCGTCTCAGCCACCGGCCCCTCTGAGCCCCTCTGATACTTCTCATTACAAGTATGACTCCTTTCTCATAATCTGTGCTCTGTCTGCATCTTGTATCTTTTCTATAATAATGAAAACTTATCTCACAGGTCAAACTACGCTGGAAGCTATGAAGACTCTGGCTATTATGGCACAGATGCCTACACAAGTCCCAATAGCAGCATTTATGGTAGGAGCGCTGCGGCAAGGGCAAACTCTCAACGACCTTCACAGCCACCTCCCGCTCCACCAAGTGCCAACAATTCCAGTAACAGGTAACATTTTGTGCATGGATTGTAGCCAAATTGGAAAAGGTTTTTCTGAGGACGTTGCTGACGGAGCGGTGTGCCCGGTGTGCCTTTCGTCTTGCAGCACGCCCACGGGCACCTCGGCCACCAACACGCCGACGCGGGGCCGCAGCATGAGTGCGGGCAGAGACACTTTGCCGCCGCCGCCGCCGCCCCCCACCGAGGTGACCACCAACGGCCCCGTGTCCGGGTCTGCGGCGCTGCCCGGGCTGCCTGGGCTGCCCAGCCACCTGCTCAACAGGACCAACTCGGCGAGCGGCAGTCGCTCCGGCAGCCCGCACTCCACGCCCACCCCCACGCCGCCCCGGCAGCTGAGTCGCGACGAGACGCCGGAGCCGCTCCACAATGACATGCTGCCGCCGCCCCCGCTGCCGCCGATAGCCGACATGCCCCCGGCGGCCGCGCCGCCCCCACCGCCGCCCCCGCCCCCGCTGCCTTCCGCGCTCCCTAACGGCCTGGGCAAGGCCCCGGGCTCAACCTCGCCCCCTCTCACCATCAACGGGGACGTCGGCAAGTCTCCAAACAAGCAGGTACGTCAACTGTTGGAAATAAATTTGAGGAATATTACCAGGCAGTCAAATTGTTTGATACAAACTGTGTATTAATTTTAGATTATTTCTTCATCACCACCAAAGACTTCACCTCCAAAGATGGGTGACCAGGTGGCTGCTCGTAAGGTGCACAATATTGGACCTGTGTGTGATACAAGGAATGATTTGCTCAAAGCAATTCGAGACGGTATGATATCTGACTCTCCATTCTTACCAGTGGTTTTTCTTCATTTAATAATGTTCTATTCATTGAGCTGTTTTGTTTTGTTTTGTTTTGCAGGTATCAAACTTCGCAAAGTTGAGAAAATCGAGCAGAAAGAAGTGGAAAGGGTCAATGCTCTTCATGATGTTGCGTCCATTCTGGCTCGCCGAGTGGCTGTTGAATTTTCTGATTCAGATTCTGCAAGTGAAAGTGAATATGATAGTGATGGTTGGGTTGAACAGGAAACAAGTGCATGACATGTCCGATTTGCTCCGGATGTGTCATACGCCTCCTAATTGGGTCTGACTAAACCAGGAGCCGTATTGCAAATTCGACATGTCCGTTGCACCATAACAATTGCTGGTAAATTGTTAACTTGTTTCTGTCAGTTAAGATACCCAAAAGTTGTGTTGGAAATGCAATCAAAAGAAACAAGTTTTCCTCTACCAGTTTTGTGAGCCCAAGCTGGGTTATTCAGTAATCTGTTCATCCATGATTTTTCACCAATTACATTTGTCAATTTACAGCCCTGTATTTAAGACTTCAATATTCTGTTGCAAGTGTTTTCAACTTTTTCTTCCCTTTCCCTTTATTATTTGACTCTAAATTATGAAAAGTTCTAAATTAATAATCCTGTCCTTCAATGAGCCAGCTGCTCAATCATGTGGGCAAACATCAGATTTGCACATTTTAGTGCTTTGCTCATGTGACTATTTTGTAGTGCAGTGCATTGAAAAATCCTGTAAAGGAAAAGGTTATTATGGAAGGAGAATATATAGCCATGCTATGTTCCCTAAAACCCATTCTCCAAAGTGCCATAGGGTTAATTTTTTTCTTTTCTTAAATTTCTTACCACACTAAATTGTGGACTTCTAATCCTAAAAATTTTGAAGTTTCTATTCTTAATTGTTGTTACTACCATAATTTGACTACTTAAAGAATATAATCAAACCCCAACTGAGGCCTATTGTGCTAGTATGTTTTATCTTGCTCAGAAAGTCGTATCTTCAGTAGAGGTGTGAGCTTTTTCCTAAATGGCCCTCTGACACCTCTTCTGGATCTGCTCATGAGCGACTATCATTCCCTTTAATAATGACGTGTTTTACATTCAGCTGAAGATTGACGCGTGGTTCTTGTCTAATTCTGTTTTATCTCATTTTATTCATGTGCTACACCTACTATTCATTCTACATTTGCATGTGTGGAAGGTGTAGCACATGAAAAATATGTACATTTGTAATAATAATCATAAATTGTATTATAGTGCAGCCACAACTGTGCATTTATATAGCCTAGTTTGTAGTTCTGGGTCAAAATTTAATTTCCTGTTGTTTGTGAATGCTCACTTTTTCATTTAGTGCTCTATTGCATCAGTAATAGTTTTTTAAAAACAACAAACAAAGGGGAATGAATGTGAAGTAATTTAACCTTGTGATAATTTTACAAAAATACCGTACAACTTTCTGTTTGTTGGATTCACTCCTTTGTGATTGAATTGTTTTAGTGTGTGTGGTTTTTTTTTCTTTTTGTAAAAGAATGTTACAATATGCTGTGCTCATATTCAAGTACTAAGTTTACTTTATTCATGTAACCCAAAGGAGGGAGCCCTGTCATTTTAGCATGTCTTGTTCTGTAATGATAGCTTCATTCTTGGGTGCAAACCTCTGGTCAGTATCATATTAGTCAAATAGCAGCAGCATATTATATTATTATCATTGGAGAATGTAATTCTTAAGTTCATACTGTTCTCCTAGTACTACAGCACATGCTGTGGTAGACTGTAAGTCATTGTTAAGTGATTATATTTATGAGCTTTTGTTGCTACAGAAAGTTATACCATGTTTAACTTAATGATTTGTGCTGGGAAAGACAATTTTCCTTCGCTGATTTTGCTAGACGCTTGTGATTTTTGTGGTGGCAACTTTTTCAGGCAGAGAGAAAAATGTTTGTGTTATGTGTGTTTGTCTCTTGCTTATTGGCATTTTATATATATATATATATCTTGGATTTTGAATGCTTTTAACTTTACCATCTGGATTTTGAAGTAAGATGTCATTTGTTTATTGGAGGAATAGGTATTTGATAGTGATGTGAACGACAAAGAAACTGTAACACCAAACTCTATAGTTAAGGTATAAAATTTCATTGTTGCTGACTTTAATGGTACTTTTTTATTGTTTCTTTAGATTGTCAATATTTTGGTGAGAAGTTTTGTCCTAGTTACCTGGGGAAAGCATATGATTCATTGAATCTTTCCAGAGTTTTATTAGGGTCCAAAGATTTTGTGTTGTTCGTTTTCTTTACAAATATTATGTTCTTTCATTCAGTTGCAGCGAATTATGTTTTTGTTACATAGTTGTATCATAATTTATAGCATTTTAAAAAATGTTTTTATATTGTATTTTTAAATTATTTATTATGTTTTGTTTCTTGACTTACACTAGTGAGTCACTGAGTGAAGTATGGGAATTGGCATGGAGACATTATTCTGAGAGTCATCTTCTATAACAGAGTATTTTACAATGGACTTTATTGTGGCACAAATAGTAGACATTGTGACAAGAAGGGTTGATTCATATTATTTATAGGTGACATGAAATATTGTATCCATTTTCTATGGTAATGGGCAATTCTAATCTGACAATGAATAGTTTCAAGGTTTCACATCCTGGTTCAATAAATTAACATATATTATATTTGCTGGAGAGCAGTTTATAATTCATTTGAGCAGATTAGTGATAGGCGTTGGGAACCTTCAAGTACTGAGATGTAACCATCGAACATAATAGTGGTAGGAATTGGGAATCTTGGGGAATCAATATGTAACCAATGGGCATGTAAGTGGTTGGCATTGAGTACCTCTGAGAACTGAAATGTAACTAATGAGCAATATTAGTGATTGAGAGTCTTCTAAAGCTGAGAGTAATAATTTTTGGAGGGCACTTTTTGCTTTCAATCTAAGAAGTGGGTAATTTGCTTTTTGCTGCATATAGGGTTAAACCTAACATTTTTATCTCTGACAGTGTCTTATATTCTCGGCCAATATTTGTATGAAACGTAGGAGAAGCCAATGATGATATTGTATATATTACAATGATTTGTATATTAATTAATTGATTAAACATATTACACTGGTAGTTTCTCTCTTAATGCACCTTGAAACTGTCTCCTTTTCTATTTTATCGCTTAGGACTCAAACTTATTATTAGGACTGCATTTGCCTTGGAGTGGAGGGTTCCTCATCTACTCCATGCATTTTGATATTAACTAGAGATGGACATCTTGGACTAGTTTGACATGAACATAATTTTTATCTCTACTATGTACAAATTTACAAATAATGGCTAAGCCAGCATTTCTCAACCTCAGGTTCGCGGAAAAATATTTTAGAGTTGCGGCCTGGTGGCTGGATTCGCGTGGGATCGCAGCAATATCCCTCAATATTTTAGAGGGAAAAAACATGTTACAAATCTCTCGTGACGGGGAAAACATCATTACATACAAAGGGTAAAGTTTTCATAGCATTGGGTCGAGTTGGGATGGGAGTGGTGCTTCCTGGTACCTTTTGGCACAGCCTAAGGCTGGATTGGTACATATAGAGCAAAATATATGGCGGGGGACTCGTACACCAGATTTCAGAATTTGGAAACGGCACATTCACTCACCTTCGTGACCACAGACCGAGGGTTAATCTCCAGACCAGGATTTGAGTCCCGGTGGTTTAAAAATTTTCCAGCGGCCGTGAGAGGGAGTTTTTTACAACGTCTAACAGTCAATGGTGACCGGAAACAGAAAGCGAGTTGAGCCCTGTTCAATTGAGCACCCTGATCTTCACGGGGTACTTCTTGACGATGTCCAGCAGGTAGGGGTGGGGCATAGTGGCGGTGTGGACGGGCACTGGGACTGTCTGCGACGAACCCATGTGGATGTGGGCGATGGCGGGCGGTTTCCGGACGGGGTAGTGCACCGGGGGGTGCATTGGGGAGTGGGGCACGTGGGCTGAGGTGTGGTACTGCTGCGCCTGCGGCATGGCCTGCGGCACCGAGTGAGGCACGTACCGAGTAGGGCTCGACTGGCTGTAAGCGGCAGGGGAGGGCGGTGGACTTGGAGCAGGCAACGGGGGAGGCGGGGGTGGCGGTGGTGGCAGTGGGGGTGGCGACGGTGGTAGTGGCTGCTGCGGGGGCTGGAGTGTGCTTGGAGGTTGGCGCAAGCGTTCCCAGGCTGGCCGCGGACGCGCCGTCTCGTCCTGGGTGTAACTGCTGGACCAGCGGGGCGGCCTGTCCACGCCGTAGTACCCCGAGGAGCCTGAGGACCCTGACTGCGATGCCAGGGCCGCGGCGCGGAGGGGGGGCTGTTGGCCGTGCTGGTCCATGAGCTGATTGTAGTACTCGCCGGGGCCCACAGGTCGGGCTGTGGGATCGTAGTTGTAATCGAACTGGCCGCGGTGGTCCTCGTTGTCGTACTGCTTGACCCTGTTGGGCCACACCTTGATGCGGTAGTAGTCCTTCTCCTTCTCTGTAAACGGACTCTTGTACGAGTGCTGTCTGTCATCGCGGTACTTTGACTTGGTCGTGCTCGTCTTGAACTTGTGCTTGGGCCGACGCACCACGACCACAGGCAGGTGCTCCACTACGGGCATCTCCTCCTCTTCGTCCTCCTCCTCGCCGTCCTCCACCGGCTGGGCTTGCTCGTCCTCCTCGGAGGCCTGCGCCGCGGCCTTGTCCGCGCGATAGCGTCCTCTGCCTCCCCGCGGCCGCCGCCGCTCTCCCTCCTCCTCGTCCAGGACCCTGATCGGGCGCGACCTCGTCTTGACGCGGACGTACTCGTAGGGCGCGTCGTCGTCCGTCAAGTCAGCGAAGGAGGGCCTCTCCGCTTCGGGCCCGGTGTCGGTGTCTGCGTCGGCGTCCGCATCGGCGTCCGTGTCAGGGTCCGGGTCGGGGTCCGGGTCCATGTTGTCGGCGGACTCGTGCCTCCGCGCCCGTCCGACGCGTTTGGCCCTCCCCCGCCCCCGCCCCCTGTCGCGGCCCCGGCCGCGAGGTTTGCGCCTCCACGACGGGGACCGCCGGGCTCTTCTCAGAGGGAGGGCTTGGCCAGCTTCGCCGCCGCCGCGTGCCATGGAGACCGCGGCGGGGAATGCCGCGGACGCTGGGCGGGCCGACTTGGCGTCCTCGGGGCTGTCGGGGCTGTCAGCGTCGTCGCCTTCCTCCAAGCTGTTGGATGGGTCCTCCGCCTCTTCTTCACCGTCGAAGAATTGCGGTGCCTCAGCCTTCCACCCCTTCCACCATCCCCGCGCTCTTCGGAGTGTTCGCTAGAATCCTCGGATCCAGAAGAATCCGAACCTCTCTCTTCGGAAGCCATCGGGTGCCCGAGAGGAGGCCTCGGCCTCGGCCCCTCAGGGTCTGGGCGCTGTTTAGGTGGTCGTGACGACACCGAACCTTTCGCTTCGTCTGAAACTTTCTCTCTTCCATTAATTTTCAATTTAAATCTTGAAGATTCTGGTTCATGTGACGCATCCAGTTCTTCCGATCCCTTGTCTTTCCCCGAAGAATCGGCCTCTCCTGACGACTCTTGTTCCTCAGAAGAGGACCCCGGAGTCGACTCCGGTTCGTGCGGCACGTCTTGATCCTCAGAAGACTTGGCATTTAAAGTACCTGTCTCTTCTGATGCGTCTCGTTCTTCAGAATGTGGCGTGTCTTTAGGAACTCCTTGTTTTACAGAGGACTTCACCTCTTCGGACTCATTCTTGTCTTCAGTCGGTCCGGATTCATCTGACTGCGTCGTCGTGGTGGAAGAGTCCTCCCCCTTAAAAAAAATAGAAGAGTGTTTTTCAGATATCAACGCAGTCAGCCCGATAAACTCGGATAAACTTGTGTTTTGTGATTGGTTAAGTGAATTCAGAAGTTTGAATACACGCGTTCAGAGTCGACACTGAGCTTGACTGGGCTACCCACAAACGGTAAATTGACATTACTTTCGGCTGACTGGTTCTTATGTTGAACTACCCGTCCAATAAGAAAAACAGTGTCAGAAGAAAATCAAATCACGGAACATGTCTTCAAATTGAAGCAGAATGGAAAACACGGCGAAAATATTTCCGCTCCGAAGCGGGGCCCTTGTGAGTGTCAAGCACACGCGGGTGGCCTCTGCACTATGGAAACCGAGAGGGTGAATGGCACTCTGCGAGAGCTGTTCCGTCCGCTGCCGCGCGCTGTCGTGTTGCTTGCGGTCGCAGCAGACGATTCCGATCAGGCGGCCGCTTGGTCTAGCCTCTTAAAGTTAAGTCGAAGTTCTAGCCGGGGCGCCTGGCCCCAAATGGCATACGATCATGTGTGGTCTAGCTCTAATGGTAATGGTAATGCCATGTCTCGTTTTGCAGTGCAGGCGGGCATGTGTCGGGCCCGAAATGGCATACGATCATGTGTGGTCTAGCCCTTAATGGTAATGGTAATGGTTAGGCCACCAGCCGGGCCTGCAACACACCGGTGCGAGACTGGTAGGCTACCCTGTCCTCGTTAGGGGCTCTCTTCCGACACGACGCCGCGACGTGGCCGAGCCAGCGCGCCCTTGGCGCCCTCTGCCCGCACTCGTCACCCTGTCTCTCTCGCGCCCCTCCGGTACACTGCATAAGTGCGAGAGAGTCAGCTTGACTGGCGGCCACCGTCACGGCGCCATGGCCGGACCAGGCCCGGCCGTCAGTTTGATCAGCGATGCGGAGCGCGGAGCAGTCTGCTGCGGCAAACAGAACAGTGACGCCACACGGGTGGACTGAGAGTAGCGGTACAGCGGCCGAAACAGGTCTCGCGGGGAAGGCCCTCCTCTCACTCGGTTTCCGTAGTGTAGCGGTTATCACGTGTGCTTCACACGCACAAGGTCCCCGGTTCGAACCCGGGCGGAAACAATTTGGCCGCGGCCAATATTCTATTTTCCCTTTCATATGAAAAGAGAACTCACGCTACGCTTGCAAGCCAGCGCCAGCACGGCCACTTAAATGTGCATTTAAGGTGCAGAGGTGGGACCTTTCTTTGGTCTGGTAGTTGAGGCAGACTTACGATTGGTTCATGGCTGGGTGTGTGAGCTAAGCTACTCACTTCACTGGGAACTCTCAACTTTCAAGTCCCGGCGAGGCGCCTACTGTTCTACAGGTCCTCCGCACCGTTTCGCTGCGTCTGTGAAAGGAGTGCCCATGACCACCGGCTACTGTCTACAGTACGTGCAGAAGGTGGAGATAATCAAATTTTCTACACAAAGGTCCAAAGACTGTCAAGTTTATTTACCAGTTGAAAACAAATTGTTCGCATGTGTAATATTTACAAAACAATACATTTAATCTTGGTAGTCATCTATCGAGAACAATTATTCGTTACATTCATTTGTACAGTATACAAAATATCTTAATTACTTTGAGCTTCAGAACACTTTCGTCGAACTGGAAATCGCACCAGGCCTGTCAGGTTCAAAAAGCGCAACATTGTTTTTGGTTGGGGGTATTGAGTGAATCGAAAATGTATCTCTTAAAGTAAAAATTTCGTATCCTTTCTTCTCATTTTAATGGATAGGAAATTAAGAATAACGTTGTGCTGTATAAACAAGACCGAGCCAAGGCACCTCCGGATCGAAGCCCTTCGAAGCAGCGGTAATGGCTTCATGTTTCCATGTTTCCAGCTTGCAGTTCGAGGATGGAAACCCGTTTTCCTAATAGCCAACAACTCACAAAATTGAATTGAGAAATAAATAGTCAGTTTTATCTGAACGTAGAAAACAATCTCTTAAGGCTATGTCCAAGGTCTTATACATAATTATAACGTAGAAAAAAGTATTAAGTTTAAATGTACATGCTGGGGATAATGGAAGTTTTCTGTTTGGAACCTAGTTCCAAATGATTGGGTAGAGGGGTACAAACCAACCATGGTTCTGAAGATAAATGACATCTAAAACACATCGAATGACTATTATGAAACATGCACTACATGTGGAGGTGAAGCTTATCAATTAACACGCACAACTCGTCTGGTAACTAGCAATATGGCTACATATACAACACTCATGAGCAAAGGGATTGTGGAGGATGCAGAATGAGCAATAAATAACAAAGGCATGACTATCCTAGGGGATGAACACAGGGCGCGGCCGGGGGCCGGCATGGCGTGGGCCCCAAGCCCCAAGCCACCGGACGTGCGTCTCTGCGCCGCCTAGCAAGGCGCGTCACCAATCGGACCAATCGGACCAACCGGTGGCGCGGCTAAGGCGACGCCCACAAACGGACCAATTTCCCGCCAAAAGTGTTATCCGCGGCGAGGCCGTTCAGCAGAAGCCTTCCGGAAATCTTTTAGAAGCCTTCCAGAAGCCTTGCCGACCGTTTGGCGGTAAATGGACCTAAAGCAAGTGTGTGGACGACGACGACGGGCGCGTGGGGCCAGTGGGGTGGGGTGGGGGTGTCGTGCGTTTAGTGCTCGAAGGCGGGCGCCATGCTAGCTTTGCCGTGGAAGGTGGAGGCGGACCGCTTGAAAAGGAGCGACGGGTTTATGAGAGGAGCGATGACACTGTTTGGCACGGACAGCCCGTCGGCCACCTGTCAGAGAGAACAAAGCAACAGGCGTGAAGTGGAGCACGGAATGGAGCACGGAGAAGACGGTGGAGAGCGGAGAGGAAGCAGGAAATGTCGTGCCGGGCCACGCAGAGCCACGCAGTGCCACGCATGCGCTCAGTCGGCTTTCAAGCTGTCGCGGAGGGCAGTATGCGGGCAGTATGGTTCTGCTTTATGCGGATGACGCTCAAGGCAGCGCAAGCCGAACTTAGTTTGTCCCGCCACAAAATAAAAGGAAAAGTGGGGAAAAAAATAAATAGCTAAGATGGAGAGAGGGTGAAGATATGCTCAAAACTTGAAAAGTGCTTTTCCCATTGAGTAGGAATAATAAGTTTACAATTACAGAAAATTGGCACATATTATGGTACACAAGTATCAAAAGACTTACCAAGGAACAACTTGTTTACTTTTAAAAATGTTACTAATGTATATATTTACACATCGGTCAGAACAAAGGCACAAACTACTACTAATGTACTTTCAGCAACTGGATAGAATCAAACCAGAAACCTTACTCTAATTCCGCTAGAGGCGCACTAAATGTACTGTGAACGTTATGAAACGGGCGAGGCGGGCTAGTCTTATCCTGAAAAACTATTCAAAAGATTGTAAAAAAATAAAAAAGTGAAAAATAAAATAATAAAAACAGAAATAGTCATTGTATAACGGAAATATTCTCTTTCGCTTGGAATTCGACTGAGCCCTGAAAACCCTGCTCGCAAATCAAGATGGCCCGGGCAGTGCTTGTGAATGGTGGCAACTCTAAGGGGCGCGCCTCGGTCCGGCTGCTGCTCGGACTTGGTCCTGGTTCCTTGCCGCGTTCCGCGCCCTGGACGTGCTCTACAAGTGCACGTTACTCACGAAGGGCACGCTGTTGCCGGCGGCTGCCTGGCCGCTGAAGTCGGCCCACTTGCTGTAGTCCAGGCTGGGCAGGATGCCGCTCTTGCAGGGCACGCGGGGGTTGCTGCAACACGGAGGGGTTAATCGCCTGCTCGTCACGCCGGCCTTGTGCCGCCTAGCCCATGGACTCTATAGAGCCTTTCGACTTACATCTCGTGGTCGGGGAGGACGAGCGGGTAGACCTGGATGGTGTCGATGAGGTCGGTGTTGTCGCAGATGACGCGGGACAGCTTGGTCTTGCGGATCTCGTGCAGTTGCTCTGCGGAACGCCACGGAGACAGGGTTAGTGTGGGTCAGTGCGCGAGGATGAGGATGGCCCAGGATGTATCGGGCAGCGCCACTGCGAGAAAGTGGCGCGGCGTGGGGCCGCTCGGGGCGGACGCGGGCCGACGGCAGGACGGCGTGGTACTCACCGGGGGTGAAGGAGGACGGCTGGTTGGGCAGCTCGTACCAGAAGCGGTCTCCGCGCCGCGAGTAACTGAACTGGGTGGCGATGATGCAGGCGAAGGTGGGGCCCACCATGCTGCCGGGCAGCGGCCTCTCGGACACGCCGCCGGACCACAGGTCCACGTCGGACGGGTGCCTGCAGCGCAGTAGCGCGGGGGGAGCACAGGGCGTCAGCGCGAGTTCCACCGAGTTCCACCGAGTTCCACGAGGGCAGAGGGCGGAGAAGCCGCAGCTTTCTTTTCGCTACTTACGCGTAGATGGAGGCGTATCGCTTCACGGTGGAGTTGGGCATGGACCCGAGCAGCTCGTCAAACGAGTCGGCCGGCGGCAGCCCGCAGAACTTCCTGCAAGCGTTGCGACAGGGATTAGCATACAGTCACGGGCACGGGAGGCGTGGGGGCAGGGGGGCCTCCAGGGGGGCATCGGGGCACCAGTCAGTCGAGGCTCAGCCGCACCTGAACTCCATGTAGCCGGGGAGACCGAATTCACGACCACGCTGCATGTTGAAGGAGGCGAGGTCCATGCCGAACCGAGCGCCGGGCTTCTTGAACAGGTGGTTGGTGACCTGCGGGGAAGAGAGCGCGTGTAGTACACCCACCGCCAGGACGTACAGTCCGAAGAACGTTTCCAGTGCGAGACTCACCTCCTGAGTGACGGAGTCGTCCATGGCCTGGGCGACCTGGTTCATGAGGCCCATGAAGTACTCGTCCAGCACGCCGGCGCGGTACAGGTCGTAGGGCTGGCGGATGAGGTCGGACAGACGGCGGGAGGCTGCGGAGCACGGATGCGGTTAGGGGGAGCGGACAGGTGGGCGGTCAGAGGGAGGACAGGTCAGCGGCAGTCTGCGCGGCCACGCGGCGCCGGGACCAGAGGACCGCACTCACCGATGAACTTGTGGGCCTTGCTCCACCTCTCGATGGCCGTGGGCAGCAGGGAGTGTCCGAAGCGGAAGGCCGCGGCGGCGAAGGCGTCGATCACGTTGGGGTTCACGTTGGAGTCGTAGCCGTCCCAGTAGCCCTCCTTCTGGGTGAGCAGGCCGAACTTCTCCATGACCTCCTTGCCGAGGATGATGGGGAGGAACTCGTTGTAGGTGATGTGCTGGATCTGGGCGATGATGATGCGGCGCGCCTCCTGCAACGCAAGCAAGTCATGAGCAAGGCAAGCGAGAGTGAGGTCCTACTTGTCGCCGATTCGACATTCGTCGGGGACCGAATCGTGTCCGACGAGCGTACGGGGAACCAATCGGAAGAAGGCAATTAAAATAAATTACCTGGTACAGGGTCTCGTCGTCCCAGTGGGGGTTGACCTGGGCCAGCCCGCGGGCCACGGTGTTGTGCTGCCGGGCCATCAGGGTGTGCATGCAGGTCAGCACCAGCTGCTCGTTGACACGGATCTCGCCCGCCTCGAAGCAGTACATGGAGCGGTTGGGGCGGGTGCAGCCTTCATCGGGGATGTCCAGCTTGAGGGGCAACAGGTCCTTGAGGCCATACTCGTTGAAGACGGGGTTCATGCGCAGCAGGCCGTTGTAACCGCTGCGGAGGTGGCGGGCGAACTTCTCGGTAACGCCGTACACGGTGTTGCCGTCGATCACTCCGGTCAGCGTGTTGAAGGGCACGCGCGATCCTGGGGGCGGGACGGGCAGCACCGTCAGCAACATCGCAAAAAGAAGCTTCAACCGAGAATCGAACCCTTGGCCATACCGAGTCTGCAGCCCGGACGCACGGCGGGGAACGCGCGGACGAAGTCCATGCAGCGGACACGGGTCAGGCGGTAGAAGTAGTCGTCCTCCGGGATGGGGATCTCCATGCAGTAGGGGTTCTTGAGGTGGGGAGGGCGGTCGCAGCACTCCTCGGGCTCGTTCTTGTTCAGAGGGTCTGCAACACGGCAACACAGTGGCATCAGCATTCAGGCGTCCCACACTCACACCCCACAGCGCCCGCCAGGCCGAGCGTAGGCTGCCCTGCACGGCGCACCTGCTGGGCGGGCTAGCCTAGCCGCCGGGCGCTGGCCGTCAGCTGGCCGTGCGGAGCGCCGCACCACGCCTGCCGGCTGCGACGCACTGCGACGCCTAGTCGGTCTTGACTTACCAAGGGGCGTGCCGGTGAGGGTGTAGTCGTGATCCATGAACTGGCCCCAGGCGACCACCATGACGGTGCCGGCGTGGTCGTGGAAGCCCTCGTCGGGGTGCATGGTGCGGGACACGACTCGGGACAGGGGCAGCTGCTGGTTGAGCACGGACACGCGGGGCGCGGTCATGCCGTCGGCGAACAGGGGCCCGATGAGCCTGGTGAAGGGCGTGTTGGTGGCGCCCCAGGTGGGGTGCTCCAGGTTGGTGCACAGCCCGTCGTAGCGGCGGTACTTGCCGGGCCGGCACTCCACGTTGGCGAGGTAGGGCGGGCACACCTCGCGGATCAGCGTCTTGGACGTGTCGATCAGGGGCAGGCCCTTCTCGATGTCCTCGTACGTCAGGCCGTACCTACACACACATTCACATTGCGGTTCAGTCGGCTCGGACCACACCCACATTGCGGTTCGAAAGGGCCCTGCGCGCCCTGCGCTGCCTGGGCAGCGCGGCCCGCGACGCGATGAGAAACGGGCCGCGACCTCGGCGTCCACATCGCCCGGCATCGCCTTGCCCGGATAGAGGCAATCAAGAGGAAATAATTAAAAGGCGATGCAACCGCGCCGCGCGCCGCGCGCCGCGCACCGCCACTGCGAAACGTGTTTATTGAGCCGCGGCCGGCAGGGCATCCAGCCCAGACTGTCAGTCTATTGCGCCGACTGCCACCCAGCACTCGACCGCGTGATCTACGCGCTCCGAGCGACGCGCCGCCGCCTCTATCGTTTGGCTGCTATCTGTCTCCCGCACTCTGAGGGCGTCCGGCATGGGTGCGAGAGAGACAGAGCGCCGGAATGAAGCAGCTGGCCGCCACCTGCCTGCCAATAAGTAACCGATCCGGTATTGGTCGCGCTGCCGCCATGCTGCCGCCATGCTGCCGCTTATCGCGAGCAGACGACGCGCGAGTAACGAACCCGTTGGCCGCGCTCTTGGCAGCTCTTGGCAGCTCGGCCGCTCGGCCGCGCCGCCGCGCCGCCGTCTAGACCGATTTATCCTGGAAGCCTCGGAATAATTCCCCCTCGCCTTCCATGATGGACGCAGCACTTCGGCGACGCATTGGCGGTCTGCTCCACTGCCGTATTGCTCCATCAGCGCGCCGTTCGGCGCCGTGTGTGGTTGCGGTTGTCCGTTTTTACAGACCGGCCGGCCGCTGCGGCCGCGGCCTTCCCTGCAGCCCGCTTTTTGCCCACGCGGCACTCGGTACTTACGCCTTAGCCAGCTGGATGGAGATGTCCAGCAGCAGCTCGCCGACGCTGGCGACGTCTGGACCCGTCCACTGGCCCTGAGGCTGGGACACCTCTGCAAGCAAAAACCACAGACAGCGTTTGAGGCACAGAAAACAAAACAGAAAGCACTGAACGCTTGAAGGGGGTTCGAACCCACTGCCCTGCCGACCAAGTTCCTGAGAGCCCCTCCCCCAGAGACCTTGGCCCGGTTGGGGCCGGTGGCCGGTGCAGCTCGGTGCAGCGCGGTGCAGCTCGGTGCATGCGGCCATGCAGTGCGTCGTGCTAATCGCGTACATTATTCTCTCTCTGTCACTCCCGTGGGCGCGGCCGCCTGCGGGACCCGCGGGTCACCGGGACCCTTTTTTTTTGCCGTCGTCGCCGGCCGCGTGCGAGGCGGCGCGGACAGTGTGGTTTCGTCGCTCTGTCTCTCTCGCACTCGGGAGGCATCCGGTGTGGGTGCGAGAGAGACAGAGCGACGCCCCGGTACGCCCCGGCAGGTGCGCAGTGGTCCCGGCCAGGGGCCCCAGGGGCCAGGGCCGGCCGGAGTGCGGACGGTGCGGACTGCGGAGCGGCGGGCGCGGAGTGCCCCGCAGCGCTGCGCAGCCGCTGGGTCCACGCACGACGCGGGGGAAACTAGGATGAAAAACGCGGGCCCGGTACGCCACGTCGCGTCCCGTCACGTCACGCCACAGCCACGTCGAGTCGGCGGCCCGTCCGCTGCCGTCCGCGGGGGAGCCAGCATTGGCCGCATTGGCCGCCTGCAGCGGCAGCGCGATAGGAATCTGGCGGCCGAGTGTGTTTTTCCTTCTCGGGGGCGGCCGGCCGGCCCGACAGACCGGACCGGTGCGCCGCGGTCCGCGGATGGCTCTCCCAGGGTCCCGCCCCGTCCCGCCCCGCCGAGTGTCCGAGTCCTGGCGTCCTGGCGGAGAGGATTCGTCTCGCACGCGCATTCTGGACTGGGGCCTCGCCTGGCCCGCCCGCCGTGGCCCTTGGCCCCTGAACTGGACCTCTGAACCCGGCGCTCTCTGTCTGTACGCCTGCAGCCACTCGCCGCCTCGCCGCGGCCACCAAGGTGGTCCTGTCCGAGCGCCGCGCCAAAGGGCAGTGCGGGGCGGGGCGGGGCGTGGCAGCGAAAAACGAGCGCAACTCGTCCGGGGCGGTCCCTCTCTGTCAGGCTGCAGCTGTAGAGGGCGTGCCGGTGGCGGAGGCGAGGAGGTAAAAAAAGGTAATGACTTGTCTGTCCGCCGCGCGCAGTCCGCTACCGCTCGGCGCGACGACGTGTTTGCAGCCAAAGTGACAAATGGCAATTAATTGCAGCCTCGCCTCCTGCACGCGTGTTTGTTTCTCCTTCGTTTTCGTTCGCCGACCGCCTCCCGTCCCTCTCCCTCCTCCTGGGCCGCTCCGGTGGGCGGAAAGTGAGGCGAGCAGTGTGTGTACTTACGGATCCTCTTCCTGGCGTTGATGTACGCCTGGTTGACGGCGTCGTACGTGATGCAGGTGTTGGGTCCCCGGTAGCCGCTGCAACAACAACAAAGGCTCAGACGGTGCGACGGAGTCCCCGCCTTTCTCGGGCCGCCCTGGCCGCCACCGTAAAGGCCGTGAGGGCTGTCGCAACGTTCGCACAACGTTAACGTTCGCAACGTAGCCTCATTGGCCCGCCATTTTTTTACGCCCGCTTTATTGGACTCGGACTGGTCAGGGCGCGGCGGCGCGTCAATCGCTGTGCCTCGCCCAGCCGAGCCATTTCGTCACCCCGTCTCTCTCGCACCCGTGGGTGGCCCTTGGGGTGCGACGGAGACGGAGCGACAAAGGGGAATCAGCCTGCTATGCTCGCCCTGCTTGCGCCCCGCCGTGCTGATGAGGCCGGCGGGGAATGCCGCCGCCACGTCGCTCTGTCTCTCTCGCACTCCAGGGCCTTCCACGGCGGCGCGAGAGAGACGACAACGAGGAGCAAGACAACTGAGCGGAATGATCCCGGCGAAGCGACAGAGCGGTCTACTTACGGTGTGCCGCGCAGGGTGTTGACGTTGTAGTCGAAGGCGGACGACCGGCCGGGCCCGTCCAGCAGCAGCGCGCACTCGCTCTCATTGTGCTGCTCGATGGGGGAGAACTGGATGGCCAGCGCGAGGGGCAGGAGCGCTGCCAGCGCCAGCAGCGGCCTGCAACACGCGGACGGCGGGAAGCTTTGTTAGACAAGGCAGAAACAGAAACAGCAGCTGTGGCAGTGCGAGTGCGGCATGGCCGCGATATATTTCACCCCCACGTCAGGCCAGGCCGAGGGCCAGGCCTACGACTCGCTGTTTTTGATTGGCCGGAGAGAGAGGGGGAGACAAGTCGACGAGCTGACCTTGCCGCTGTCCTGGGTCGCGCCCGAACTGCGTGCGTGTGTTTGTGTGTGTGTGCGCGTGCATGTGAGTGCGTGCGTGCACGCGCGCCTCAGCGTCGTGCGCGGAATAGCGATGGAACTCGGTGCGCTGCGGGGGCGCGGCGGGGCGGCGTGACATGTCGGTGCGCTTTTCGACCACATCGCCGTCGTCGGCAGGCTCGGCGACCCCGTGTCACATAAATGCGGTGCACTGCCAGCGATCCGCAGTGAGCGCGCCCCGGCCGTTCCGGCAAGCCGCGCACCGCTTCTTTTAAGAGGCGGCCGTCATGCCCTTCCGCCCCGCCCCGCCCCGGCGACTCGGCCGTGTGCATCGGGAAGGCGGTCAGGAGGCCGGCGGCCCGACAGACTCATTGCGAACAGTGCCATCGTCGATCTGTCACTCTCGCACCCCTACGGTGCGTCCCACGAGTGCGACAGAGACGGAGGGACGAACGCAGCGGCACGGCGCGGTCCTCGCGAGACAAAGGCGGTAGGCCGTCGGCCGGAAAGATGACGTACAGTGCCACGTCAAAGTACGCGGCTACGCGGCCGCCGAGCAGTGCGGAGCACTACAGCACTGCCACTGCACCGGTCCGTTTTTTTTATTCTTCCCGCCGAAAGCGGTGCGACGCAACGCGACGGGACGGGACGAACCGGGCGGAGAGCTAGACAGTGCGTTTGTAACCGGTTGCCGCCGGTGGACCGCCCCGCCCCGCCTCGCCCCGCCCTGGCCGCGCCGCCCCGTGGCGTGGCTTTCCCTCCTCCACGCCGAGCAGGCCGAGCAGGCCGTGCGGAAGCACAGCCGAACATCGGGGGCTGCCGGCCTCGGCCTCGGCCAGCTTGCCAGGACGGCGCACGCTGCAGCACGGCGTCGTGCGCGTGCTCGTAAAACGGGCCTCTCCGCGGGGGTGCGCTAAATGGAGGCGGATGGGTGATTGGTGCTGCTGCCCCGTGAGTGAGAGGGAGACAGCACGACCTGATTCCGAGCACTGCTTTCGTCGCTCTGTCTCTCTCGCACTCATGGGGTGGTCCGTAGGGGTGCGAGAGAGACAGAGCGACGAAGCAGTGTTCGGAATCAGACGGCTAAATCAGCCTGCTGCCATCCGCAGTCGGGGGCAGGGCGAGCGGACGGACCCGGAAGCTGCGGAGCACGGAGCAGCAGTGGCGGCAGTGCGCGCCGCGCGCATCCGGAGTCATCCGGTTCTGGTACCCGGAGCGCGAGGCGAGGGAGGCGCCCGGAGCGGAGCGGCGCCGGCAGTCAGCTCGGCAGCGAGAGCGCAAAGAGCGCCAGCCGCACAATGGGCCGCTAGAAGGTAAAAGCGGGTACCCGGTACCCGGATTGCGCAAGCCAGGGATCGAAAGAGGCCATCAAGGCCGTGCCGCGGGCCGTGCCGTGGCGCGCACCTGCAGCCTGCGAGGCAGCGCGCGGCGGGGAGGGCTGCGTCCGCGAGATGCTCTTCGCGCCAGTAGGGTCGCCTCGCCGCCGCGCCGCCTCGCCACGCCGCCTCGCCTCGCCAACCGAGTACCCGGTCATGACGAAACTCTCCCTCCGATGGAAAGGGTACCGCGACGGGTCGGGACGGGAGGGTCAGCGGGGAGAGTCGCGTTTGGGGGGAGCGGGGGGAGGGAGGTCGCCCAGCGAGGCCGTGCGGAGAATGGCACCGCTCGGTGTTGCCATCCGGGTACTCGGTTCCCTCCCTCCTTCTCCTCCCCCAACGGCCGCCTTTCCCCCGAGCCGTGTGTTGCCACCCGCGAAGTGCAGCGACTACCGGGATGGTACCGAGTACCCGCTTTCGGCCCCGCCTCATCCCGCCTCGCCCCGCCTCGCGCCTAGAAGAAAGCCTCGTTAGCGGGGGCACGGTGGCGTGGCCATGCTGATTGTGGGTACCCGGTTGCCTGTCGGTTCCCGGCCGCGGCCGTGCTGCGGGGCCGAGGGGCCCAGGGGCCGCCACGTCACTGGACTTTCGACGCGGCGTGCTCGCCGTGCCACGCCACGGCCGCGCATAGCTGCGGGTGCGGTGCCAGTGGGGCCATCCGGGCGGCCGCACCGCCCGCCGCACCGCCCGCCCGCCGCCCGGGCCAGCCCCCAAACAACGGGTCTTCCCCGCGCTGGCCGCGCCGCTGGTGCATCGAAACCGGATCGCTGGCCGTTCGACCCGGAGCGAGGCTAGAAAACCGGATAAACATCCTGTTTGCTGGCCGCCGCGGCCGTCGGCATCGTCTTCATCAGAGAAACACGAGACGAGGCCGCGCGGTCCGTCAAACAAACTCCACCGAGAATTCCTCCTCCGTTTCGTCCGTTTCCACCCGGTTTGTCTTTCCACGCACCGGTTGCTGTGGTTTCTGATCCGCGAAAACACGAAACACGACAACACGCGAATGGGCGGCCGGCCACGAGGCGGTGGCACCGCCATGGCGGGGCGGGCTCCGAGAAAACGACACTGCTTCGGATAAGGCGCTCCGGGTAATTGAATCGCCCGGTCGTCCTTGCATCCTTGCGCCGCCGCGGCGCGCCGGCCCGGCCAGGGCGACGCCAGACGAAGCACCGCCGCCGTGCCGCCGCGTGGCACAATGTGGCACAAAGTGGCAGACGCTCTCCGTCCTTGGCCGACTTTATCCGGATCGCGTAGCCGCCGTACCGAACCGGGTAGAACCGGATAGGTCACGTGGGTCGTCGCGAACAAGGTCGCTGTGGTCGCATCGACGCGGGCCCTCGGCGCCCTCGGCCTTCGGGTCGGGCGGACTGTAAGTTCCCGGCCGCCCCGCCCCGCCCCGCCCCGCGGACGTGCGGGCAGTCTCACTTCCCCGGGGCTGACGCTGGCTGACGCAGGTTGACGCAGGCTGACGTCACCGACGTCACCCCCGCCCGGCCTGGCCCGCCCGGCCTCGGACTTCCCTAATTGGCGCGCCAGGCAATGTCTGGACAAAGGGGCGCCGTCGCCGTCCTTTCCTTTCTCCGGCCGGGCGGCCCGGCCGGTTCCAGCTAAGACGCCAGGAGGACTGCTCCGCGGACGTGGAAAATTGGTTTCCAGCGCGACAACGGCGACCTGCTTTGGCGGCGCTGGCGCCCCGTTTGCGATTTGCTGTGGCGACTTTAACGCGCGGAGGAGCAGAGCGAGCAGAGGGCCTTGACGAGCTGCGTCACCCCGACCCGGCCCGGCCCGGCCCGGCCCGCGGTCCAGCCCGCTTTCTACCGTTTCCCGCGGCCTGGGGCTTCCCTCTGGAGCGTTCAGAAGGTCGCTGCGTTGGGCGTCGAGCGCCATGACCGCGCTCGACGCGAACGCGGAACCGCCACTAACATTTACTTTACGGTTGCGGGTCGCGCCGCCTGCGGTTTGCAGCTCAACGACTGCCCCGCACGGCCCCGCACTGCCCCGCACTGCCCCGCACGGCCCCGCACTGCCCCGCACTGCCCCGCACGGCCCCGCACGGCCCCGCACGGCCCCGCACTGCCCCGCACTCTGGCTCCGCGGGCTCGTGGGGGAAGCAAGCGGCGAGCTAGCTGGCGGCAAGCGGCATCGGGTGGTGCGCCCCGGCCAGCTCGCCGCCCGCCGTCTCTCCAGGGTGCTGGAAGAAGCGAAGACCAGTTTGACACTCTGGACGGACTGCCCTTCGAACGAGGAATCCGTTGGCAGTGTACCACCACGTCATTGATTCTGGCCACAAAGCTATACTACTTGTCTTCAGTCGCTCGGTACTGGACTTCGGCACGGCATTTCGGAATCAGCCAGCAGAGGCCACGTCGCGCGGCGTGGAAAACTACAAGGGTCGCGAGCGCATTAGGCCCCTCGCCGCGGAATGTGGCCGACTGTGCGGCGGGGAGAGGCGGGGAGTGGCGGAGGCAACCTCTCTTTATTGGCGAGCAGTGAAAGTAGTGGACACGAGGTGACCGCGTACGCGACGGCGGAAGGGGTGGCCGGCAGGCCCGCGCTCACACTCGCACACACACATACGCGCACACTGCCAACGGCCGCAGAACAAACGCGCAGCCCCGACCACAGCGATCGAATGCAAAGTCGCCGAGAACGTCAAGCCTCCCGACGGACTTCATTTTTCGGGGTTTGGAAGGTGCGGCTGCTTGCAGGGCTTTCGCCGCGCCACGTGAGCTAGTACTGGGGCACGCGCAGACGCACCGCAGTTGATTTGTTCCAGGAAAGATTCGCAAAGTCCGAGGCAAAAACAGAAGTCCGACCGCTGTAGACCAAGTCGGCCACTGCAGTAATCCTGGCCGAGGGTCGAGGGCGGGCGGTGACGAGGGCGGTGACGTCACACGCAAACTAGCCCGCATTCAATTGCTTGGCGCCAAAAGCCCGCTTCGGTTACGCGATGGCGCGATAGTGCGATAGAGCGCTAGTGCGAGTGCGTGCGGCGCTCCCACGCCCAGCGGCGGCAGCGCGGCGGCAGCGCCCCTCGGACGGAACAAAAGCCCCACACCGCGAGGTGGCGCGCCGCGTCTGCGTCCGAGGCGTCGTCGCCGTCCTCCCTCCGCGCACGGGGCGCACGGCGCGGCGCGACGGAGAAGCCTCGTCGTGGCGCACGCCTTTCATAACCACCTCATGACACTGGCCGCCCCGCCCCGCCGCGCCCCGCCGCCCCCGCACCACACCCAGACCGCCAGCCTGCCTGCCGGCGGCCTGCACCGCGTTCGCCACTTGCGAAAAGCGTTTGGCGGCGCCCGCGGCCCGGCCCGGCCACATTTGCATAGCCACACACGCGGAGCCGCGGAGCCGATCGGGCGGACACCGCGCAGCGCACCCTCGTTTCGCGTGAATGCAGTAACGTAAGAGAAGCTCC